AATATAAATTGCCAGTTTTTACACCTATTGCTGCTCTTGCGCAAACAAGTAGAAAAGATCTTATAATTAACTCTATTTACATCCATTCTAACAAATCTATGCCATTGTTGACATACAGATCTCCATTGTTTCACATGTGTAGGCTGCCAAGCTAATTCTCCATATAAAGCTGCTGTAGGTGTATGCCGCCCTACCCCCAGATAAAAACGCATTGCCCTATTCTGTATCGCATCAATGCAGGAGAATGACTTATTACCCCAAATAGAAGCACCATATGAAATGACTGGCCAAACCATTGAATCATACAATTTAACAAATACATCATATGGCATGGACCCCAATGCTTTCGATTTGGCAATAAGTAACCCAAGTGCTCTACCTGCACTTTGAGCTATACATTTAGCGGTCTTATTATAATCAAGAAACTCATCAAGTAACAGACCAAGGTAAGTATATTGTCCTACAGTTTTTAGACTATGCTCGCCACATGTGAAAACAAATGAGGATCTGCTGGCCGACTGCGACCTAAAGTGAATAATGTTGCTCTTATCATGATTTACAATCATAGCATTTGATGTACACCAATTTGACAAAACATTAAGCATAAGTTGAAGATCATTTTCAGTTTCAGCTACAAGAACAATGTCATCAGCATATAATAAAATGCAAACCTTATCATTATCTATATCAATTCCTTTACCAATAGCTTTAATTTTTACAACAAGATCATCTATAAACAAATTAAACAATAAAGGAGATAACGAACACCCCTGTCGGAGCCCACATTTAACATCGAACCATTCTGTTGTAAGGCTATTTATCCTTACACAAGATGAAACTGAGTTATATAATGACTGTATTGCCTGTAACATATTACCATGGATACCCTTACTATCTAATTTGTTCCATAACAATGATCTGTCGATAAAGTCATATGCCTTACGGAAATCAATGAATGCACAAAAGGTTGATAATTTCTGTTTCTTTCTAGTTTCTACAATATTAGTTAAAGATGATACATGATCAATGGTACTGCGACCCTTCCTAAAACCATTTTGCTCATCACTGAGTATATTGTTAGATTCTGCCCATTTTGATAAACGGTTATTCAAAATTGTACAGTATATCTTATACATGGTGCAAGACAATGACAAGCCTCTATATGACAATGGATCTCTTGGATCGACAGTACTTGATTTCGGTATAGGGCTTATTATTATCTTATTCCATGCAGAAGGAATAATTCCTTTTGAAAAACAGATATTATACAAAATATGAAGAAAAGACACAGAGCAATCATTTTTCAAGATTTCCATAGGTATATTATCACAACACCAGGCTTTACCATTTTTAGCCTGTTTGACCGCATTAAACACTTCTAAGATAGATATATTGTCGTTTAAAATTTCTGTATTGTCATTCATATGATTACCACTAGGCACAAAATTTCCAGTATTTGTAGTATTAGGACTATTAAAAAGCTTGCTAAAATCATTTTTCCATTTCTCAAGAACAGTGTTAACATCATTTGAAACACCATGTTCAGTAATAACTTCCATAGGTATTTGTCTACTTCTTGACTGTGAAACACCTACCCTGCCAATGGTTTTCCAAAATTCAGTCTGGTTACTTTTGCAATCTGACAATAAATCATTTTGCACACCTACCCAGTATTGACGCTTGCTTTGCTGTACCGCCTTATCAAAATTCTTTCTCGCAGAAATAAATCGAGATTTAAGTACTGATTTTTCAGCACGCATATTACATTTAAGCCAGTTGCTTTCAGCATCGCAGACAGTATTCCAAAGGCAAGATAAGTTGTTATTCCACCATGGTTTCCCTATTTTTCTTTTCTTATTAGACGTTCTACTGTTAACTTAAATATTCTTAAATGGAACTTTACTATACATTTCATGCCTAATATTATGACAAATATCTGCATATGCAGTATCTACATCACTTAGCTCTTGTAAACTTTGTTCTAGTTTAAAAATACAATGGTGAATACTATTTATTACATCATCTGAACACATAAAATTTTCGGGAATACCCTTTAAATCAAACTTATCAAATGTAACATTGACATTATGACTTCTGTCGGGTTGTTCCGCAGGGTTTTCACATGAATTCCGTAACTGCACAGTCCATGATAATACAGAGTGATCCGGAATAGACACAGCAGACAAACCATTCACTGTACTTATCTCATCTATAAGCTGTGTAGACCTTTTGACTGTGAAGTTAGAAAATCTATGCAAATACTCGTGTTGAACTAAGCAATAGTCCACTACAGAACATCCTTTAGTGGATACAGAGGTAAAATCATTGTTATCACTATTTCTACCATTAAGAACACACATATTACTGTCAATAAGAAAATCTATTAAACAATCACCATACATATTTGACTTATAATCAACAATATCTCTTTCAGGTAAATTATCAACACCAACAATGTAATCAAAATTATCACCAATACGACTATTTAAATCCCCGCATATGAATAACATGCCATCATTTTGAAACATATAGATACCAGCTAAAAGATTGTCATAAAAATCCTGTACATCAGTTTGTCTTGACGAATTAATAGGTGGTAAGTAGCATACACAAGCATAAAATTTTTCATTTGAGATTTTACTTTCAAATTTCAACCATAAAATACCATCAAAACTGTCTTCAACAATATTTATGTCATACAGGTTTAATAAATCATCTTTAATAAGAAAACCCACACCCCCTGACCCTGATCTTGCATTAACATGAATATTTGTTCTATTATTTCCAAACCAGGAGAAACCAGATAAATATATAGCATCATTATTTCTAAGATGTGACTCAGCTATACCTAAAATATCAAAATCTAAAAATAGAGCACATTGTTCCCTAACATAAAAATTATCACTATTTTGCACAACACTCCAACCATTAACGTTCCAAAAACCTATTCTGGCCTATCTTCTTTGCTGCCATCCCCGTTGTTGGTAACCACGACCTCTGGCTTGTCCTCTTCCCCTTGAACCCTGACCCTGTCGACCACTATTGTTCACATCTTGTCTATCTGGCCGCGAGGTGCCAGCATTATTATTAGAAGATCTACCACCACGGTTGTCATTATAATTTGAATCTCGATTCCTACTATTATCACTTTTTCTCTGCACTTCAAAATTTGAAGTGTCAGCACGATTATCGCGATTATCACTTCGGTCGTTATGAAACACGCGATTTCCTTTTACTGATAGGGTACCACCCCTGTTTACCGCCCTCATCACCGCACGAAAGTTTATTGCCGCCACTCTTTCTTCCTTGGATTGGTCCTGATGAATGAAGATCTCATGAAATGATGTATCACGTAGGCGAGATTTTGCTTTCAACACATTTGTATGATCGTTTGCATTTCTAAATGAAGCAATAACTACTCCAGGTACAGATGACGTGTTATTATCCTGACTAACAACTCTACGAGCTGATGCTACAGTAACATCCTCAACTCTCAACTGGGTTTTTATCAATGAATTAACCTTCTCAGTAATATTCTCATTTTCTGTCTCTTTCATTTTACATATATCATACTTTACTTATTTAAATTAATTTAAATAAATTTTATACATTTGATAGGGGATTAAAGGCCCATTAAGCCTAAGAAATGCTTTAATTTTACTTCTCACAATCTTTTTAATTTTGGCGTACTTTTTGTATAAGTATATTCACGGATTTAATATAAATCCGTGGTATATTGCATGGTAGTCAAAATACTACTTTGTTAACATTTTGCTACTTTAATGACAAATAATTTCACATTTATCGCTACTTTCTTCAGGTAACAAGCATCTAACATGTTCCAAACATTATAAAATTCTTGTCTTCCGTTTCTTTAGAAGTATAAACTTATTTGTTTCCGTGACATAATCCGCAAATACGTGGGATAAAATTATTTTATTATTAATCATGAAATCAAGATACATTAACATGAATGCCTTTGAAACATTTAAAAGCAATTGTACATAAACATCACTATATGATAGTCTAAAGTATATATATTTATTATCAATGGAATAATTCTCAAAAAGTATTTGCATGGGACCGACGATAATCACATCATAAAATACACGTAGAAGGGAGACAACAGTGTTGAAATTGTAAACTTACAAGTTGTAGTATTTCTCTCCCTTGTAACAGTCTCATTCGATTCTGTTCGGCACAACCTCTGCCCACCACCCACAATGGGTTGAAAATCGGCCCTGCCAACATTTCAACATTACGTTTTGATCAAAACGGCGTTGAAATCTGATCAATAATGGGGTTATTTTTTAACGATTTGTAAAATTTGAGTTTAACGTCGGTCATAGTCTGTTTACAGTAGAGATAGGCTTCATAAAGACCGGTAGAAAGTTAGCAGTAGCAGTGAGCAGTATCAGTAGCAAATTTATAAAATGTGAAGTTGGCAGTAGCAGAAGAAAAGCAGTAGCAGTATCAAAATAATAAAACGTAAAGTTGGCAGTAGCAGTTTTTCTTAATTTCTTGTTACCATGGCAACGGGGGGACATCTCAAAAGTGCGAAAAATCACTATTTTGCATAGTTTTTTTCCCCATCAAAACTGATTTCAAATTGCTGCAACTTCTCAATGCAATGAGATAGAGTAAAAGGCTTTTCAGCGTTGGTTACACGTCACCTTAAGATCGACCTGAGGCCATTTTTAGCCTGTTACATGTCCCAAATTTTCTCGGCGATGAGGGGGACTACCGCCCCCGTCAAACCCCTCAAACAGAAGGGGGCACCCCCCCCCCTCAGAAAAGGGCACATCCCCCTTCTGGCAACCCCCTGATGTATCATATTGATGGGAGGCCGCACCGAAAAAGTGGTCACTTTTTTTAAAAACATTTCTCAAAGGCCTCAAAAGGGGGGGGGGGGGGGGACAAAAAGCCGTCAAAACACGTCTATATCAGAAAAAAAGATTAATTAAGTTTTTATGAAATGAAAACTCGTGTGACATTTCACAAATTTTAGAATTTGTATTCATTGAATCAAATTTATTCAAAGTGAATTGCAACACTTTAATTCAACCTTCAACGCAACAATGCAACAATAGCAGTATCTTACATTATATACATACATTAACATGACCAAACAAATTGAAAGAAAGGTAGACACGGTCGAGGGACATTCATTTAGCACCCAGCCACACACAACCATCGTTAAAGCACCTACCCATGGCAATTACTAAAATCAAGCATGCAAGGTTGGTACCAGGGGCGAGGCGTATTTGTCATTGAAAAGTTGTATAAATAATTATAAATAACGAACACTACCCTATTGTAGTTCATATGAGAAAGAAATGATTTGATATTTCAAATGTTCAAGTCAACATTCTTATGCCAATTCAGTGACAAAAAAGTGACAAAAGACCATAACTATTACAACAGTCAAGAAATGACAATTAAATAAAATTGTTCCAGCTCTATTCACTTCACATTTGTTTGCATACTTCATCTGTGAACAATTCTGTCGTCCTTCATTCTCTTTAATTCTCAGTTTAGTTTTCAGTTTTAGAATCTGTTCCTCCAGCATATCTTTATCACATGAGTCTAACGCAGCATAGAATTCACTCATCATCTTATATTTAGCACTCTCTGGTTCACCTTTAAATGCTAAAAATCTCGCATATTTGTCCGCATCACCAAGGAAACATGGCTTCTTCTTTATATTACGCACAATCAGCATACATTCTACCTTACAATTCCCGGGGACACACTTTTCTATGACGTTAGAGTAGATCTGCAACATTTCGGGATCACTGAAAACACACAAATAATTATTTCTATGTAAAAAGGTTTTCATTACTTATTTAACAGCAAAATTCAATTTCTTTTAAAAAAAAAACATTTTCATCATGTACATGTAATATGTATCATGTTTAGAACATATCGTAACATTATTTAAATTCAATTCATGATAAAAGTAGCTTTGAGTCCCATTACTTGTCACTTAAGAAAATATGCAAAACATTTACTGATTTAAATAGTAATGCTGATGAATAATGTTAAAAGGGGATAAAAGTGACATTATGTCCATCCAAGGATATAAAGTGAGTAAACAGCTGAAAGTCGAAATTTTGCCATGCTTTCATTCAATTTTATACTTTATTTTGGATGAACAATAAATAACTCATATGGCTCAAGAAATGTCTGTAAATATCCATCAGAACCTACCTGTAACGTTCATTCTTAAAAATAAGTGTGGGACAGTCTTTTATATTTTATCGTAAACATAGGAACATTTAGCCTATCACCATTATAACAGTAAATCCTTTGAAATATATAGTCAATTCAACTGAACTTGACTATGAAGTCGCTTTAAAGGGCAGGCTACAATTTTGTTCATAAATGTAGGCAATCATGATCATTTTATAAATTAAATAAACTTAATATAAATATACATTAAGACAAAAACTAAAACATACTCGAGAGTCAATGTCCTAAAATCGCACCCATATACAACATTGTTGTTTTCCTTCCAGTCACACGTGCTCGAACCTCTCCAAGAGTTACACTCTAAAATATAAATATTATAGTTATATGTGTTTTATTTAACAAAATAAACCTAGCAACAATGAAAGTTAATATTTCTCAAAACAACAGTCTGTGTAGGGAAAACTGCGAGGCCGATGTAAATAAGCGTAAGTATCTATTACACCAAGGTCATTCAAACTCAGATCTGTGAAACATATAAAAAGTCATGAGTAAATGAATTATCACCAACTTTTAGACTATTTTTTCTTGCTCTTAAGGCCGTTTCAATATTTACTCTTCAAGTCTGATATGCATAATAGTCCTAGTTTTATTAAAGACTTAGGACCCCTTAATGTCATATAAAACTTACATACTAATAATACATCTGGTTCCTGAATCGCACCCAATAATGGATGTTTGAATCAAGATTTCTTTTGCAACGTCCATTCTTTTAAGTGTGTGTGTTTTGGAGGAAAGGGGATCAATCAATTTTGGTTCAATGTCCTTACTCTAATTAAGATGAAAATATATATATATATATATTGATATAAATTGTATTTAGGGAAATAAACTTAATAGTTATACACAGAAAATGAACAGAAATACGACACTTAACTACAGATTTTTCAGCAATTAAGCACATATTTTGTTACATAAACTTAATTTATGTTAAAAATTACAACTTCTTCATTTCTCTGCAGTAACATGAGGGAGGCGATTTGAAAACAATTTGTATTTTCAAATAATTATTGAAACTATCGATTATCCATAATGCCATTGGTTATAAATGTAGTGAAGAAAAAAAGTAGATTTTTACAATGTATGATATACAGATGGATATTTTTGTGAAATAATAATATCTCACTTGGTTTGGCATTTTCTACAGGGAAGTAGCTGATGAAAGCGAAACACATTTCATCGGTAGTATGCTCTCCATAATAAGTAGTTGTCTCCCTTGATGTTGTTTTATAGACGCACGTTGTTCGGATTTCGTCGCCAGGTTTCACAATTATGCCATGTTCAGAACTAAAAAAATACGAGCTCAATATAACATACATTAAATCTTGCAGAAAAAGACTGTAAACTGTAAAATTTAATGTAAACTTTTTTGTTAAACAAAGAAAAAGAATAAAACACCGGCTGTCGTATATAATATGTATCTAGCTTTCGGGTAACTGTAGATATTCCGGTCTCTACCGGCAGCCGGTGTAAGTAAATTACACCCTAGCGGTATTTCTCTGATATGCATGCATTTCCTATACATTTTTCAGTTACCTTATAAAAGATATCTTTATACAAAGGTCAATTTTAGAAACAAAAGTTAACTTTCTTTTCCACCCCTATCGTTTATTAAACAAAGTATAAAATTTGTTGTTGTTTTTTTTTTCATAATAATGTCAACAGTTCCGATCAATTCAGAAAGCAAACCCGACATTCAAATAACCTAAAAACTTTAATTAGAGTTAAACTAACATAAAAATGCATAAATTTAACCGGAATATATTTTACTTGTGGAGTAAAGGATGGTCGTAACTGTAATAGTTGTCTGTGGCAAGGTCAGCAACAAATTTACCATCCCTCCACACTTCCGTCATCTGCGACCGCCCTGAAAAATCGACCATTTTAACATCTTTATACAGAAAAGGGGTGGAATTAACATGGGTTCATATACAAAATTTGTTAAAATATGTGGACTCTACACCGATTTGTATCAAATGCATTAATTTGCATTCAATACAGATTCATCAAATATATTGATTATGCGGGGATAAACAAATCATGATATAAAAATATTCCAAAGATTATTTAGGCCATCAATCAAAATTTTAAATTTCGTTTCATTTTTCGAAAATTAATTTGTTCATGCTATTTTTTTTAAATCTTATTTATTTATGAATAAAGGACTTATTTCCCAACCTGAGTGGATCATAAATAGATACATGTAAATGAAAACAATTTAAACAAAAAAATATGTATAAGAAAGTTCTGATTTATATATCTATAATGACCTGTCACTGATTATCTCAATTTCATTTGTAGACTAGTATTGATTGACTTCAGTTTTCAGATATTGTTCTGGTCCTTCGGGATAATCAATTCCAGCACTGTTAAAAATGGGTGCCGCTCAAGCCGTTGCTTGGGGGGGGGGGGGGGGGGGGGGTTTCATTATCCGTCATGTAATAACTCAATCAAACGGAGTCTGCAATTTTCATGTAATTTTATTGTGATTAATGCTTCCGAGGGACCACCCTTAGTTCATATATTTATACATCACAACAGCAGATGTCAGTGTTGAAATACTTTTCTGTTCCTTCAGGATGATTGTAGTACTTTTAAGATAAATGTTTCTGAGGTATTACCTTTTTCCAGATTTTTGTATAAAAATTACCTAAATAATGCATGTGGTTCACGGCAGACACCACCGTTATGTTGTTAGTTATAATCAGAGCGCTACATTCAGCCGGGCATCCTCCCAGAACACTGTAACGTTCTTGTTTGGGCGGGATCTCCAGATACGTCTGTCCAATCATCATCATTCCAGAATTATAGGGGCGGAGTTTAGGCGTTACATAAAAAATCATCCCAGAAGAGTCGATTTCATTGGCCTTTTTCTCCGGGTTATTCCAATGTAGCTGAATCAAAATTTGAAAAAGAAATGACATTGTTTATTTAATACTTGAAATATATAAAATGTATGATGAAGAATATTTGCCATTCTGTCAATTATTAAACTTTGCTTCGTTTGTTCTGAAATTGCTCAATGATGACAAAATTTAATATACTTTTTTCTGTCGTCTGCTACATGTTACTTTGTTTACTTCTAAATTCAAAGTAAAACTTCCATACATTAAGATATCTGCCCCCGTAGTATAATTTCAATGGTGAAGTTTTTATCGTCACGTCTCAATGAGTTTTAACAAAGATGGTTCTTCTTTCTCACGCATTTTTAAGGTAAATCTTGTTTCGTTTGTTCAATAATCATAAATATATATATACTGTTTTTCTGTCGTCTGGTATTATAGTTACTTTGGTAACCTCTAAACTAAAACTTCTTTTTATTAAGATGAATCAAAATGGCGAGGTGTGGTGTGGTGACAACATCTATCAAAAAGTAAGAAAGAGCTAAGGCTCCTTTATCTTAAATAACCGGAAGTTTTCTTAAAAGCAACGCAAACTGGTTACCTGAATTGCAGCTTTCTTGATTCCCCACGTTCCACCAACAAGCATACCACTTCCTTCATGAGGACAAACCCCAGCTAGACCAACCGACCATACCGAGATGATACCTACACATTTAGGCCCGGGGGTCATGCCACATACGTATGGTTCATCAGAAACTTCTGTGTCGTCTGTAATATACAATTAAGAATTGTATTTTTTATTTGAGGAAACTGTCCAACGTAATGACGGTGGTTCTATCACATACTCGTATCAATGAAATAATTCACGATCCTTCTCCATCATAGAATCAGAAAGGTCGCCATATGGCCGGTATATTATGTCGAAACCAAAACAATGCGTCAAGATGACGTGAATTATAATGTATTTGCATTCAAAAATCCAAATACAGATTCGTTAAGGAATATTTAGTACAAAATAACATACTATTTAAGAAATAGATATCAATTTTTAGTGCATTGTTGTAGAAAAACGAACGGTTCCAGTTCAAATGCGATATGCCTAAATGATTAATTAAAAAGCATTTGAATGATAAACCGTGCATTATTATACTGTAATTCAAAATATTAATATCTATTTCCATTCTAACATGTTTATAAAAAAGAGAACTGATAAAATATGTTACATTGAGAGTAGAAGTTATTTTTCTGACGTAATTTGGCTTATTAACGTCATAATTGGCGTCATATGATGTGTAAGCATTCCTTTTTAATGCTGTGCATATATTGCACTAGTCTAGTTCCATGCCATTATGAGTAGTAACAGGGGCAGGTAACCCAGACTTATATTGCACTTGATTATCCTATCGGCTTGAACTTGTTAGAATATCCCATATTCTATGAGGCAATTAAGGTTAATAAGTACAAATATTATATGTTTACCTTCACAATGGAAGACTAGTATATGATGTAACATCTGGATATTGTTGATCTGTGGTTTGTAAGCGATCACGTGGTTTGCATCTCTGGGAAATTCAAAAACTAAGCATGTGTAGGTTGTAACGTTTGCAGGTATATCTGTCTCGGGTATCGCTACAGTGAAGTTAAAAACCTCTGAAATACAAATAAAATAAAAATGAATCATACGCATTATACGAAATTCATTTAATAGTATTATACAACTTATCTAAAATTTTAACATGTCGTACTTGTTTATTTCAACAAACAAAGCACCCGCTCCTGCCGCCGCCCTCCCCCCTCACACCCCTCACACGCACACTTTTCTTTCACACTTCAAACACAATCACACTCTCTATATACTGTTTTTACTGTATGAAATTCGTTAATTTACCCATTTTCATTATTTGGTTAGTAAATATATTTCCCTTGATACTATTTTCTATATCTCGCTTCAGAATAATGTGTACTCATTAAAGTCAACAATTGATTTGTTTTGCAGTGTTGAATTGTTTGTCGATTCAAAACTTACAATCAAAATTAAAACAAATCAATTAAACAGATTGCTTTCAAAATATATCATCCGCGTTCCTAATTCAATTTACAGTCAGATGACGTATCGGTCCAAAATACAGTATATTAAACAAACCTGGTTCGTGAATTGCTGGACAATGAAAGTCTTCTTGGTCGCAATTAACAAAATCATGTTTCCCATGACACAAAGGGTTGTCAACTGGATCACATATACCTGAAGTTCAGAATTATCTTATTTTAATGACAAATATTTCGATAATTACCGACAATAAACAGAAATATAATATATACATTTGATTTCTTTCCCGAAGAAAAATAGTTAGTTTTCTGTTATCAATGCTCAAATATCTTGTTTTGTTTCCCTAGTATTCTGTTCTTTCAGTGCTTTGATTGATTGATTAAGTGGAACATTTCATTGAAGTTCAATACCAGGGTGTGAGAGTCCAGTCTTCCGAGAAGGTTGTTTTCCTTTCCGCCAAATACAATCAGGATCTCCGAGTTCCTGTCCGTTCGTCTTTCCATCACCATCAGAGTCTTTCTTGCATAAATTTGAATCCCATTTCTGTAACAAACCACCAGACAACTGAGGAACGTAGTACAATTGATCCAAAATTAGAAATATATTTACTTCTGCTTATCATTATGCTTAATTATATTATACACGTGATTTATTTACTACATGTATATAATTTTAAAAAGTGATAGTAGAGGATGATAATCCGTAGTATTACATAGAGGATATTTGTTTGTTTGTGTGAAAGATGAAATTTTATTTCATCGAGTGGGCTTTAAAAAAAGTATTCTCACGAGTGGCGTAGCCACGAGTTAGAATACTGTTTTTAAAGTTCACGAGATGAAATAAAATTACATCTTACACTACAAACAAACAAATTTTCTTTTTATTTTATGCTTAAAAACAAGTTAAAAAACGAAATTTCCATAATATTAACGTTAATATTAAAATCTGTTTTCCCCATTGAGAGCCCCATTTAGTCGGAATTTCTCATTAAATACAAGAAGTCTTGAGCTGAAAAATAAGTTCGTAAATCAACGTTAAATGACGTTGATATTATTCATTTTATTAAAAAAATATGAATGTTCGCTTGTTTTAATAATAAAAACAAACAATTTTGGTAGGAGAAAAAGTTCAACCATCCATCCAAATTTCTGTTACTTACTGCGAATTTATAGTAGACCTGGCTTTGTTAACTGTAAGCGGCAGCCATTTTTAAAAGTTGTGTATTTCAAGGGAGGAAAATAATTGTGTTTGATTCAGAGGGATATCATTTGGATTTGTTAGTCATACACCTTTTTAAAAGAAAGAAAACTTATTTGAGGATTGTAACAGACAAAAAATAAGTGTTGACAGATGTGAAAACATTCAAAAATGCAGATAGGAAAATGGAAAACTTGGAAGCTGGCTCAGGAACGCTGGGTAGTTTACTTATTCTACGAGCAGATGGCTGCCATTGCTTTCCAATTTTTCATAAAGCATACGACAGTTATTGCTCGTAGGATACTTTAATATGCCCAAATGTCATCAAGAGCAGTTTTGCATGTGGAAGGAATGTATTTTTCAGACTGTAAAAATTGAAACAAAAAAATTTAGAGACGAAATTTGGTGATTGGAATTTGAATGAATAGAAGTAAGTTTTCTTCTTTTTATTACTTTTGACATTTAAGTTATTTATCAATTTCAGCTTTGCTTTTTCTTTAAACAGCCTGACATTGTCAGAATTGTCAGCAAAAATAAAATTGAGGTACCACATGGGGAAAATCTTAAAAAAGTAGTTTCGTCATTGAAAAGTGTGAAATTATATTTTGATAATTTTTACTGTGAAATTATCAAATATAATTTTCACGGATAAATCAGTTATCCACTGAAAAGCATAAAATAAATGGTAAAACTCGAAAAAACCTCATGATTATCCCCTTCTATTGAAAATAGGATTTTTTCAATATTCGTGGATTTATCACTAACATTGGAAATCGCCAATATAAAGGCAATGAGCTGAAACCAAGTGCCTATCACGGTCGCCCATATGGGCTTTCCGGCGGCGACCTTAAATAAACGCATTAAAAAAAAACAAGTCGGTCAATTTTGTAAAATTTGACAGAAGTAATTGGCATGTCTTCTTGTCCATTTTGCAAAGAATTTGACCTTGACCAAAAATTGCCTTGACCCTCCAGGTCAATTCCTTAGTTTTTGCTCATAGTTCCTAATTAGTTTTATTTCATATTTAAATATAACACCCATTCAAACTCATAATTCTATCCTATATATGACCTTGACCTTTATGGCCAAATTTTTTACTTTCCCCACAAAGGCCTTTATTTTCTTATTTATGGATTTATAGTAACTTCATTGATCGTAGCTAAAATTCGCAATAGCTTTGTAAAAACAACATTTGGCATAAGACCGTCAAGTTGGGCAAGTCGAGCTAGTATGATATCGACATGACAATGACATTGACCTTCAAGATCAAATTATTAAGCCCATAACGTTCTTCTTAATGAATGTGTTACACTCTTCTTTAAACTATAAAACTGAAACTGACATTTATGACCTTGAACTTTACAGAAATTATTGACTTATGCGTCGACTGTCTATACGTACATTTGTTATTTATGAATGAATTTGATTCTCAATTAAAAAAAACAGTAAATTCAGTTTAAATTTACTTACAAAACCATTTGCTTTGAAGTCCAGACCAAATTGGTTTCTACTGTCTCCGCCCAATTCGCTTATATGGCCAACTCCTCTCCAAAGAAAGTTTTGTTTACAAGGGTGGGGCACGATCTCTCCGTTTGGAATCTCTTGCTGATATCTTTCGTAACAGGAAACAGACTTGAGAAAAATTAGTACCAAATGAAAGGCTGGCCTATTCTTCATCATCCTATAAAAGATAAAGGAAAAAGCTAGTAATTTAATTTGTTCTTGTTACATCATATATATATATGATCACTGGCAAATTCGAAAACATGGCCAGAAATCACATGCTGTTGATTATAAATGTCAAGGCCGCCATTTTTTGTAAATATTGTTTTTAAACGGGTTGCACGGTAAAAAGAAGCCATTTTACAGAGAATACAAACTTTAATCAGTAGCAAAATCTACAAGGTTAGGCACCACTTAATTTGTAATATTTTGCATGTATAGGGAGACAGTGTTTCTTCAACCTGTATATTTGCAGGTATATGGACGAAATGCATTATTTCAGGTCTCAAACCGCAGTAGATTTTGCACTTCAACGGAATTAATTGAAACTTTTTCAACTGCCTGACTATTGCATATAGGATAATTTCATTGTAGATTTACAGTCCTATGGCATAAATGTTCTCAACTAATGTGTATTTTTCCAGGTTGTGTACTTTTGGACCAGAATTATCAGACGCATTGCTTGTAGGTCATTAACGGCTGGAACTTGAAATTTACTGTGGAGGGATACCTTTGTGTGTCAAAATGAAACAAACAAACGATTAAAGCATACAATAAAGGATTATTTAATGAATCTAATCAGTGAAACATGACAGGTGTAGGAGATAGATGTAGGATATCGTAACTGTATGTTGTAAAACACCACGTGATTAAAGGTGTTGAGATGATAATCTGTAGAGGATAATTTCCGTATATATGGGTTGGTGTTTTGATTTCTAAATGAAACACAGCTCATTGTATGTTTATGACTGATAGTTATCGTCAATTGCTTAAAGAATAAAAGAAAATTAACTTCTTATTCTTAAGTTCACTTACAACTTGCAAATTAAGGACAATGGAGTTACTCTAGGTTTAATTTTGTTACAGTTAGATTATTTTAGTTGAAAATTTCAGATCATTCAGTATTTGTCTGGTAAATAAAATAAAATATCAAATAGGTTTGTGGGTAACATTGATAATTTCATCCCTCGTAAAAAATACAACATTTTCCTCAGGATGAAACTTTAATCAGTTGATTTGATAATACCTTAAAACTGATATGCGAAACGCGAAACAGAAACGAAAAAAATAGAAATGCCTTTTCTCCGGCATTTTGTTTAAAATAGCCTAATGACATAATAATACACGTTTATGTAATAAGTAAACAAAACTGTTTTACCTTCGTTAGAAAATATCCAAACACTTTTAAGTATTAACATTACAGGCTATGAGCTGTTATTATATGTTGGGTTGATGCATGTTTATGTAGCACACAGGTAGTCACTGTCTGGCATGCTGTACGTACATTGTCTATTAATGTAGAGCAGGACGGTATCCTCGTATAACAATGTTTACCAATTGTTACTGGAGATAATGTTTGAAAGTACATTAAATATATGAGATGAAAGTTATCATTGGTCCTATGAAAATTCTAGACCTTGTATTCATTTTCAACGTCCACTGACTGGAATTGTCGGAATAGTTCTAACCGTACACGTTACAATACAGTGACTACATTGAGTATTGGAATTCTGAGAAAGGAAGCATGTATATTCCTGAGTTTTCTAAGTACAACCAATGACACATAGCAATTAAACTAGCTTTAAAAAAGAATTTATCAATTGACCCCAATAATAGTGCAAGCAATTTTAAATTGTATTTAACATGTATTCTGTTCCTTGTGATTGAACAACTTTAAATAATTACTGCGTAAATAATTTACCTGATTATGAGGAATTAACAATTTATAACTCTCAACTACTTTAAAAAAAATGAATTATACATGTAAACTCAAAGCCGACATTAAATTATTCTTTTTTCATTGAATAATTAATTTATCTATCACTTGGTAAATGATTATATTGAGTGCTACAATGTAGTGTATGTACAAAGCTTACTTATGAGATCGGTATTAAATGAACATCCAACATTTAATAAATAAGTATGTACAGTCAGGACGGCTTTGATGTTTTGCCGTTCTGTCCGCAAACTTAAACCTTGATATAACATTTAATTCTTGGTATTTGACCACAACAACCTTTGGAAAGACCTTTAAATAGACAGACTAACTTGACCTTCGCTCATAAATAAGCTTGACCTTCGAAGTCAAATTCTAAATGTTGCTTTGCTGATTTTTGCTATTAGTGGCTATATGTATTTTGAGATGTCTAAACTTGGCATAGTTTAGATAGACCTTAATACAAACAGACCTTAACTCACTTAAATAAACCTGACTTATTCTTATAATTTTCTTAGTGTAACGCATGAATAAATGATTAAACACGAAGTACGAAGAAAAATTTGCAAGTTCAAAACTATAAAATCACGAAAGAAGGATAATAAAAAACGTGAACGTACAATGACGAAGATAAAAAAAACACGAACATTGAAAGTCGACATCGTATCTTTTCATCTTCGTTAATTTTTTGTGATATTTTGTTGTTGTTTGTTGTTGTTGCTGGTGGTGGTGTTGGTTTGCATTTCGGTAAATGTCTGCGTCAATTGATTATACACTTATAAATTGTGTTGATCATATGTTTCCATGCATATTAACTGATAAACTCCATACCACATTTAAATGTAGTGTATGACAGGTTTTTTTACATTTGAAATAAAAACATTGATTTATCTTGCCACCTTGAAAAATGAGCGGGTATATTGCTTTGCAAATGTCTGTCGGTCGGTCAGTACGTTGGTCGGTCAGTCGGTCGGTCCGTTAACCAAGCCATCTTAAGATCGACTTTTTTATAAAAAAAAATAAATAGAGGTATTGTTACAGTCAGGTCGGCTTTGATGTTTTGCCGTTTCTGTCCGCAAACTTAAACCTTGATCATAACATTTTAAATTCTTGGTATTTGACCACAACAACCCTTTGGACAAGACCTTTAAATAGACCAGACTAACCTTGACCTTCGCTCATAAATAACCTTGACCTTCGAAGTCAAATTTTAAATGTTGCTTTTTTGCTGATTTTTGCTATTAGTGGCTATAACTTTGTTATTTTTGAATGGATTGTCTTCAAACTTGAGCATAATAGTCTTTTAGGATAGACCTTAAAGTTTACCAAACAGACCTTAACCTCACTTAAAAAAGACCTTGACCTTTTTATTCTTTAATTTTCTTTTTAAAGATTTGTTTAAACCGTTTATTTGTTTGCATTTAAAATAGTAAAACTGTCGATCATTGGCCCGCCCGGCGTTGGCTCTTGTCGATCAATAACATAAGACTCAGCAACTTCAAGCTAAGTATGTAGATCGGTCTTGGCAAATAGATGACCCCTATTGATTATGGTGCCAAGGAGTCAAAGTTCAAGGTTATATTGGTCTTTTATATCCAAACGGGTACCGAAAATTACTTAAACACCCAATGGGCCATTCGCCCTCAAACTTCACAGGTGCACTGGTCTTGGCAAGAAGAAGACCTTTCTTATTTTGGAGTCAGTGGGTCAAAAATCAAGATCACATTTGCTTTGTATGTACAAACGGTTTCTGACCAATAACTTGACAACCCATAGGCCTTTCACATTTTCATAGGTCTTGGCCAGTAGATGGCCCCTATTAATTGAGAAGCCGTAGGGTCAAAGGTCAAGGTCATATTGTTAAAATGGTTTCCGACCAATAGCTTGACAATGAATTGGACATTGGCTCTCAAACGTCATACGGTCTGACCCCTTTTGAATATCAGGTCTCAAAAGTCAATATCTCATTGACTGTATAATAAAAAGGTTTCCAACCAATAAATTTACACAAGACCTATTGGCTGGCTTTGGTGTGTATACGTGTTTTCATATGCATACCGAAAGGCGAAAATTCGAAAACACGAAAGTATCGGGACGAAAGTGAGAACATAAAACCGCGAAAACGCGATGATATGAATTTGAATACTCCATTTCGTAAAAGTGATTTTAACTTGTATTTTGATATTTACAAAGCATCCCATAACTCTGTACAGAGTGACAATGTGCTTTATTAAAATATGTTTAGATGTGTTCTTTTTTATTTACGATATGTTGCATATATTGTATCTCATTGAAGAGACAATGTTAAAGAGTAAAATAAATGTAATTGTATTAAATTGTAAAGAATTACTTTTTAAGAGTCATAAAAATTGGAATATTTTTATGGATAATATGTTTTTCAAGTTCAATATAGAACAGTAGATATTTTATAGATTGATAAACTTATGTGGTATTATCCTATTTTTTGCAACATGACATATTAGGATACTGCTGTGCAACAATTCACTTATTCAGGTTAATCTTTTACATACACATATATTAAAAAACATACTAATTTGATATTCAAAGCTACTGCAAATATATGAAAACTTCTATTTTCCTTATTCATCACATACCCGTGCCGCTTTTGCGACTCCATAAAAATGGTATTGCACGGCCGTGCGAATATGTTGACTTGATACAAACATAGTGTATGTTAGCGTTATACTACAGGCGCGTCAATGAAAAATGACGCTTTTTCTCTTTAAATGGTCTTTATCTTTGGTATGTGATAAATAGAATATTAAGTTCCTGTATGTTCATCACTCATTACTAAATTTATTGAACTCAATGAATAAAATAATATCATGCTTGCCAGGGGCTCGCATAATATAATAAATCGGCAAGCCTCGTTACCGCCCAATGGGCGGAGTACCCTCTGGACGGATATTTCGATCCGAACCGAGACATATGATTCACATTTCTTTTTAGGATCTAAAGTTTGATGGATAAGTAAACCATCCACAATGAGGAATAACCTTTAACAAATCGTAGTCAGCTGTCCGTACACAGTCAACTATTGGTAGTAACGCGTCCGTAAACAGTCAACAATTGGTAGTAACGCGTCCGTACACAGTCAACAAATGGTAGTAACGCATCCGTACACAGTCAACAAATGGTAGTAACGCGTCCATAAACAGTCAACAAATGGTAGAAATCCGTCCGTACACAGTCAACAATATGTAGTAGCCCGTCCGTACACAGTCAACAATTGGTAGAAACCCGTCCGTACACAGTCAACATTTGGTAGTAACGTGTCCGTACACAGTCAACAAATGGTAGAAACCCGTCCGTACACAGTCAACAAATGGTAGTAACCCGTCCGTACACAGTCAACAAATGGTAGAAACCCGTCCGTACACAGTCAACATTTGGTAGTAACGTGTCCGTACACAGTCAAAAAACGGTAGAAACCCATCCGTACACAGTCAATAAGTGTTGGTAACTCGTCCGAAAACAGTCAACAAATGGTAGAAACCCGTCCGTACACAGTCAACAAATGGTAGAAACCCGTCCGTACACAGTCAACAATTGGCCGTCCGTACACAGTCAACAATTGGTAGTAACCCGTCCGTACACAGTCAACAAATGGTAGAAACCCGCCCGTACACAGTCAACAAATAGTAGACACTCGTCCGTACACAGTCAACAATTGGTAGACACTCGTCCGTATACAGTCATCATAAAGGACTGATCGTCAGAAAATGTGTGTAGCAAAGTAAACTGTCAACAATGGTGAAGGAACTGTAAGCAAAGGGAGAAATATTGACGCAAAGAGTAGCGAACCGTCAGTAAATGGAAATAATTTCTCAACGAAGGGGAGGAAAGCGTCAGTAAAGATTTGTCACGGTTCAGAACTGTTCCCTATTTAGGGGAGAAGATGTGTAAGCGGCCGAATAGCTCAGTTGGTACAGCTGCGGTACGGTAACCCGAGGGTCCAGGGTTCGATTCCCGGTCAGGCTGCACATTTTTCTCATCCTGTGACAGATAAGTCAATCGACAACAAAAGGGAGTTATTGACAGTAAATTGGAGTAACTGTCAGCCAAAGTGAGTAACTGTCTACAAAATGTTTAAACTGTCAGCTAAGGGTGATTAAGATCAAATAAAAATAATAAGTAGTATTTCAGAAAAAGGATCATGTCAATTAATTCATCAACAAAGGTAGGGGTAGGTTACTGTCAGCGAAAAGGGAGTAAACGACAAAAAATACAATAAAATAAAATTCAGACACGCAAGATTATTATTTTAATAGACAGAAAAATCAAGTTAAGCAGAGGTCCCGATTTAGAGAAAATAATGAAATAAAAGTAAGATTTGATTGAACATTCTTTAGAATAAGTTAAAAAAGAGTAAAACAAAAGTCTTACAAGGCAATTATATAATATAAAGTCACGGAGTCTTGATATGTTGGTATCTACTCTTCTATAATACATATACAAATGTAGTCATTAAGATATATATTTACATAAAAATTCGCATAAACCCTTTTTTTGTTATTTTTGCTCTGGTATATATTCTCGCTGTTTTTGTTATTATTATTATTATTGTTGTTGTTTGTGTTATCATTGATTATTTTGTTGCCTTGTCCATTAAACTGAAACAGAAATGGGCTAAACACATACATGTTCTACATTACATTGTATAATAAGGTTTCTTTGTGTCTCAGTAGTTATAGTAACAGTATGAGAGAGATGAAGGTTATTTCCAGGTACACAACGTGCTGCCATTTCCTGTCTGCAGCGTGACTCATGTCCAGCCAACCATTCTTGCAGACATGTTTCGCCATCTTTTCCATCAGAAGCTCGGTATTGCACGAATCAAGCGCCGCAAAGATGACATTTAGGTGATAGTCAAAATCTTTGATTCTGATAAGGTGGGGTCGAAGATCTAAGGTCAGTTCCTCAAAGCAAGGATCTTTCTGCATCTCGCGTACGTAAACCATGCATTCGTTTCTACACAGGCCTGGGGTACAGAATTTCTGAATGTTAACCATCATGATTAGGAGTTCGGGATTTCTGTAAAACATAAATTTTATTGGTATTATTTAGGGCCGGGAATTATATTCGAATATTCGAATATTCGAAACACTACCGAATATTCGAACATTGAAAAACGAATACGAATATTCGAAAAAAAAGGAGAAATGTTTCATTTTTTGTCATTACTTTCAAATTTCAATTCAGATCGTAAATTAAACCTTTGCCCTTTCCTTCACCAGGTGTTCAAATGTTTGTATGACGCGTGTCAACAATTATCGCCAATTAACTGTGAAAACTTTGGGGTATAGTTGATCAAAAGGGCACCCGTTTCACAGTTTGTAATTTACCTGTTGAACAGTTTATAATGTAAATTTTTTCGATTTTAATTATCTTATTTGTTGTTTTCTGTGTTAAAATCTTTCCGATTAATCAATAATTGTCTTAAATTTTGTGAATAAGAATAAATTGGCACGCATTATTCGGCGCGTTATGAAAGCATATGAAGTGTCTAAATTCTGTCAGAATATATTTATTCCGTAGACATTAGACTCCGTGTGATATTTACCTCGTTATAGCTAAACTTATCTTAAGAATATTTTAAACTTTATCTAAAATTATAAATAAAAATATTTAATACAAGTTAAGTTTCAATATCATTATGTGTCTTTGGGGATAAATGGCTACGATGATTCATATTACTGTCAGTCAAGTCACGTGAGTTACCTCCCGTTAATAAGACAGCGGTCGGGTTTACTGAACAAAAGGCAATCAAATTATGAATTTATTTCAAAAGTAAACATATATCTCGATTTACAATATTATATATAAATTAAAAAAACTTCGACATAGCAATAAAGGTCTTTTTAATCGCCGATTATTCCAAGCATTTTAAAGTAGTATAGTATTCGACGCAATCAATTTCGGATACGTATACGTCAAAGAGAAATATTGGAACAAATGTTGTAAAAACGAATATTCGAATATATTCGAATATGGAAAACGAATATTCGAACATCGAATTCCTTATTCGTTCCCAGCCCTAGTATTATTATATTATGAACGTACAATAGTGAGGCCCGACACAAAAATTTTATGCAAAATGTAAACTTTAAAGTCATAATACAATTATAAGTAACATTCTATGAATCGTTTCTAAAATTCATAAGTATAATGTCATCGTCAACATAACAAAGATCTTGATAAGACCACAGTACACAATGTGTTACGAAATATTTAGCAACACATTCTTTATGTAGGAAATACTAATTTAGAGTTCGACTGGTTTTATCAACTACGTTATTTAAGAATGACTGGAGTAAGCAAATACATTATTTGGACGTGACTGCATTAATTAAGGAAACAATTTTGATCGTGACTGGAATTAGAATATTCATAATTTGAGTGTCAATGCATTAGTTTAACGCGACTGGAAATAGGGAATACATATTTTGAGCGTCACTGCGGGATAACAAAATTATTTTGTAGTGTGGCGAAAGTTAGGAGCTGCATTATTTAACCGTGACTGGAATAATGAACAATTTTTTTTTAGCTGACTGGGTTAAGGGAATACATATTTTGAGCGTGACTGAAGTATTTAAAACATTATTTGATCGTGGCTCGAGATCAGACATGTATCATTTAAACTTGACTAATGTAAGGAAAAAAACATTTGAAGCGTGATTTGAGTTCAGCAAATTTCATTTTTTTTTTTTTTTTTTTTTTTTTTTTTTGGAACGCGACTAAGCAAAGTTTGCAATGACAAATTTTCTCATTTAAATGTGTTTCCGAAAGCCGCCTGTTTGTACAGAAGGTTGGCGTTTTTATTTAAAACAACAGCACCACTAAGTCGGGGCTAGGGGCGATAATCTTTCCATTCGGGAAGAGTGCCCAATCAAGATTTGTCTGAAATGTGTTTTATCTTAATTATCCTAATGATACCATATGACCTTCAAGGTAGGGTAGGCGCATGATTCATAAAACATTTTAAAGGTTTACCAGGCAATTCTATATTCCAAACATAGAAGCATTGTAGTAAAGCTGTGTTTTCCTATATAAAGCACTGACACCCGGGGCTTCGCATATCGTCTTAGTATATGTTAGTACTCATCCGTGCTGTTCTACAGAAATTAGAAACTTCGACGGGAGCGAATTTTTGTAGAACTGCTACGTATGAATACTAACATATTTAGTGTCAAACTTTATTTGGCCTCATTATTATTCACTTTATTACGTCACTACGTACTATGAAAAATAGCAGTCGACTATTGACGGAATTCAATATAGTATCGACGTTTTCTCTTCTATGAAAATTAACGCACAGAATTTTTAAGAAATACAGCGTTTTCATTGGATGACAAATAAATTTGGACACTAATTATGGTTACCACTTCTGCCCATGTGCCAAGTAGTTTCAATTTCCTGCCACACGTTTAACAGGTACAACCATTGCTAAAAGACGAAAGGGCCGACGGCCGGGTGCATACAAGTATTAGCCGCGCCAAAATCGTTCAGACGTTTAAAAAAACTATGACGTACGAAACTTATTCTGTAAAGTCGGTGTTGACCTAAATATTTGTATTTTATTAGACAAGTCTACTCACTGGGGATCTAATCTCGAACGATCACATGTGTCACCATCTTTTGCAGCACATTGTGCTCGTTGTCCCACCGAGAGGCATGCTGGTAAAAGTCAATAGTCAGATTAAAATGTTTGAAAAATGAAGAGACTTGTAATTTAGTATGGTAAGTAGATAGTACGATAAACAATTATTAAATGGAAGTCAGGTGATAAATCTAAACGTGTAAATAAAATGTTTTACTTTATCGAAATTTTAAACAAAAAAGGAAAAAAAATCTTTAAAAGGTTTAAACTTATTGTGAAAGTACACAACACAGTGTGAAAGTGATAAACTTTAGTTGAAGTAAACAAAGAACTAGAATTAATTAATTAATTAATTAATTAAAGTTTTTTTTACACGTGTGTGAGTTCTCGGCAGGGAAATACGTTAAGAATGAGAAGCACATTTCGTCATCTGTGTCGTCACCGAAATACGTCATGTTGTGTCTGGATGTAGACTTGTACACGCATGTAGTCTTCAACTCATCACCTGGACTCACTATCACCCCGTCTACAAACCTGTACCGGGATAAAAAATAACGTAGGTCAATACATGTATATGAATCACACCGTATTACCGGCGGCAGTGATGGCAGATCACTGCAGTGATGGCAGATATCTGAAAATTACCGATCGATACAGGTAGGTTATAAATTTGGTTGGTTTAATTATATTACACAAATACGGCACATATCATTGCTATAAAACTATTGTCCATTGAATGGAGATACTGTAAGGTAATTTTGGACTCGTTTTTTTCCTGTTTTAAGACTATTTTGAGCAGGTTAAAAGTGAAAGCCTTAGAAAAATCCGTGAAAATGTCTGTTTTCTGTTCAAAATATCTCAAGTTTTAAGTAAATGGCAGGATTTCCTGTTATCAATATAGACGTTCATCCATTGGGGTCACGCAAGCCAAATATCTACCCCGTGAGTCTTTTCTTGAAAGTTTTACAGACGCTCAATCTTGTCCGGTCGAAGAAAAAATGCTGCTGTTGTAGGCAGATACATATTATAAATGCTGCCGTCGATGGCAGAAATACCATGAAAGTGGCTAACATTCTGACAGAAAATCAAGTTCAATTTGTTATCAATTCCTCTTTTCTTTGCGTCCTTTTAGTCAGAATTGAGACGTTAAACTATCATTTCTAATATTTTCTCAAGATAGAAAAGTTAATAACCCATTACCCCATGACCATTTTGTGAAAAATGGCTTTTTTCATTGAAAAGTCTCCAGTTACAAGTTCAAGTTGCTATAAAACTATAAAAACTGCTTCAATACTAATCAAACTTGGCACAAATGTTGACTGGACCATTGCCTTTGTAACAACATGTTCAGTCTGAAATTTCCTGTTACCATAGCAACTAGGGGACATGTCAAAATTGCCAAAAAAACACTATTTTGCGTAGATTTTTTCCATCAAAATTGATTTCAAAGTGCTGCCACTTCTCAATGGATTGAGATAGAGTCAAAGGCTTTTCAGCATTGGTTACACGTTACCTTATGATCGACCTGGGGCCATTTATAGCCTCCCACAAGTCCAAAGTTTTCTTGGCGATGAGGGGGACTCAGCCCCCCTTCAAACCCCCCAAACAGAAGGGGGCACATCCCCCTTCTGGCAACCCCCTGATGTATTTTTTGGATGTGGGTGGGGGGGCGCCGAAAAAGTGGTCAATTTTTTAAACAACATTTATCAAACAAAAACAAGTGTTTGGGGCCTAAATAAGGCATTTTTTCACCATTTGAGAAAGCAAAAAAGGAGGGGGGGGGGGCGGGTGAAAAAGGCGTAGAAAGGCGTATATATCTGGTAATGGGTTTACAGAAAATGATGAAAAAAACGAAATTACCCAAAAACGCGTTTTTCCATGTTAAAACATGGCCTCACATATAATTTTGAAGAAAAATTGCTGTTTTGTAGATTTTTTTATTTTTTTCATTTATGCGGTATGTGCATCGAAAAAAAGCTTATTAGCAACATGCAGTTACAATACAAAAAGTTATGATTTAGTACCACAAAATTTCACTATAAATAGAGAAATGAACATGAAAAACTTCATTTTTCTATATTCATGCATGTGTGCTTGATTTGTTGTGTCTGTCAGTTACATGCATACAATACTATATGTATCTTAAGTTTAGCAGCGCAATCCCTTTTTAAGACATAACGCATATTACAGCAAGTAAGTGGATATTCATTTCCTAGCATATGACATTATTTTCTCGAGGTAATAATGTTCATCGCTTTATGACAAATAAAGGCTGAAATTTACTTAATCGGCGCAGATTTTAAATTATTAAATTGATTTAATAAAGGGGAGACTATTAACCTCGCAACTGGCATCAGTGTATCATAAAAGAATGTATGTTAATGTAAAATGGAAAGATAATATTATTGACAGTTCAAATATTTTCCTATATTATCAAGTTCTTGAAAAACACGACAACGTGGATTCATTTCTTTAAATTTTCATGTTTGTAATAGCGTTGTAGTTTGCCTTTGAATTACATTTACTATGCTAAACTATTAACAACAGTTCTAACATCACGTGCTCCCATTTAACTACATATTTTTTCATTCATTTTAGTTGTAACCATGACAACTTATAAAGATGAACCTTTCGATGATTCATATCACAAGATGAAAATAAATCCTGTATTTATAGGAAAAAAAAGAATTTTTTGATTTGTTATATTCTTTTTCTCTTTTTTGACCTTTCAATTCATATGAACAGATCAAGCACACATGCATGAATATAGAAAAATGAAGTTTTTCATGTTCATTTCTCTATTTATAGTCAAATTTTGTCGTACTAAATCATCACTTTTTGTATTGTAACTGCATGTTGCTAAAAAGCTTTTTTCGATGCACACACCGCATTAATAACTTTTCTATCTTGAGAAAATATTAGAAATGATAGTTTAACGTCTCAATTCCGACTAAAAGGACGCAAAGAAAAGAGGAATTGATAACAAATTGAACTTGATTTTCTGTCAGAATGTTAGCCACTTTCGTGGTATTTCTGCCATCGACGGCAGCATTTATAATATGTATCTGCCTACAACGGCAGCATTTTTTCTTCGACCGGACAAGATTGAGCGTCTGTAAAACTTTCAAGAAAAGACTCACGGGGTAGATATTTGACTTGCGTGACCCCAATGGATGAACGTCTATATTGATAACAGGAAATCCTGCCATTTACTTAAAACTTGAGATATTTTGAACAGAAAACAGACATTTTCACGGATTTTTTTCCAAGGCTTTCACTTTTAACCTGCTCAAAATAGTCTTAAAACAGGAAAAAACGAGTCCAAAATTACCTTACAGTATCTCCATTCAATGGACAATAGTTTTATAGCAATGATATGTGCCGTATTTGTGTAATATAATTAAACCAACCAAATTTATAACCTACCTGTACCGATCGGTAATTTTCAGATATCTGCCATCACTGCAGTGATCTGCCATCACTGTCGCCGGTAATACGGTGTGTGAATATCAACAAAATTTCCTTTAACATGTACTCTGAAGAGAAAATAATTAGATAGATCGTGCGAGTAGTTTTTTCAACACATTGATTAAACAACCTATCTTTAATTTATGAAGAACATAGTACTGTTAATTTCTACTGTGGTTCACTATATATACGGTTAATATAATGTAGTCTACAGAAATAAAATACGTATATGGATTGATGTACTAGTCTTAGATGTACCAGTGTTAAATATTTTTGGAGAAAGAATATCCAGAAAGTTCGTTTCCGAAACTCCTTTAGATTATTCAGGAATAAGTGTACATAATTTAGAAATATCCTTTGTATTGTATTTAGACTAATGTTTTCAATTTTCAAATAAAGTTCAACATTTCATTTTCTAATTTCAAAATGACCAATGAGAAGTCTACATATATTCACTTATATTCACTTCTGTCCTGCTCATTTTACAGGAAGTCAACTTATCTTTGACATTTGCCAAAAATGAAAACATGAAAAACTTAGTTCTACGCAACACCAACTTAAATGAATTCCACTGAACTGAGGGTGTTTCTTTCACATGATGGGACTGAAAATATGTTTTCGATATTAATGTTGTATGATTTGCTTTGCTGTAGGTCTACATTAATTACTAATTAATTCGGTTTTGTTTTCCCAGAATAATTATTGTAATTGTGAAAATGACACAAAGTTGAAAAAAAACTTTGCAAGCTTTTCACTAAAATCGGCAACGAATATCACAAAAATACGGTTATAATTTCTTTCTGAGTAAAAGTTGATCAAGTTTTTACACATCTTTCTGTTTTAACTAGGGCTGGGAACGAATAAGGAATTCGATGTTCGAATATTCGTTTTCCATATTCGAATATATTCGAATATTCGTTTTTACAACATTTGTTCCAATATTTCTCTTTGACGTATACGTATCCGAAATTGATTGCGTCGAATACTATACTACTTTAAAATGCTTGGAATAATCGGCGATTAAAAAGACCTTTATTGCTATGTCGAAGTTTTTTTTTAATTTATATATAATATTGTTAATCGAGATATATGTTTACTTTTGAAATAAAATTCATAATTTGATGCCTTTTGTTCAGTAAACCCGACCGCTGTCTTTATAACGGGAGGTAACTCACGTGACTTGACTGACAGTAATATGAATCATCGTAGCCATTTATCCCCAAAGACACATAATGATATTGAAACTTAACTTGTATTAAATATTTTTATTTATAATTTTAGATAAAGTTTTAAAATATTCTTAAGATAAGTTTAGCTATAACGAGGTAAATATCACACGGAGTCTAATGTCTACGGAATAAATATATTCTGACAGAATTTAGACACTTCATATGCTTTCATAACGCGCCGAATAATGCGTGCCAATTTATTCTTATTCACAAAATTTAAGACAATTATTGATTAATCGGAAAGATTTTAACACAGAAAACAACAAATAAGATAATTTAAAATCGAAAAAATTTACATTATAAACTGTTCAACAGGTAAATTACAAACTGTGAAACGGGTGCCCTTTTGATCAACTATACCCCAAAGTTTTCACAGTTAATTGGCGATAATTGTTGACACGCGTCATACAAACATTTGAACACCTGGTGAAGGAAAGGGCAAAGGTTTAATTTACGATCTGAATTGAAATTTGAAAGTAATGACAAAAAATGAAACATTTCTCCTTTTTTTTCGAATATTCGTATTCGTTTTTCAATGTTCGAATATTCGGTAGTGTTTCGAATATTCGAATATTCGAATATAATTCCCGGCCCTAGTTTTAACATCTGATCTTTGCAAGAAATTCAAATTTTATGTTTTAGGAGGTTTTAGGCTTTTGTACCTCAGTAGAGTTCCTTTACAAGGTATGAAAGTGTAAGAAAAGGGAAAGAAAAGGGTTTTTATAACCTGAGAAGCTTTTCTGTCTTTCCAGTTATAACGTATGCAACATTACGTAATGAATGTTTCCTTTGTTTAACAATAATAAAAATAAATAATTTATTATTCATTTTGTGTTTGAGAAATATATAACGTTATTTCAAAAAGAAAAACAAAAGGAAAATTCATTTCAGTTGAAAGAACTAACGAAAAAGAATGAAACTCTTTTCTTTTTCCACCTTTAGCAAATGTTCGCAGTAGACAAAACAGAAAGAAGATAAAATCAACTGGAAATTGTGAAAATAGATAACATAAGATTTTGAGAAGAAAAAAATGTTTTAGCACGGAGAGAGAGGCAAACACATTTGTGAAAGGAGTTTTAAGATATTTATTAAATCAGGCGAGAAATAAACATATCATTTTTGTTCTTTCAGTTTAAGCATACATGTATTTATTTTCTCGAATATATAAATATCATCATTATACAATTATATATAATACAAGTTATATCAAGTACTCAAAGATAAGAATATGAGTCATATAAAGATTCTTCTCCTTTGTTGTTTTGGTTTATTAACATCTTTATTTACTCCGCAAATTCGAAATTTCAACATACATTACCGCTCCCCTAAAGATATTCTTATTTTCTAGAAGACCGGATCAAGCTGCTTCATATCAAATTAAAAAAAAAATATTTAAAGATCATTTCATGAAATCTTCTTTCATTGTGATTGATCAATCATCAAAGCTTAGATTGATTGGACATCTGTTATTGTTCAATATAAACGATATGTTCATTTCTCGCCTTATTCTATAAATCTTTAACAGAATCCCTAAAGAAAGTGCAAAACAACGACAAAATTGAAAATGTTGCAGGCTCGGTTTGATTGAGCCTGTTCATTGACGGTTCTGTCTTGAAAGCGCTGGTTACCGTCCGACCCCAAAAGCACTGGCTTTAGCAGTATAATAATGATAGTTACATTTAAACATGTAATTGTAAACTTCATTATCTAAACGTCATTTTTTATATAGAAGATTAAATGTCGAATGTTAAGAAAAGCGTTTGTTTTTTATAGAACATATTATCTGACTACAGTACGTGCATCTTTGTGCAAACTATTTACAGAGTTATTATCACAAGACAATATTTTCATTACATTGTATTATAAAAAATAAAAGGAAATACTCATGGAGAATTGGATCGTCATAATTGTATATCTCATCATTCCCTAGAGACACAACACGTGACCCGGCACCAGACCCTATAACAAGTTCAGTTGTCTGTGATTTACCTGCAAATACATACACATGCATATATATAGCTTGTAAAACATTTCAAAAGTTAGCACTATATACCTTTTTGGTTAGTTTGGAATTCAGTTACCTTGACGTCTGACAGAGAAACACTTTTTAAAGTTGCCTTTTCTGTTTCCAGTGTACACATGATTATCGTATATTTGGTTGAAAATTTAATAAACAATTAAGCCATTTATCAGATTTTTGGGTTGCAGTTTCAACGCATTTGACCTTGACCTTCAATCAACAGAATCTAGTCCCAATATACATAGAAAATCAAGTATAGCTTTGATGGAAATCAGTATAACAAAAGTGAATTAGTATTCTGGTAGGGAAGTCAAAATACTACTATGTTTACATATTGCTACCTTTACGACACATTCTGTGCGTCTTACTTTAGTTGTTAAACATCTAACATATACATGTTCTAAATCCATTATTAAAACATTATTAACCATATGTATGTCATTTCTGAATAATTAATAAATGAGCCGCGTCACGACAAAACCAACATAATGGGTTTGCGACCAGCATGGATCCAGACTAGCCTGCGCATCCGCGCAGTCTGATCAGGATCCATGCTGTTCGCTATCAGTTTCTCTACTTGTAATAGAGTTCATAAGCGAACAGCATGGATTCTGATCAGACTGCGCCGATACGCAGGCTGGTCTGGATCCATGATGGTCGCAAACCCATTATGTTGGTTTTGTCGTGACGCGGCTCAAATATGGGTTTCTGACGTAACATGTGCCTTTACTCGTTAATTTTTTCTTGTTTACCATCCAACATCAAAGACGTGTGTTTTATATACTAGTATTCTTTTCTATCATGTTATTTTTTTATACATCGATGTCAGCATATATATAGTAGTCTAGATCAAACTAAACATATTTCTACATTGATATAAAATTATTTTTTTTATGTTCCAATTAAATATACTGGTAATCCCAATGGTTATGTGTGACATAAAGTTATATTGTAAATAACTCAGTGGATGTACACAACTAAATGATTCGTTGTTAAGCCATGTAAAATCTTATTTTATTTCAATTTATTTGCAGCAGCCAGTACCAATATTAACACTTAAACAACAACAGTAACAACAACAACAACAACAGAAACAACAGCAGCAACGGCAATATTTGAGGCAACTCACCTAAATAATGCATGTGATTGTACACGGAAACCACCGTGATTTTGTCTGTCATGATTTGCTTTGTGCACGTAGTATCGCACGTGCCGCGTTCTGTATGCTCCTCTTTTCCTGGAGGAATAGCAATTTCAGTCTGCCCAATGTTGAGGATGCCGGCGTTATATGGCCGAAGCTTTGACGTAAGATAAAATACCATGCCTGAAGAGTCTGTGAGACCCGACACAAGTTCGGGATTGTTCCAATGTATCTATTGTTTTTAATTTAAAAAAATGCAATGAACAAAACATAATACAGATCATAATGTTCAAACCTAAATTATGCATTTATATTAGGTGTATATGTATGACATAGGTATAGTAATTTTATTCAGATGAGAACCTGTAGAAGTATATCATATGGAATTTAGTCACGTCAATGCTTTTGGTCAGTTTAATTGAGACAAGGTCCCTAGTAGGTTTAAGTAATAATGGTGTACAAAAAATATTAAATTATAAGCTGTCCTATTATGATTGTGAAAAACGTTTCTATTTGTGTTAAATAACGGCACCATTTGCATAAACTTGCGGTTACATTTGTGTTAAATAACGGCACCATTTGATTTAACTTGTAGGAAAATTTGTGTTAACTAACGGCTCTATTTTGGTTAATTTGCGGTAACATTTATATGTTAAATAACGGCATTGCGGGGACATTGGTGTTACCTTTGCGTTGACTTATAATGCTGGTATACAACAGTTATAAATAAGTCATACATTGTATTTATGCATTAATTACAACAAACACGTGAATATTATTAATTTGTTCATGGGAGCAAATTAACACAAGATATGGCCCGTAGTTGAAAAACCAAATGAATAGAAAATACAACACCTGTAATGCCGCCCACTTGAAACCGTTGTTCCCGCCTACAGAGATTCCACAGTCTTTGTGCATACAATGCCCGGACATCCCAAGAGACCAGACTGCAATCATGTCAATGCATAAACTGCTGGGAACCATTCCACACTTATATGGTGAAGTTCTGCCATTGTCTACAATAGCACAAACAAAAGATAATTTCTATAATACTATATTATATACAAATATCATGAGTAGCCTCAGGGAAGTGGTACATGGATATTGGAAAAAAAGTACCCAAGTAACGAATAAACACTTTCTGCTCAATTTCTAAGGCATCTAAAGAATTCAGGAATGTGAAATGGTTGATTGGTCAAATCGGATACAATTAACATGTATGTACATTGAGCGCTTATATAAATATATATTAAAGGGACTCCACTATGGTTTTGGAAATAATTTTTCGAGATTATTATTCCATTGATATAGGTCAATGCCAACAACTTATGTGCTAGATCAGAGATCATTAGCTCGCTCCCCTTTTCCAGAATAATTATTATAATAGTGAAAAATAACCCAAAATTGAAAAGCGTTGCAACGCTTTTCACTCAAATCGGACTGAGAAAAGCACAAACATACGATTTTCAACGTATGTCAGAGTATATTTCTTCGTTATATTTAATTATATATAATTCTGTTTTAAGTGCCCAAGTTGATCTATGTGAGAAATTAAAATTTTATGTTTTAGGCTTATATTCCTCAGTGGAGTTCCTTTAATGGTTGACATAGGCTATCAACACATTCAGGTGTCACCCGGTAGTAAATGTTTACCTGGCAGGTTGTCGCCTTGAATTATACTGTATATTTTTTTCATAGCTTTGAATGGTACGGTGATTCAAATGGTTGAGATACTATACTACTAGATAATGTATGGGTCAACAACATATCCCGTACAACCAACACATTCTTAAAATCTTTAATGTATACAATGTTGTTTTTAAAAAAAATACACGATATATTTGCAGAAGGGGAAGAAAAAACTTAATGTAAATTCAATTTTTGGGGAAAACTGCATGATTTTAAAGAATTTTTTGTGGGGAAGCAGTACTATAATGGCCCCTTCTATAAAAGGAAAAAAAAAGCCCTGTGAGGTGACCCTTTTGATATCCCGATATGAGCTATCTGGGTAATTGAATCTTTGTCGATGATAAGATTGACTTTATGGATATTTTTGTCAGTAACTATGGAGCGTTTTCTTATCTTTAATTGACGCGTGCCCGTTTCGGAATTTATGCATCCACCTTGAAACAGTTGCATAAGATACTTTATTGTTGCCATAAATATTACAAATTTATGTCAGATTTTCCAAGTTTTGCTCGAGAGCTTTTATGTTAGCCCATATTTCAGCACTTTACTTTTCAGTTACTCTTGTAAGTTACTTTGAGTGTGATCGGTTTCCTACACACATGATTTTGGTATCATTTGACAGCAGATGCTTGAACCATAGCATAGTTTATACAAACACGAGAATCTCGAGCTAAATTTTAAAATATACTTCATAATTAATTACATAATGACCATCTCTTGTATATCTCATTGATATCTTTATAATTATGAAAGTAAAATGGCAAATGTTGCTTAACTTACAGTCCCCGCGGCAACCAAATACCACCATGTGATGGACAACACGTGAATTGTCAATGACAGGTTTGAAGGCAATCATGTGACGTTCATCCGCCGGAAATTTAAATGTCTGACACATGTATGTTGTCTCTTTGTTTCTAACTCCTGTCTTGCGGAGTCTAGCAGTAAACATTGTTATTGCTGGAACAAAAAAATTGACAATGTATTTAATGAATTTATGTCAAGGTTAGGATTTTATACAAATAATTTAAGGACATATACATGTGTATTGTTATTTTTTGGCGACCATACGAGACTTTCGTGTATTAACATGTACATATCACACTGTACATGTTCCATTATCCATTATGTGTGCTTAAAAAAGGGGGAGGGGAACCGACAATGTTTTACATATCAACTATGTTATAATAAAAATTTCGTTGTAAATAGATATGCATGTTCTAACTCTCTAGAAATTCAAAGACGATTTCAAAACAGGAAATTAGGAGCGAACTACAATAGTTAATCTTAAATAATCTTTAATAATGAACCGATCAACATTATTCTTCCAATTTCGCCGAATATCGAGAATTTTTGACTTGTTGATAACCCCTACCTCCACTTCCAAAATACTTTCCATCTCCTACCCCTGGTGAGATACCCTTTCTCCGGGAACAGTCACTTGCTGACTATGATTATTTAAATTCCTGAAAAATTGTCCACGAGTTGGACATATTCCCAGCTAATTTTGCGCAGAGACAATGTCGCTGTGTGTGTACCGTATCTTTTGAAATAACAGTGTGCTCCGTACCATTTCAACATAACTTTATGAAAATATGCTAAAACATCAAGGCATTCACTCGATAAATTGGACATAGTAAATATATCAGAATTAACATGTATTTTCTATGAAATAGCGACAAAAAACATATGACTTGCTAGAAATCGCTTGTTATGACAAATGAGTGTGTACCGTTCCCCTCGGCCCGGCTATGAGAAGAAAACTGTACTCGAATGTTCTCAAAAACCATTCAGGGGTTTTCAGAATTTTGATATACCGTGGAAAGCTGATATAATTACGGGTACTCTGCGCCTTATCTGATCAAAATCGGTTGAGTAATAAATAAGTTATGAATAAAAAACATACCTGAATCGGGTGAAAAATCGGCGAGCTCCGTACCCGAAAAGTCACGTGGTATGGCCACATTTTTGATGTAATTAAAAAAAACATTTAAAGTTTTACTGCCTAGTTAAGTCCTGAAAACGGGATAAAGTTGGTTTTTTTTTCCTAAATGCTCTCACCCGGACTCCCAAAAAAGTATTCCCTTTTCAGGCTTTTAACCATAGGCACTAGATACAATCAATTTACCTATATATTACTTATATATAGTATATATATGCATATATATACTATATATAAAGACTATTCTTTATATATAGTATATACGTATATAGGTAAATTAATTGTGTCCATTGTGCCTGTGGCTTAACAAAGGAAAATAGTCTAATTGGTTGCATTTTGCAAACATTAAATCCCCAATATTTTGGTTATAAATGAAGTACATGAATATTTGCTCGCCCGATGGCGAGAGTAAGCACCCGCACCCCCTCACACACACAAGGTGAAAAGAAGGACAAACCTTTGTCGTCTGTATCCTCCACTGCAGGACATTTGAATTCGCCTTGTTCACAGTCAATGTCGTCTGATTTTCCTACACATTGTTCACTACCAACTGGTTCACAGATTCCTAAAATGTGACAATCGTTTAAAAGTCCTTTAACTCATTTTTTATGGTTTTATATCATAAATATAATGCTTTTATGAAAATTATCAATATAATAAGTTCCAAAAAGCATTATTTATAAAGATATTACCGAATTAATATGTCATGTCAATATAAAAGGGAGGTAATTAGAAATTATGTTCTATAAAGTCTAATTAAAAATGAACGCATATATTTATAAATTTTATCATTATAAAATTTCGATATCGATGTTCTTCATGAATTGATTGATTGATTGATTGATTGATTTATTTGTGTATATATATATATGTCATATTACAAAAAAACAAATTAAGACAATTTATCACAGTTATATCTATCACATTGTTTTTAACACAGTAATTAATTGAAATATAATAACTTTACATTCATAATTAAATCAAAGATCTTGTTGACTTCAAGACAATATATACAACACAGGATAACCCATGAAAGTTCAATATAAAATAGAGAACTTATTTCCAATGGGGTCCTTTGATGGTAAAGAATATATTTTCTTGAGAACTGGCATTCAGGTCCATACTTAGAGATGATATACTGGACTGATGTTAAATTTCTAAGATCAAATAATATTAATTTCTATTGCACATTATGTTAATTACATATATCACATATTTGTAGGAATAATACTATGAATATGACTAGTTATCACACCAATGAAAGATATCTATTTATATATATCACAAAACCAATCACAAGATACATATAAAACATACTATATTGATTAAAACAATTATCTCTAAAACTAATAAAAAATAAAATCAGCTTGTTCAAATTGTTTCATATTTTTGCTTAGTTCAGCTTTTACTTTCTTTTTAAAGTTAAAAAAGTTACTTTCCTTTTTAATATCAGTGGGAGCATGTTCCAATCCCTAATACCCTGGTAAAAAAATGTACTTTTTGTAAAACTATGAAAGTTCCCGACACTGTTTCTACTATTATAACAATGAACATCAGACTTTAAAGAAAAGTTATCATACATATAAGATGGACACTTTTTATTAAATATTTTGTGTACATGATTAAGTCTTAACTGCATGACTCTATTTTCTATATTAAGCCACCCAATACTGCTAAAATCAATAACTTTCAATGATTTTCTAGAGGAATAACCATGATAACCATGAATATAACGAACAACTTTGTTTTGTGCTACTTAAAGTTTATGTTTAAGTTGTTTAGTAAGGCCACTATACCAAGATGAGCTGGCATAATCGAAGTGACACTGTATTAAAGAGTTACATAATAGTTTTCTTAGCTCCATATTCAAACTGTTGCCTTGTCTGTACAAAATTTTTAATCGAGAGTTTACTTTTTGTACTATATTATCAACAATAGAAGTGGCTGAGAGATCATTATCCAAGATAGAACCGAGATACTTTACTGATGGCTGAGATTGTATGGTGTGATTATTACAGTGTATTTTAAACTGCTCTAGTTTTGACAATTTCCTCTTAGAACTAAAAACAATACATTCTGTTTTACCAAGATGAACACAAAGAACGTTTTATTTCAACATTTTCATTGTTTAGTAACATGATTCTGAGTACTCATGTACTCATGTACTATTCTTCTTTTCCTTTAATTAATTATTAAAAAGTATTTTCAAAAAGATACAGTTTTCGTCTTTGAAACATAATGTTCACATTTTTTTCCTTTGAAACTTTGTTAAAGAAAGTTGATTGTCATTATCTAATTCTCTTCTAAAAGTAAAGTTAGTGAAGTCTTCTCCTTCATAAAGATATAGAGCTGGAGCGTTCAACCTTAACTTGTATGTATATAATATTCGTTATGTTTAACCTCTAGCTTGTGTTGAAAAGGTCGTTATTTATTTGTCACTCGAACATATAATACGTTGCTCGCCCATATGGTCTCTTTCCGGTGGCGAGGGTAAACACACATAATACATGATACAGGGGCCTCCGTGGCCGAGTGGTTAAGGTCGCTGACTTGAGATCACTGGTCCCTCACCGCTGTAGGTTCGATCCTCACTTGGGTCGAAATCTTTCATGTAAGGAAGCCATCCAGCTGGCTTACGAAAGGTCGGTGGTTCTACCCGGGTGCCCGCTCGAGTCTGAAATAATGCACGGGGTGCCCTGGGGTCTTCCTCCACCACCAATTAAGCTGGAAAAAAAATCGACGAAAAAATCTCGGCGGGACGCTCTAGGATGGCCTATAAATAAACGCATTAAAAAAAAATGATACATGAAGTAGACACCTTAACAAATAGGCCACACCACTCCCCGACAATTAAAAAATAAAAATTGTCCTTAATTAAAAAAAAAACGTTATACCAGGATGGGATAGTCCAGTTGAGATTGCAGGTTTTTGTTTTGGTGTCCAGATACATTCCGGGTCACCGAGTTCATGTCCGTTTGTTTTCCCATCTCCGTCAGAATCCAGTTCACATAACGACTTATTCCAAACCTTGTTAAAAAATCATTCAATATAAAAAGATCACAGAATTTAAGTCAATATTCTAATTGATATTTGTTATTTGTTTATGATTTTTATGAAGTTTTAATTTAGAAAAGAAATATAGGGAATCTACATTATTAATTTTAGAGCCAACATGCATAACAACATATAAAAGTCATCATAAAAATCATATAGCTAGAGTACATGAAATATAAAATACATGTATACAGTATACTAAAATTCTAGATTCTCAATCTATACGATATATAATGATGAACTTGCATAAAGTGACATTAATCTTTCTAGAGCATACATAAATTTTTTAACACTGTCTTTTCTAAATTCAATAGTTCAAACATTTAAACAATTTTTCGTGCCGTCTCTTGCTTCAATATGGGTATCAGCTTACGTCAATATTCGACTACTACCGGAGGATATTTAAGTCTTTGTCGCTGATATCCTTGAAAACCGCCGGAACATTTCTCTATATACCAGCAGATTGACCCGGCTTAATGTCTCCTGCCTAATATCTAAGGTATTTTAAATATGTCTGTCATCATCTTGTAATGTGTTGCTATATATTCCTCCACATTGTCGGCTACTCCATCAATTACATGTATGACTATTATTTATCATGGCTTTTGATTGCCTGTCAGTAACATTGTAAAAAAAAGGTTTTTGTTTGTTCCTTCAAAGTATTTAATGTGACCTGACCTTAGCCTCTACAACATTAACAATCTCTTCATTTTGAGACTCCCCGTCCCGTTTGTCCATATCATTTAAAAACTCATTAACTTTGTCATCAATATCAGTTACTTTCTTTCCTAGCAATTCAAGGTTTTCTATCCTTTTGACATCTCACAAAATTTGGGTTTAAGGTTTAAGGGTGTTTTAGGCTTGCTGTTGAGAAGGCGTCTCGAAATTTATGTTTTATTACATAGGGAATAATAATTGCTGGTCAACAACGCCATTTAATATACAGTAAACTTCACGCATTTATGATTATATAGCTGTCTGATTCCACACCAACTGAAATAATTCTTATTTCCGTTCTTGCGCCATTTCAAATTTTAGCGACATTAAATTAAAACAGTTTATTGTTCTCGAAGTTGCATGCTTGAACTATATTATATCAGGCTACTATTATCAACGTATCGGATTACTAGCCTATTACAGTATCAACTTACCGGATTACTTGTATCTATTTAACGGCCTATTACAGTATCAACTTACCGGATTACTAGTATCTATTTATCGGCCTATTACAGTATCAACTTACCGGATTACTAGTATCTATTTATCGACCTATTACAGTATCAACGTATAGGACTACTAGTATCTATTTATCGGCCTAATACAGTATCAATTTATCGGGTTTCTAGTATCTATTTATCGGTCTATTTATCGGCTTAATACAGTATCAAATTATCGGGTTACTAGTATCTATTTATCGGACTATTACAGTATCAACTTGCCGGATTGCTAGTATATATTTATCGACATATTATAGTATCAACTTACCGGATTACTAGTATCTACTTATCGGCCTATTACAGTATAAACATATCGGATTACTAGTATCTATTTATCGGCCTATTACAGTATCAAATTAACGGGTTATATGTATCTATTTATCGGCCTATTTCAGTATCAACATATCGGATTACTTATATCTATTTATCGGCCTATTACAGTATCAGCGTATCGGATAAATATCTATTTAACGTTAACGGCCTATTACAGTATCAACGTATCGGATAAATATCTATTTAACGGCCTATTACAGTATCAACGTATCGGATAAATATCTATTTATCGGCCTATTACAGTATCAGCGTATCGGATAAATATCTATTTAACGGCCTATTACAGTATCAACGTATCGGATAAATATCTATTTATCGGCCTATTACAGTATCAACTTATCGGGTTACTAGTATATATTTATCGGCCTATTACAGTATCAAATTATCGGGTTATTTGTATCTATTTATCGGCCTATTTCAGTATCAACGTATCGAATTACTAGTATTTATTTATCGGCCTATTACAGTATCAACGTTTCGGGCTCATGTATCTATTTATCGGTCTATTACAGTATCAACGTATCGGGCTCGTGTGTCTTTTCATCGGCCTAATACAGTATCAACTTACCGGAATGCTAGTATCTATTTACCGGCCTATTACAGTATCAACGTATCGGGCTACTAGTATCTATTCATCGTCCTATTACAGTATCAACGTTTCGAGCTCGTGTATCTATTCATCGGCCTAATACAGTATCAACTTATCGGAATGCTAGTATCTATTTCTCGGCCTATTACAGTATCAACGTATCGGGCTACTAGTATCTATTCATCGTCCTATTACAGTATCAACGTTTCGGGCTCGTATATCTATTTAACGGCCTATTACAGTGTCAACGTATCGGATAAATATCTATTTAACGGCCTATTACAGTATCAACGTATCGGATAAATATCTATTTATCGGCCTATTACAGTATCAACTTATCGGGTTACTAGTATATATTTATTGGCATATTACAGTATCAAATTATCGGGTTATTTGTATCTATTTATCGGCCTATTTCAGTATCAACGTATCGAATTACTAGTATTTATTTATCGGCCTATTACAGTATCAACGTTTCGGGCTCGTGTATCTATTTATCGGCCTATTACAGTATCAACGTATCGGGCTCGTGTGTCTTTTCATCGGCCTAATACAGTATCAACTTACCGGAATGCTAGTATCTATTTATCGGCCTATTACAGTATCAACGTATCGGGCTACTAGCTAGTATCTATTCATCGGCCTAATACAGTATCAACTTATCGGAATGCTAGTATCTATTTATCGGCCTATTACAGAATCAACGTATCGGGCTACTAGTATCTATTCATCGTCCTATTACAGTATCAACGTTTCGGGCTCGTGTATCTATTTATCGGCCTAATACAGATTCAACGTATCGGGCTACTAGTATCTATTTATCGGCCTATTACAGTATCAACGTAACGGATAACTAGTTTATATTTATCGGCCTATAACAGTATCAACTTATCGGAGTACGTGTATTGGTATTTTATAGGACTCTATGACATCTCGACCCCTTGATAACTCGACCCATTGCACTTAGTCCCCTTGGACACTTTTACCCCTTTAATTGCCACTTATTCTATTATGTACATGAGGACGTTAAATTCGAAAAAAGTGCTTTAAGACGAAATTGATAGAAAAAAGTTGTTGTTTTTTCCAAGTTTGATTATTATATATAATCTAATAGATATATTGACTTTAAGTCAAATCATATTCATATTAAGCCGTTATTTTTACTACATTATCATTCATCAAGTAAAGCATTTTATATAAGGAATAGAAACACAAGCACTGCAATCAAACAATGTGTATATTATGTAAATTTGTGTACATAATATCATAAATAACAGTAATTATAATATAAATTGTAAACGTTATTTTTATTAAGTAAATACGTATCAGTAGTTTTGTAATTCACCTTTTTCTAAGCAAATACTTTCATTATTTCCATGTGCACTTGTTAATTTCTATAAATCAATCTACTTATATCAGGAAATCTTAGGCTTATTGGTTCTTTCAATACATGTACTATATTTTAATGAAAATACATGTACGTGTATTGTTATACATGAAATAAAAATTTATTTTAACTGAATTTCTTATATCATATTCGAACACATAATACCATTTTTCAAATTAATACTATTATGATGTACTACAGCACACAAAGCAATATTTACCCCGTTACAGAGTGACAGCAAAGGCACACACTTTTCAAATACATATTTGTAATAACTTGTGGCAATAATTGATTGTTGTTTAAAATGAACCGTCTAAGAAAATGTAGTTAAAATAAGTAAGAAACACGAGGCTAGCCCCCGAGTATAAATCAGATTGCCGAGTGTTTTGATGTTCTTTCTCTTTTGTATCATAGTCAAACATAAAAACACGTTCCCTGTTGTTCCATGACACCCCGGAAAAAAGTAACCAATGAACGAGCATCTGAATATGATATTTCTGACGCTTTCCCTTTCTCTGCCGCCACAATATGTAAACCCCAGCAAAAATGAGCCAATCAATGGACATGGTCTGAATAACCAATACCTGCACTCCAGTTATCGCACTGTGCGAAATTTTATTTATTAAACTTCGCCCCGCTATCTTGCTAATTAGCGTGTTTTCGCTCCGCGCACCCGCCATTTTAACTTGTTAGTTTAAACAATATTTATTTCCAGAATCTACAAAACATAGATATACATCACAACCAGAAGACATTGTATAACAAGAATCATGAAAGACTGAATATATAAATTTAGTGGTAAATAATGCTAAAGAATTGATATCTTAATTAAATTCGGAAGAGGAACATTTTTTTTCCTCGACTTTTCGCTTGGCGGGGTCGCGGGACGAAAAAACGAATTGCACAAATCAGCCACCATACTATTTAACTTTGACACATTTCCAACAAAAAGGTCCCCAAACTATGACACAAGAAACAATTGTCAAAGGACATTATGTTATTAGAAGGAACCGGTACTGACTTTAAGATATTAAAAAATCATAACTGGTTAATTATTGTCGGAAATATTGCCTTTGAAGTTTATTATGGCAATATTTGACTATGAGAAAAATGCATATATGAAGTGCGAGATGTAATAAAACATTTTTTGAAGTTAACTTCAGTTTTATAAGAAATAGCTGAGACTATATCATTATGTCAATATACATTGTAGTTGTAAAATATAGTACATGTAATTCTCGAAATACGTTTAATCAAAAACATGAAGACTGTTTTTCAAATTACAACCATTTATTGATTGATTGGTATTTAATTCATAATGTAGATTCCATAAAATGTGATCATCGCTACTTTGAGAATTCAATTCAATATTATAACATAGATTAAGTAGACATGTATAATAATTCATTGCCAATATAACATTTCATACAGAATAATAATAAACTAAATCTTTACAAACTTGTAGAGATTGTAGATATGAATGAACACGCAATGCACAAATCGTTCATTTTCATTATTATCATCATCATAGTTCCTTCACTTTTTGTCTGGGGTCTAATTTAATATATTATGCCCTAGCTATTTATATAAACAAACATTATATATAATAAATGCTATGTATCAATGCTACATTGCTATGTAACATAACATGAAATTAATAAAACAATATTAAATTATTGCTTTAGCTTAAGTTTTAATATTTTATCAGATCCTGTTATGATAATAATTAAAATATTTGCTATTTGCTTAAAATTATTTCTCGAGCTAACTGGGATTCTAAAGGAAAAACAATTGAGATAGGAGTCGAAATGTCTTACCCATGCACTAGGGGTCGGAGAAAACACGTAAAAAGTGGTCTACGTGTTAAGGGGTCTAGAATCTAGATGTCATCTTAATATCGTAAGGGGTCGAGGAGTCAAGGGGTCTAAATGTCTTAGTTGTTTTATAGCATCCATGCACTTATTGGTGTAATAGTATCCACTTATTGGTGTACTAGTATCCAATTTTAAGGCTACTAGTAAATTTACTTATCCGGTTTCAAGAATCTACTTTTTGCACTATTAATATCTACTTATCGGCCTTCTAGCTAGTACCTACTTAACCCCGGATTGGTTTTATAAGTTCACATAGTACATACGTGTATTTGATACAGTATACCAACTTTTAATATTAAAACATTGACTTACTTTTCCATTTTTTTCAAAGTCCAGACCGAATGGGTTCCGGTTTCCGCCACCATTTATATTCTCATGACCTACTCCACGCCATAAAAAGTTCGGTTTACAAGGATGGGGTACAATTTCGCCATTTGGTATACTTTGTTGAAAAGTTGAATGTCCCTCTGCCGGTGTAATTACAAGTACAAATAACAAAATGTACACGGCTTCGATCCTACAAAAGTATCGTCAATATAAATCTACAATTGTAGGTAAGTCAAGTCTCATATATCTGCGTTTTGGAGACTTTCATGTAAACGGGAGCACCAAATAACTCCTCCCATCCAATCATATTGAAAAGAATATTCCGTTGAAGGAATCATAAAGTTCTGTTATTATCGTTCGATATTTATCAGTATGGTTCAATTTTAAAACAGGGCGGGTCAGTCTTTTTATAATTTAGGTAGTTTTTACATGTTATCCTAACATTTTTGACTGTCAATTATTGGTCAATGATCATAAAAATGCTCAATATTTTGAACTATATTACTGATTTAGCTAGACGTGACAGCGAAAACAAATGAACATGTCACTTCAGATATAAAACGGGATTCTTAAATTAATTTTCAATGTTTGCATCAATACAACTTGGCAATCTACTGGGATTCACATTTATGTCCCCGCGTAAGCAGATTTCGTTCAGTTGTTAATCTTGCAAAAATCCACTGGCGTTTGGACAATACTCATACGATATATGAGCCGCTTCACGACAAAACCAACGTAATGCGTTTGCGACCAGCATGGATCCAGATCAGCCTGCGCATCCGCGCAGTCTGATCAGGATCCATGCTGTTCGCTTACAAACCCTATTAAAAGTAGAGAAACTGATTTCGAACAGCATGGATCCTGATCAGACTGCGCTGATGCGCTGGCTGGTCTGGATCCATGCTGGTCGCAAACGCAGTACGTTGATTTTGTCGTGACGCGGCTCATTTCTCGTAAAATATCCTTGACAACAACACTTTCCAGCACCCGTTCCGCATGAATAGCTGATTATGATATAAACAAGTGCTGGATACCACTATCACTACAATACTGACACATACAATTTTGTTGGCAATTAAAAAAAATGTAATCCTCACCTATATTTCACAAATGATTATTATCCTTTATACATATTTCGTTTAATTTTTTTAAGAAAAAAAAATCACGCATGACAAGGGTTTCCCATCACAAATAACTGAAGGAGTTCTTTCAACGCATAATATATTATACAGTTCGAGTAAAGAATGCATATTTCTACGTCTATTTTAACTAATTGTATACATGCACTTAATGTTGAGATATTTTGCTTGGTTTTTTTATGTATGAGCAATAGCTCCCATCTCTTGTAGAAGCGAGATTTTTACTCAGAACAAAATATCTCACAATCGTCAAAAAATTGTGACTATAATAATTCTATTATGTTTTTTTTTTTTTTATGAACATACCATCACTGACAGTTCTAATTTATATAGAATAAAACAATGCCACGGTTTTAAAGTGTGGCATGTTTAAAAGTCCAAAACTTTAATAACATTTTTTTCCTCGGTCCATTTTAATCCTGAACGGCAACGCGAACCTGTGCGGAAAAGTTCGACAAAATGCCATGTGAATGACAAACAAACAAATATTGTCAGCTTAACATATAAACCACAAATATTGCATAGGGAAATTAGTGAAGTTGGCTGAATTTATATCAGCTACAAGTAAATATAATTTATAAACATTACTTAAACAGTGTTAAGCTTAGAATATCCCTTTGTTGAGAATAGCATCTGCAAATTTATTATTGCGCAGTATCTTGGTTTACTTAAATAAAGCTGATTTCTTACTAATAAAATAAAAAAAGCAAATAACAATTTAGATATGTTTTCCCATTAATATTGTTGCTATCTATAGAAAATAAATATCAAAGCTTATTATTTCACTGAAATACAAACAGAAATACTGAAACATAACTTACATTTTGTATCAACTTCTCTTCTCGAACTGTAACCGTCTAAAACATGCCATGAAAGCATATTGTAAGATATTTTAAATAGACAACGAAAATAGCTCACCTGGGCAACGTTTCTACACTGACTGCAAATATAACCCACCCACACTAATTGTCGTAATTATAAAACAAAATCCAAAATAGAGAAAGAACAACACGTGTGAAAACATGTCCACCAACCCGCTATGATGACGTGATTGCAAACGCACGTACAGCAAGTAAAGCTTTAAAGGAAATAAAAACATTTATGAGCATATAGCCATACCTTGCACAAGTACGATAACACCTATACATGTACAAATAAGAAAAAGATAGAAAGAAAAAAGATATGTAATGTTCGCAAAACCGCATCGCAATCATGCATGCTAAAAAAAGTTAACAAAGTAAAATATAAATGGGCACGTGCGCACATGCTCATGGTTTAGCAGAATTAGAAGGCCGACAACTACAAACAATAATATATTGTAAATATTTCTCCTTTGGAACACCAGGTTAGCGAATTGTCCCTATTTGTTTTCTTGTTATAAATATTTAACGGAAAAAATGATTGTAGCAATCCTTTGACGTCAACAAGAAAGACTGGATCTGTAATAATTCATGTGTTTAAAGTGTTTTCTTTGAAAAAAATAAATATCTTGTCTATTTTATTATTACTGTTAACCATTGATATCAGCCACGACATGTTACTATATAGAGAAATACTTGGAAAACATCTTGACACTAGATCAAAAGAATACATGTAATAAATGAGTACATTTTTTAACATTTCAAAAGAGTAAACTTTATCACAGGATTTTTTTTTTCTATTTAAATTGTCAATTTATTATTATTATTATTATTATTTTATATTATTATTATTATTATTATTATTATTATTATTATTATTATTATTATTATTATTATCATTATTATTATTATTATTATTATCATTATTATTATTATTATTATTATTATTATTATTATTATTATTTTGTTCGCCAGTGTTATCCATTTGTTTCCATTACAACTTAGACCGCTTCGATTAACTGTGAGAGTGTACGCAGTATAATTATGTCTATTTCCTGTAAATAGTTCGTTTTAAGACATATTTCGTACAAAGGACAAAGAGCGAAGATTAAAAATATATTCATGAAATAGATTCTACAATTAACTTCTAGTTGCCTGTAAAGTTCAGTTTAATCGACAATTTCTGTAACATTTCAACGCCGGGTGTACGCAGTATCCAGAATCCAGAAAGGGAAGACTTGTGTCAAGGCATTTGGAATATTAAAACTGGAAGTACGGACATCTTCTTTGCAAAAGAAATTAAATTCAAATATATTCGGATTGTTTTACATGATTCGTTTTTGTTCAAAATAATTAATGTGTTGAAAGTGTCCGCGGTAGCAGAATTTTGAGGATGCACGCGCATCGCATGACCCCCTTGTCATATTTTCCTTGAAATTTTCTGTCTTGGTACTTAAGATCACGATTCAGCAAGTGTTTTGTCAGAATCAAGTTTATCAGTGCAGTTTGTACTTGTAAAAATGAGTCACTTCTATACCCATATCTTCAAACTGCGGAAAATCGTCATCATTGTGGTGAATACTTTTATTATTTTAGTACAGTAACGAATAATTTATTGTTGGAAAAACGCACGCCGTATAATTAAAAAATAAATGGCTTCAGCTTTGACAACGTTTCGACGATTACGTCATTTGACCACTATGTTGGTAATGTCATGTCACGGCTCATTTCTGTAACATAATAATGATGACTGACGTGTTATGATGGGACATATTAATAGAATTAATATGTATCATCATCATAATCATTGACTAATAGTGATGATAATGATGATGACAAAGATGCTGTCAATGATGGTAGGGCTATTTCGTGATGGTGATGATGATGATAATAGTGCTTGTGTGAAGTAGTACCATTGATGGTAATTGAAAAATAAGTTAAAAATCTTACGTAATAGTAATTTTACTGTTGTTGATGTTGTTGTTGTTGTTGCTGCTGCTGTTGCTGCTGATGATGATAAAGATGATGATGATGATGATAATGAAAATGATGATAATGATGCTGATGAAGATGATGATGATGATGATGATGATGATGATGAAGATGATGATGATGATGAAGATGATGATGATGATGGTTGTGGTGGTGATATTAGAGTAGAGCCACTGGTGGTGACTACGGTGGGCTGGCGGTGGCGGTGGTAGAAAAAAATGATGAGAATCTACTAACAATACAGTACTGAAGGGGAAAATGAGAAAGTAAAAGAAATACGACTACTACTTCGATTATGATGATGATAATGATAAATTAATTATAATTAAAATGATGCAGATGAACAAAAATTTTGCTGCTGCTGTTGTTGTTGTTGTTGTTGTTGATGATGATGATGATGATGATGATGATTATGATGATGGTGATGATTGTGATGTCGCTTACAAGTCAAGATGTGTCATGTTACCTTTAAAGCTGCACGCCTCCAAATGAGCCAAAATAGTTCAAGAAATCAATATTGAGAAAAAAGTACTGAAATTTTAAGAAAGGTTTAAGCATTCATTATACAAGTTATATTGTACATGTTATGTGCGGTTTAAGACTGATTTTTCAGTATCTTATCACCATATTGCTACTGCGTTACTAACGCAGAACTTTAAGGGCTGTTGTTTTGCATATGTTGTCCACTTTTTGGTATTCTAAGTGCTGATTGGAATATGAAAATTATTTTATTTGTTCACCTCACATCATTTTACTTTTAAATACATTTCCAAAATTTTCATGAAAATTAAGCTTCCAGTAGCGTGCTGCTTTAACCCTCAATCGCAACTTCAGTCTACGGTTATTCTAAATAATAGCCGAGGATATTCCGATTGCGTTATCCTTTGACCTCATCGTTATCAACAAACTCCTCACACTGATTACCTCCCTTGGCAGAATTGTAATCACTGCCTTCACAGACGTCACATGATGATGAAAGTCACATGACGTAACGTCGAAATTCAAATGTAAATATCGACCGTTACATAGAAAATCTAACGTCATTTTTCTCTTTCTGTTTTATTTTTAACTTTTTGAACCTACGTCCGTTATATTTTAACAAAAAATTATCAAAAGTACACAAAATAATAAAAAATAAATTAAAAAGCTAAAACATATAAATATCCAAATTTGGATATTTCAATGTTTGTGATGGCAGAGATCTCTGTACTGATAAGGGGAGATCACTGCGTAGGAGATTGCGTTATCAATTCTAACCTTCAAAATGGCGTCCATGATAAGCAAGGTAAAAAGCTTTCCTTTTTATGAGCAAATTGTATTTTAATGGATAAGTAATTAAACGCTTACTAATTTCTACATGTCTCAAGATTATATACATCAGAATTTTATAACAGGATTTCTTTGTACTAAAAATAGCCGGCGTTGTGTAACAAAAGTGTGCATGAAATCGGATACTGGCTACTGTACAATAAGTGAATAACGATTTTCTTACTTACTTTCATGCGTGTCATTCTTTTTATTTTGTAAAACAGTAAAAAAGCAAACATTGTAACTTGTCTAATATGTCGTGTTAGAAATTTCAATCATACATGAAGAATGATATGTTTAGACTTATTGATTATATGTCCACTCTAGTCAAAATATATTGACGTGACAAAGCTTGATTCTGAGATATTTTCGTTCTGGGGCAGAATCCCGCTTTAGAGGCGAGATATTGCCCAGACACGAAAATAGCACAATATCTCGTCGCGGAGTACAATTAGTTGGACTAATGTCCACTCCAGCTGTTCAGTTAACAGGTTAACAGGTTAAAAATGTGGCAAACATAAATGATTTGATAATTTGGAAGTTGTATATGATTACAGGTGACACGACAGAGTTTAAGATTGGCAAGATCTGGTGCTCGAGCCTTGTCAACACCTTCCTCCTCCCCTGCTGGTGATGCTACCAGTAGAGGGTATAACTTTGGTAAGAAAGTTTGAGCCCAACAAATTCTACAGGGCTTTTAATTATATAGACAATGGTCGCCCTAAAAAAAAAGATCAACATCTATGTAATATTAGTATCACTGTATGTAAAATAGGTCGGTCTTGCAATCGAAATATTTAGATATAGCTGCGGCTAACCAGCTGACCTAACTTATTGAAGGTCAGTGGTTATACTCTGGCTTAGGCCAGAAATAATGAGGATGGGGTAACATAAGTCTTGTCCACCTGTAAACCTGAAAAAAATTTCATAATAATTTATATGTCCTTTATTGTATTAACTATTGGTTTTTTACTTAAAATTCAACAAATTAATGATTGTACATATTGGACATCTGAACATGTCGACCATCCCTTTATTTAACAAGAAAAATTTAAAATTCTAAGCAGAGCATCTTTCACACAGACAATCAAACACATTCAACAGAATGAATCTTACTTACCTTTCCATCACTGTTCTATTATATACCACACTATTACAGATATATACCACATTATTAGAGATCTATAACACACTATTACAGATCTATACCACATTATTAGAGATCTATAACACACTATTACAGATCTATACCACACTATTACAGATCTATACCACACTATTAGAGATCTATACCACACTATTACAGATCTATACCACACTATTACAGATCTATACTACATTATTACAGATCTATACCACACTATTACAGATCTATACCACACTATTACAGATCTATACCACATTATTACATATCTACACCACACTATTACAGATCTATACCACACTATTACAGATCTATATCACACTATTACATATCTACACCACACTATTACAGATCTACACCACACTATTACAGATCTATACCACACTATTACAGATCTATACCACACTATAACAGATCTATAACACACTATTACAGATCTATACCACACTATTACATATCTATACCACACTATTACAGATCTATACCACACTATTACAGATCTACACCACACTATTACAGATCTATACCACACTATTACATATCTACACCACACTATTACAGATCTACACCACACTATTACAGATCTATATCACACTATTACAGATCTATATCACACTATTACAGATCTATAACACATTATTACAGATCTATATCACACTATTACAGATCTATAACACACTATTACAGATCTATAACACACTATTACAGATCTATACCACACTATTACAGATCTATACCACACTATTACAGATCTATACCACACTATTACAGATCTATATCACACTATTACAGATCTATAACACACTTTAACAGATCTATAACACATTATTACAGATCTAAACCATATTATTAGAGATCTATACAACACTATTACAGATCTACATCACACTTTTACAGATCTATATTACACTATTACAGATCTATAACACACTATTACAGATCTACACCACACTATTAGATATCTATACTAAAACTATTAGAAATCTATATCAAACTATTACACATCTATACCTCACTTTACAAATCTATACCACACTATTAGAGATCTATACCACATTTTTAAAGATCTATATCACACTATTACAGATCTATATTACATTATTACAGATCTATATCACACTATTACATATCTATATCACACTATTACAGATCTATACCACACTATTAGAGATCTATAACACACTATTACAGATCTATATCACATTATTACAGATCTATACTACACTATTACAGATCTATATCACACTATTACAGATCTATATCACATTATTATGCTCCCCGAAAAATTTCGGGGGAGCATATAGTCGTCGGGTTGTCCGTCCGTCCGTCCGTCAGTCCGTACGTACGTCCCAAATTCGTGTCCGGCCCATAACTTTGTTATTTGAAGTCGGATTTTAAAATTATTTCACAGAAATGATCACCATATTGAGAGGACGTGTCGCGCGCAACATTTGGGTCGCTACCTTGAAGGTCAAGGTCACAGCATGACCTTGCAGCAAAATTGTGTCCAGTCCATAACTTCATTATTTGAAGTCGGATTTTAAAAATATTTCACAGAAATGATCACCATATTGAGACGACGTGTCGCGCGCAACATTTGGGTCGCTACCTTGAAGGTCAAGGTCACAGCATGACCTTGCAGCAAAATCGTGTCCGGTCTATAACTTTGTTATTTGAAGTTGGATTTTAAAAATATTTCACAGAAATGATCACCATATTGAGACGACATGTCACACGCAACATTTGGGTCGCTACCTTGAAGGTCAAGGTCACAGCATGACCTTGCAGCAAAATCGTGTCCGGTCCATAACTTTGTTATTTGAAGTCGGATTTAAAAAATATTCCACAGAAATGATCACCATATTGAGACGATGTGTGGCGTGCAAAATGTGGGTAGCTTCCTTGAAGGTCAAGGTCACAGCATGACCTTGCAGCAAAATCGTGTCCGGCCCATAACTTCCCTATTTGAAGTTAGATTTAAAAAGTATTTCACAGAAATGATCATCATATTAAGATGACATGTCATGCACAACATTTGGCTCGCTACCTTGAAGGTCAAGGTCACAGCATGACCTTGAAGCAAAATTGTGTCCGGCACATAACTTCATTATTTGAAGTCGGATTTTACAACTATTTCACAGAAATGATCACCACAATGAGACATTGTGTCGCGCGCAACATTTGGGTTGCTACCTTGAAGGTCAAGGTCACGGTATGACCTTGCAGCAAAATCGTGTCCGGCCCATAACTTTGTTACTGGAATTCGGATTTAATAACTATTTCACAGAGATGATCACCATATTGAATCGACGTGTCGCATGTAACATTTAGGTCACTACGTTGAAGGTTAAGGTCACAGCATGACCTTGCAGCAAAATAATGTCAGGCGCATAACTTTGTTATTTGAAATCGGATATTAAAACTATTTCACAAAAATGATCACCATATTTAGACAATGTGTCGTGCACAATATTTGGGTTGTTTTTACACTTTGAACTTTGTCTGTGACATAACTCTGACACAACAAGAGGTATACCTTCCTGTGTCCAAAACATATTCGGGGAGCATCACCCGGTTCAACCGGCTCTTGTTACAGATCTATATCACATTATTACAGATCTATATCACATTATTACAGATCTATATCACACTATTACAGATCTATACCACACTATTACTTTTTGGTTGCTTATTGATTATTGACTTTGTTATTTATATGAAACCAGGTGAATAAATATAAATACACATTCTGTCAGAATGTACACTAAGGTGGTATAACAGAATAATCTTAATTATTTTTAACAAATCTATGTTTTAGTGGTTATTAACATAAAAAACTTCAACATTACAAATTGCATGTTTTTGTCTCAATGTAAGTATTATGATACTGTATTATAATAGAACCAAGAAATCACAATAATATGATCTCATGAGATACTTATAGCAGTGATACACAATTGTGAACACTATCTACATGACAAAATTTATGACTTGGATCATATGATTTTACAAGCGGTTCATGCATATTATTATTTATCTAGATTGGCATACCTAAATAACAGGGTTTTATTTAATTTTAGAGCTTACTGATGAACAGAAAGAGTATCAACAGTTGGCTAGAAAGTTTGCAAGGGAGGTAATTGTACCTGCTGCACCTCACCATGACCAAACAGGGGAGGTAATTCAAATTTTATTGTCTATGATTATATCACAGGAAACTGAAATTTGAAATGACAAAAAAAAATTCGAGAAAAAAATAATTACCCCTTCCTACAGAAGGTGTTTTATGTATAGAAGGGGTGATTTTTATTATTATGCCCCCCCCCCCCACCAAACAAAAATGGGGACACATATAGTTTTTGTACCATCCATCTGCCCTTCCGTCCATAAATTTGTTGTTTATCGATGGATCTTAATGTATAGAAGGGGTAAATTTTTTTTTTTTCGTTTCAATCTTTATTTTCCTAATGACTATGTCTCGAAATCCCTAAAAAAGATAATAAAAAGTATGTTACAATGTACATGTGAAAATTTCAATTTTGTTTAGATACATTGTTTATATCTTTTTCAGATTTTCTTACAAATCACTGAAATGTATATTAAGTTGTTAATGAAAACATACCTATACATACCTACAAGTCTAATAAATGTTATAGCTGATGAGAGTTTTGTAGAACCACAAAATTTAATGGTATCAATCTCTTTTAGTGTGATATAGATATGATATAGTGTGATAGAGGTCATTTGTTACAAATTTCATTAGGACCCTGTATATTTTTATTTTAGACCTGTGTTTTTGCTGCTTTTCTTTTCAACTTGTCATTTTAATGTAAGTTCTCTTGGTTGTATCTACTGTCTATGTGCCTGTAACGGGTTTTACAGAAAAGAAGAAGATAGATAATAATTTAATATGAAGATAACATTATTTCTATGACTGTGCTTGTCTTTACTGCACGATATCACTGAGTATTATCTGTAAGATACGAAATAATTCTAATGTTCACAAACATGCCACTTTCAGTATTAATTGAATATTTCAGTACCCATGGGATATAATCAAGAAGGTATGGGAAATCGGATTGATCAATACTCATATACCTCAAGCTTATGGTAAGTTTTGATTAAAAAGCCCATGAAGCCTTAAATTCTTTGTAATATTTTTTGTGCCTCGTTTTAAAGTTCCCATTAAGATTTGCTACATAGCTCAGCCATCTTGCTTCTTCTGTGTTGTCAGCAATTATAGTACACTTATAGTGATTTAGTATTTTGTATGAAAGTCAAAATACTACTTTGTTTACATTTTACTACTCTTATAACAACTTACTTCACATTTAGCACTATTTTCATAAGGGGATAAGTATTTCATAAAATTATGTTCTAAATCCATTAGTACGGCATAAACAATTATTTATTTATCCTTTCCAAAGAAAGAAAAAAATGTTTTACAACGAAAGAAAAATATGTATTCAAACTTTTAGGCTTAATATGCCTTTAATTTGAAAAGAGACAGTTTTAATTTACTGTATATACATAAATATATATATTTCTTTGTCTCTTAAAAAAAATGAAATGGTTTCTTTTATAGAACATATAGTAACGTTTGTAGCATAGTATTTAGCCACTTTATTTTTGTTTAAGGTGGTTTGGGTATGGGAATATTTGACTCGTGTTTAATCACGGAGGAGTTGGCGTATGGATGTACAGGGATACAGACAGCTATTGAAGCCAACTCTCTTGGGGTGAGTTTATAAATATAGGTCTTGCATATCAGACAGGATTATCTACTGTTTACACTGGTGCTGATAAAACCTGTCTAACACCCCCATGTAAGACAAGTCAGGTGGTTTAAATGAGATCATTTCATGGATGAATTGCGTTTTTAGGATGACGCCATTGTGCCGTTATGAATTAGGTTGTAAATTCATTCACTACTATAAGAAAAAAGTACTTAATGAAAATATTAGTTTTTGTATTTTTTTTACAATATATTATTATGTAATATGCAAGGAAAATAGTCAAACACCGACTTTTGTCCCAAACAGAAATATCTAGCTCTAGGATAACTATTTAGGGGAACACTTTATACAAATTTCTTCAATAGAAATAACCAACAGAAGCAGAAGAAAAAAAAGGATATTTGGAAAAAAAGATGTTCAGTGTATGTATAAATAATGTTTATATTAATTTCAGCAAATGCCAGTGATTATAGCGGGTAATGAGGAACAGAAGAAGAAATATCTCGGAAGAATGATGGAAGCCCCTCTAATGTGTGTAAGTCACTATTACAACATGATTTTAGGGCGTCCGAGTCTGAATAGGTTTTAACCAAATTATTTTAGGTAAAGGCCACTTCACCTACCTGTGAACATAAACCCTTGGTTAACTATTGTACTGTATAAAATTATACCCTTACTGTTTGAGTATATAAGGTGTCTGAATTTTTACTGGCCACTCATAGTTACATGGGTTCAAATCCTGTGGGGCTAAATTCTGTTAATCGAGAAGTCTTGTGACTAACTATTCAGCTAGTTTGTGGAAGGCTGGTCATTCTACCCAGGTGTCAGCATAATATTTGAAGTGAAACAAGAAATAGCACCAGCTCTACGTTTGATATTTCATATTTATAATTTGATTGTATAGTCAAAAAATTGAATAATTCTATGACTGATATTGAAAGTATAAAAATGTTTGATATGATTTATAACAAAAAGGGGCAAGACATTTATAATTTGTACATATGTTAGCATCTGCTGTAGCCCAAAAAAAATTTCTTTCTGTAAATATAAAATAAACAGACAAACCACACAAACACGAACATTCAGTAATTATTTATTGCATACGTTTCGGCTATATGCCTTTATCAGTGCAAAACATAATAAAATTACTGGAAGCAATGTCATAAGGGAGCACGGGTTAAACGCATAAAAAATGTTAAGGCATTTTTTGGGGTTTGTTTTGGGTTTGTTTTTTTTTGTAAATATAACAGAAATTGTAGGTGTATTTGCACTACATATAATGCAGGAATTCTATGACAAAAATTTCATATATTTCTAGGCATATTGTGTGACAGAACCTGGAGCAGGATCAGATGTATCAGGGTTAAAGACTAGAGCAGAAAAGAAAGGAAATGAATGGGTTCTAAATGGTTCCAAAATGTGGATCACAAATGGGGGAGTTGCTGACTGGTATTTTGTGCTTGCCAGGTCAGATCCTGATGTGAAAACACCTTCCGGCAAAGCTTTTACAGGTATGAATTATTCATAATTATGTTTTCACTATTACAATTGTAGGTTCACCAACCATATGTCACAACTCTCACATACATTCAGACTGAAATCTTTCCTGTCATGAACCTAGAAAATTCCTGTATAAACCAGACTTACTTTTTTCAGTCAGTTACAGATTAATGAAACTAATACTCAAGTAGGTCTTATCTGGTGTCATTGCCTATCAAAAGTATTTTAAGTATTTCAAAATAATGCTTAATATATTTCTTTGTTAACATTTCAGGATTTATTGTGGATGCTAATTCACCAGGCATAACTAGAGGCAGAAAGGTAGTTGATGTGTTATTCATATTCCATGACTTAATCCTTCATTTCTTTCATTATTAATATTGTTAATGATATAAAATATTTGTTTTTTTATACAATTTTGAAATTGAAAACTGCCTAGTCTGTTGTACAAAATTCTTCTGTATTGTATGAACCACTTTCCTTCAGATTACAGCTCATAACAAACTTAGTTTTGAAGAAAAATTTTTCAAAGGTAACCTTTAGGAACATTGAATGCATAGATATATTAGGCAGAGGGGTGATAAAGAGTTTGGGGGTGAGGGCGGTGTGTGCAGTGTCCAGTTTTGACAGAACCATATCTTCTGCATGCATGTTGGGTTTTAAGTCTTGTTCACAATCATGAGATTTAAGGCAAAGGTCAAGGTCATACTTAAAGGTCTTGAAAAGCTGTCTAGAACAAAACTTCTACTTGCTATGAGGGATTAATTATACATTGGCACATATGCTTGCTAATGTGCGGCGGGATGTCATATTTAACATTCAGCTCCAATTGGTCAATGACAAGGTCACACACAGCAGTTAAAGATCAGATAAAGATATGAAAAGAGTGTATGGACCATTGGGCTGTGTTGGATTGAGGGATTATATTACAGCTGTTCACAATCAGGAGAATTGACATTACCAGCAGTGTAATTCAGTGTATGTTATACATGTATTTTCTTCTTACATTCAGTAAGATTGGTAACAAATGAATGAACATAGAATTCACAATTCACTAGGGGAACGGTGGCCTAATGGTTAAGATGTCTACCTGTCAACCCACGCATCATGGGTTCAAGCCCTAATCAGGTTCACAGCCATGTTTCTTCTTATGTTACTTCCTGGAAATGTATCCAAAAGTGATTGATATAAGTTGCAAGAACTTGTTTTTGCAATCAAGCTTAAATAAATATATTTAAACCAAGAATTCATATTCTACAGTACTTGATTTTGTTTTGTGTAAAATAATATTAACAAATTTGTATATCATTTTAGGAAATGAACATGGGACAAAGAGCATCTGACACCAGAGGAATTACATTTGAAGATGTTGTAGTCCCAGCTGAGGTAGGTCCAAATATTCAAACATCTACATGTATTTATGTAGCATCTGGTAATTAAGTGATACATTTAAGACTGCTGACTTCTGACCACTTGCCTCTCATTATGTCATGGACCATGAATTGTTTTATATGAGGAAGGTATCCCAACTAGTTTTTAATATGAAAGGACAGTGTTTCTACTCTGAGTACCAGCTTGTGATTGAAAGAATGTACACTTTGACATCTGTGGTCTTCCCCCAGCAGTTATTGATGTAGTCATAACATGACCTTACTGTGTTGGTGAAATGTAAAACATAACTGTTTCTTAATACATCTTGTTGATTATTATTGGTCATTGTGTTGCTTATCTAGAGAAGCCACTTAATTAAGTGGACAGACTGCCAAAATTTTACCAAATATGAAATCGATAAAAAAAGACAACAAACAAACAAGCACATGTAGACTTCTTGGCTTATATATCAAAATAATGATAAAATATTTCAATTATATAAATAAGTCATCTATTTTTATGTTTTCAGAATGTTCTAGGCACAGAAGGAGTGGGTTTTAAAATAGCCATGGGAGCTTTTGACAAAACTAGGCCACCAGTATGTTAGCATTTATTGTTTTCTTCTTTCTGACTTTATAGTTTAGTTTTAAGCTCACCTGTCACAAAGTGACAGGGTGAGCTTTTGTGATCGCTTTTCGTCCGGCGTCCGTCCGTAAACTTTTACTTTAAATGACATCTCCTCATAAACCACTAAGCCAATTTCATCCAAACTTCACAGGAATGTTCCTTTGGTGGTCACCTTTAAAAATTGTTCAAAGAATTTAATTCCATGCAGAACTCTGGTTGCCATGGCAACCAAAAGAAAAAACTTAAAATATCTTCTTCTAAAAAACCCAAAGAGCTAGAGCTTAGATTTTTGGCATGAAACATCTTATGGTGAGTGTCTACCAAGTTTGTTCAAATAAAAGCCCTTGGGTCAAAATTGGCCCCGCCCCAGGGGGTCATTGATTTTCCCTATATGCATATAGTAAAAACTTAAAAAATCTTCTTTTAAAGAACCCAAAGAGCTAGAGCTTAGATATTTAGCATGAAACATCTTCTAATGGGTGTCTAGCAAGTTTGTTCAAATAAAAGCCCTAGGGTCAAAATTGGCCCTGCCCCAGGGGGTCATTGATTTTCCCTATATGCATATAGTAAAAACTTAAAAAATCTTCTTTTAAAGAACCAAAAGAGCTAGAGCTAAGATATTTAGCATGAAACATCTTCTAATGGATGTCTACCAAGTTTGTTCAAATAAAAGCCCTGGGGTCAAAATTGGCCCCGCCCCAGGGGGTCATTGATTTTCCCTATATACATATAGTAAAAACTTAAAAAATCTTCTTTTAAAGAACCCAAAGAGCTAGAGCTAAGATATTTAGCATGAAACATCTTCTAATGGATGTCTACCAAGTTTGTTCAAATAAAAGCCCTAGGGTCAAAATTGGCCCTGCCCCAGGGGGTCATTGATTTTCCCTATATGCATATAGTAAAAACTTAAAAAATCTTCTTTTAAAGAACCCAAAGAGCTAGAGCTAAGATATTTAGCATGAAACATCTTCTAATTGGTGTCTACCAAGTTTGTTCAAATAAAAGCCCTGGGGTCAAAATTGGCCCCGCCCCAGGGGGGTCATTGATTTTCCCTATATGCATATAGTAAAAACTTAAAAAATCTTCTTTTAAAGAACCAAAAGAGCTAGAGCTAAGATATTTAGCATGAAACATCTTCTAATGGATGTCTACCAAGTTTGTTCAAATAAAAGCCCTAGGGTCAAAATTGGCCCCGCCCCAGGGGGTCATTGATTTTCCCTATATGCATATAGTAAAAACTTAAAAAATCTTCTTTTAAAGAACCCAAAGACCTAGAGCTAAGATATTTAGCATGAAACATCTTCTAATTGGTGTCTACCAAGTTTGTTCAAATAAAAGCCCTGGGGTCAAAATTGGCCCCACCCAAGGGGGTCATTGATTTTCCCTATATACATATAGTTAAAACATAAAAAATCTTCTTTTAAAGAACCCAAAGACCTAGAGCTAAGATATTTAGCATGAAACATCTTCTAATGGATGTCTACCAAGTTTGTTCAAATAAAAGCCCTGGGGTCAAAATTGGCCCTGCCCCGGAGGTCATTCATTTTCCCTATATGTGTAAAACTATAGCAAAAATTGAAAAATCTTCTATTAAGCATGAAGCATCTTCTAGTGAGTGTCTTCAAAGTTTGTTCAAATAGAAGCCCTGGAGTCAAAATTGGCCCGCCCCGGGGGACATTGATTTTCCTTATACAAGTATAGCAAAAACTTAAAAATCTTCTTTTAAAAAACCCGAATAGCTAGAGTTTGGATATTAAGCATGAAACATTTTCTAGTAAGTGTCTACAAAGATTGTTCAAATAAAAGCCCTGGGGTCAAAACTGGCCCTGCCCCAGGTGTGTCATTGTTTCTAACTATATGTGTAAAGAAAAAACTTAAAAAAATCTTCTTTTAAAAATCCCAACAAGCTAGACCTCAGATGTTTAGCATGAAACATCTTCTAATGGTTGTCTACAAAGTTTGTTCAAATAAAAGCCCCGGGCTTTAAACTTGCCTTGTTCCGGGGGCCTATGTACAGGTGAGCGACTTCAGGGCCATCATGGCCCTCTTGTTACAAATTTACAGCTGAGTAGTTAAAGACATTGACTTCATACTACTTGTCCCACTCCACTGAAGTTGGAACCCCTTGAGCGACTTTAGACTCTTTCATGTGAGGAAGTTAAGCAATGTTGGAGGTTTAACTCAAGTGCCTGAAAATATTGAGAGAAGGGTTTCTGAGGTTTAACCAGTTAACCTGGAAAGGTGCCATAAGACCATGTCAGTTTTCATGTGACTTAAAACCACATCAAAGAAAGAAAGAAGAATGTAATGATTTAATCACTTGGATTTTATTAAGATGCTTAAATATGCAACCATCTCAATTATCTGGGACATAATATGACATTTGTAATCCAGGAGTGGCTCCTTGGGTGTGGTAGAATATCTCAGGGACATTTAATCTCGAACATTGATTCTGTTTGGTCATTTGTCTCCTACCACTGATTCAGAAATTATTTGGGATAAGTAGTTGGTCACTTGTAGAGAAATTGAAAATTACTGGTCAGTTATCCAGTTAAGCCAGTTAGGTGAATCAGCTTGAGATATTGAGTTCATGGCCGAGTGGTTAAGGTTATTGTCTTCAAACCACTTGCCTCTCACCGCTGTAGGTTCAAATCCTGACAGGGACTTTAGATTATTTCATGTGAGGAAGCTATCCAGCTAGCTTACGGAATGTCAGTGGTTCTACTTGAATGCCCGTTTGTACCTGAAATAATGCAGGAAAGGGCACCTGAGGTCTTCCTCCACCAGTAAAGCTGGAATGTCACCATATGACCTATGATGTGTCAGTGTGACGTAAAACCCGATCTGAACAAAAACAAACCAAAAAGAATATTGTGATACGTCAACATAAAGACCAATTAAACAAACATAATCACTAACATGTTACAGGTGGCAGCAGGTGCTGTAGGACTTGCCCAGAGAGCAATGGAGGAGGCCATGAAATACTCCATGGAGAGGAAAACATTTGGAAAATTTATCTGTGAGGTATGTCACCTTATAATTTATGTTAAAATATCATTTTGTCTTTCAGATGATAGTTGAATTACTAATAAACTAGCTTTACTGTTTTAACTTGCTACTTTAATATTCATAGAAAGCACTGATAACTGATATCTGAGGCAGAAACTTACTTTACTTGATAACTTGTGTGGTTATCCTTGACTTAACGCACTAGTCTACTGGAGTTTTGTTATTTGTACTTTTCTTTATTTCAGCATCAAGCAGTATCATTTATCTTGGCTGATATGGCAATAGGTATAGAGTCAGCCCGTCTGGCCATGCAGAGAGCAGCATGGGAGATTGATCAGGGTCGTAGAAACACATATTACGCCTCTATTGCTAAATGCCTAGCTGGAGATGTTGCCAACAAAACAGCCACTGACGCAGTCCAGGTAAATCTTATTTAACACAAGCAATAATCATATTGTCACCTTAGTGCAATAACTGGTTAACTCCTATAATATGTAGAACCTTTGCCAATTTGTATTATTTTTGTTGTGAGTAACCCATGTCAACCGGTGACTGTATTATTATCTTAGTGTAGAAATTGGATAGCTAGGTATTGAATTTCCATAAAGCTGGAAATGCTGGAAATGTCCATTATTTGGGAAATAAATATATCATGGGGAGGAGTCTTGTAAATTCAGATAAGTAAATGAGCCGCGTCATGACAAAACCAACATAATTGGTTTGCGACAAGCCTGGATCCTGATCAGACTGCACAAATGTTGGTTTTTGTCGTGATGGGGCTCAAATGATATTTTGCTTACTTTTACTTGATATTTAGATTGTATTGTTTCCGAGTAAGTAAGTTATAAAAAAATGTTAATTTTATGTCACCACCTAGGTGTGTCTATATGGGGGTGATGGGGGATACAGCTTAGTTACAGTTGTTCATTCTGTCACGGTTTTCTGCTGTTACACTGTCTGTCTATAGACTGACAAAGCAGCAGAATGTTGGCGGCATGCTAAAGACACATTTAGTCACCTTAGTGCAATAACTGGTTAACTCCTATTAAATTTAGAAGGACTTAATGCATTACTGCACTAACTTGACAAATTATTTTGTTATATATCTTGATTTGATGTTATGTTAGGAGAGACACTGTATATTTTAGGGCTACACATCAAACTAGAATAATTTTACATCTAGAAACTGACTGTATTTGTATTTGTCATATTTCATCAGTTAAGTATTTATTGTTTGTTTTTATGTGTAGATATTTGGAGGAAATGGTTTCAACACAGACTATCCAGTTGAGAAACTGATGAGAGATGCCAAAATTTATCAGGTATTTTTTTTTTAATTTTCTTATTGAAAAAATAATGAACAAAGTATTTCCATTGTGACTATTTTACCATATTTTGTATCCATAAAAAAAACTTGTGGATTTACTTTGTCAGCTATGATCAAAGGAAATAATTATTTCACCTGAATATCATGTTTTTACCATAGAAGATTAAAGGTTCAGTTTTGCGTTTGTGCTGTTGACTGTATAAAGAACAGTAACTGTAATGTGAATTTATTGTGAATCATTTACAAATACCTATATGAACTTACTAAGATACATGAAAAAAGTTGTTGAGTTGTCTGTCACCACTAAGAGTTGCCGTATGACTTACAATATATATTTCATATGAATTAATACTCAATGTTTGAAGAATATTCATGTTTACAAAAAAATCTCAAAGATTAAAAATTCCTCAGGACTGTTGGCTCGTAATGAGTAGAATTTATAAGAACCTGATGCAAGACGAGTAGAAAAATGTTGCTTGCACATTGGACCCTGAAAATAAGTTTTGATGCCTGTTAATAATTGTTTTCAAAAAATTAGAAAATCTAATTCATTTAATGTTTCATACTACAGATTTACGAGGGTACGGCACAAATTCAGCGCCTGATTATTTCACGAGAAATGCTGACACAAGCTAAACAACAGTGAAGAATACAGCCATAATGTGTGTTATACTATCTGTGATTATCATTACCATTATCTTAATCTTTGTGTTCAACACATGATGAAATCTTGATGTAGACTTTCTCACTATACAGTTATATGTGCTCAGTACAGAAAAAATAATATTTTTTATCTTTACAATTATGATATTTAGCCTTATTAGAGTCTAGTTTTTTTTTGTATTCATACCACCAAAATAAATGAAGATGCTCAATGGCTCAGGATCAGGATTTACTTATATACTTTCTTACTATAGTAACTATATAAAATGCTCAGCTTTATTGCCTGAAGAACAATTTATTTTGTTGAACATGTATATTTATAATCTCTTTTTTTGTCAAATAAGAAAATTTAAGCATAAATGAAAATGTTGTGGGGTTGAGGTTGGAAGTTTTCTGTAGGGAAGTATACAATATCGATATGCCATATATAAATGTACCATGCACATTTATTAGTACTGTATAAAATCCTATTAAACTTTATAAAAACAAGGGTAACATATATAATCCATGTCTGATATAACTCGTAGATGGTTTGTTTTATATATAAATGATATGATAATTAGCTTATACTATGAAATATGAAATATAATTTGCTTGTGGAAGAAATTTTTAGGAGTAATATACCCTGCTTATATAAACAGAAATACACCTGTTTTGGACACCTGTGTATGCACATGTATATTTATTATTCTAACACGCAGCGATGCTTCACAGTATACCACTATTTAAGATAGAGCAATCAAGTGCATTATTACATGATATGCCTTGCATAAAAAAGAAATGCCTAAACATCATATGAAGACAATAAACCAAATAACGTTGGGAAAATTACTTCCACAGTCAATATAGTTTTACATATTTATATAAATTCTTTTAATTTGCATATTAGAATGGAAAATAGATACATGTATTAGTATAATATTGCGAGTTTTATCGACCTTCGTGATTATATTCCTGCATATTTGAACTCAATCAGTGAATTATTTTACAACAATGTACATTCATATCCATGTTGTAAGGAATTAAACTTTAAGGAAAAAACATAGATTTTCAAACTTGAATAATTATTCCTTAATTGTAAATTGATCAGTATCTATAATTGTCATTTATTATAGAGTTTATTTGTATATATTTGTTATAGTGAAAAATAATAGAATGGCGTTTTTGTTGTCATGACATTGTGTTATTAAAGTGCTAATGCAAGTTTATATTAGAAAGTTACATATTTATAACCAGTGATATTTATGTTTTGTACATCTGTTTATTTGACTCTGTATAATTTCACCTTCATATACAAACAAATGGGTTATATTTCTTTGATTTCTTCATTGAATAATAAAATCATTTTAAAAGGTTTTTTTCCTGTTATTTTAGCTCACTGGTGTTATTTAGCTCACAATGGGTTTATTAGCTCACATTGAGTTTAAATGAACTGTTGTGGTTACTCACTTCATGCCATTTTGAAAATTCTTGGTTTACGTTTTGCATGCAACATTAAAATTTCAAGACTTCTGTAGGTATTCACTTGAAACTTTATACAAAGGGACGTTTGTGGCCGAGTGGTTAAGGTCCTAGACTTCAGACCACTTGCCCTCTCACCACTGTGGGTTTGAATAGTAACAAGGACTTTGGACTCTTTCATTTGAGGCAGCTAACCAGCTAGCCTATAGAACATTAGTGATTCTACTCAGGTGCCTGTTTGCCAGAAATAATGCACGAAAGGACACATGATGTCTTCCTCCACTAGTAAAGTTGGAAAGTTGCCATATGACCTATACAGTGATGGTGTGATTTAAAACCCAACAAAAAGAAATAAAAACTTAATGCATCACTTTTGGATCATCATTTGAGGTCCAGCAGAGATATTGATTGAATTATAGCTACTGTTTTGATGCAACATAAAGCCCAACAAACAAACTGAATTATATACCATTTTGAATGCAGAAATTTAAAGCATGACCTTTAAAGACATAATTTATTTAAGTGGTAGGATTGTAAATGTATATTTACTAGAAACAGTGTTCAAGATCCAAGTATGTCTGACCAGATAATATTTTATGTACTTGCATTGTTGTTTATTTTGTATTTACTTTCAAAACACAAATTTTTTGTCAAGGGAGGTAATTTATAGTGCAATTTTGTAACTGTACTGGAAATGAGTTTATAAGACAAAATATCGGAGGAAAGGTGACTTGCAGTCACATTTTGTGATTAATTTGACTAGTAGTACATAATGGACACTAGGAGAGGGAATTATCAGTCACATATTGTGACTATTTGAAATATTTGTACAAGTACTGAGGATGACAGAGGACAAAAAAAAACTTATTTCTTGTGTGATTTTTTTTTATTTATTAAACATGTTTGGCACACAGAAAACATGTGAACATAATATACTGTACATGTACCTTTATAAACACATAAAATATGTAATCAATACTGGTGTTCTGCACGAAATGCATTTCAAAAATAAATCTATTAAATATATAACAATAATGATGTAGGTATAAAAATTTGTGAAAAAATTATGTGTAACAATATATATAGATGATTTGTCATGAAATTTAGCATGCTAGATTAATGTATACATGTAGATGCAAGCATCTGATTTCAGTATTGATAAATATAAATAAAAAATGATAAATATAAATTTAAAAAAAAATCTGTTAGATCTTATTACTAAAATTACAAAATAGGATAAGCATTATATACATGAAGAAAGTACATGTTAATTTACCTAATTTGATCATATGGAATAGAATAGCCCTTTGCATCAGAGTTCTTGCCTAGAAATTTGTCAGATATACTAATTACTACTTATGAAAAATGTAATAAATGTTTTAATTCATTTTACTAATTGATATCACAATATATGTAATATATATATCACTGTTAATACTTAAACAGGTGTAAACTTGATTGATATACATTTACCACTTTACTAGCATATGCTCATTTGATATTAACCAATTTAAATTTGATCAGAGCTGGGTTGTAGTAACCTAAATCAGACATGTAAATACAACGCATTTACTATGTATTTTAACATCTCTGACATAATCAACTGTAACATGGTTATGCTCGATTGATATGACAGGATTGTGCTTGATTGATATATCCGGATTGTGCTCGATTTATAATACCTTTTATTTAATAGAGTTATGCTCAATCCATGAAAGAAAAAACACTTTTCTGAGCCAATTTCAATGAATGTTCATATTTTAAGCTTTTACAAAACAACATTCAACCTGGCATTGGTGTTTAACTATTTATTACATTTTACTGGGCAATTAAGTCGTACAAGATTTAAGTTTTAAAATTAAAGAACACACATTTTCATTGATTTAACCCCTTCTAAAATAGTTTAATTGTTTTTCCGAATGATTGAAATGTTTACATTTTGCTGCTGTTAATGTGGATGGTGAATTTTGATAAAATGTATACAATATTTGATGGGTCAGCTGTTAGGTTGGTGTTTCTCAGAACGTTGAGAATGGTCCAAGGACGTGAGATTTCTCGCGACGTAGAGATCTAATCGTAAAAGCTGGGCTGTGGTGCTTGTTGTACGAGAATTTTGGGTTGTAAGCGCCGGGTCCTGGAACTTTTTCTGAAAGAATATAAACACAGCATAAATATTACATGCCAACCAAGACTGACTTGTCACTTTCCCCTTTTGGCTGAGGGATGGCCTACTAGTAATTTACGGATTAAGGCATCAGAATTGCAGCCATCGTTTAACCCTGCGACTAAATGGATTCGAATTATTGGAGTCTACCGGTATGTAGCTTTTAGCTGCAGTAAGTGTGGTCATTTTGACCCCTGGTATTGCTTAGTGTTTGTAACACCCGAGGTCGGTCAAAATCATCTTTCCTATTTTCCTGTTTCGGCGACATATAACCTAATTTGTCTTGGTGCGCCCCAAAACCAACAAACAAAAACCTGACTGTCACCTTTTTATAGCGACTATTTAAAAAGAAGTTTCTGATGTTAAAAGAGATCACCTTTCTGTAAAGACCATATTACATTCTTACTAAACCGGACCTATATATAAATGTATATTTAATAAGTAGTTGATAAATAAAAGAGACGTAAATAATCGGCATTCCATATATTTTGACATTTGAAAATTTTATAGTTCTAAGCGTTAGAAATAGACATTTCAAATGCTTAGAAATATATTGTCCTTTTGTTTCATTTAAACATATTGACCTCAATCAACTATTGTACATATGTTCCTTATAATATGACCAAATGATTGCAATAGGGACCTATATGATTATAGACATACATAAGTCACATATCCCAGCTTATAAGAAAGATATCTTTATATAGGGCAGTCTTATTGTCGTGTTACAAGATACACCAAGTGTACATTTACATCAGGAGGCTACTGTACAACTCTTGAAGGCAAGACTATAATCATTGTAACTGTATTATACCTTTGTTTGCCCAGACGACAGTGCCTTCCCGCCTAAACTGATGGGAGAACGCGGGAGCTTTCTTCAACACAATTTTGTCGGCGGTATCTTTGTCGTAGTCAACAGGTGACGGCTCCTTATCACTTCCTAAAATACAGAAAAATAAATGTTTGAAACCCTAAGCGCTTTAAATAACAACACACGCCTTTTAAATATTGCCCCTGGCCAAATCGCGAGCAGATGTCAAAGGACATGACACGCAATATCAAATATAATATAGATGTACAACAACAGAACATTTTTTAGGTTTTAATTTATTTATTAAAATAAAGATAATGAATAACCTTAAAATAAAATGTGATTCCCCAAGAATGTAAGCAAACAACAAAGTACACAATATCAACATGCCCGCTGATTTACGTACAAAATGTGTTTAAGTATCAATAAAAATGCAGGCATTATTTTGTAGATTAGTAGATTAGTTATAAAAATGAGTTCATACTGTTACAGTAGTTAACTAGTTAATTATCAGGTTATCTGGTGGCAGAAATATGCCACCATACAAGATGTATATTGGCAGTCCGTTAGTTATTTGTACAAACTATAAGCCTATCACGTGACCACAATTTAACTATTCACCTTGTTTACTAAATGTAGTCTCTCGTCTAGTCCCGATAGTAAAGGATGGAGCTTCTACCATAGTGCGCTGGCGTGGACCCAGTGCTGGTCGATGCCGGTAATGGGTCGGAGTCGGCCACTGCCAGAAAATAAATGGTGTTCATTTTATAGAATTGTGTCGGCCGATAGTGCTATTTGGGACAATATATGAATTCAAAAGGCTTATTATATTTTTTTTAATGGAAATTTTCTCGAAAATTAAGGGTTTCTAATAGCTAAATCATTTTATATGAACATTTTTACATGTAAATTGCTTAGATAGAAAAAACAGAATCAAGCAGTTGTAACTTTATTTTCTTAATGTGAGAATGTTGAAAATCTGTAAAACGTAGTGCCAATTTTTTTGTACACTATGTTTTTAGATACATGTACTTGTTTTCTCAAGTATATAGAATACATTGTATAAAAAAAAAAATAACGTTGAGCATTTTGAAACTTTTCACCGTCTCAATAAATCTTATACATTTAATTAATGTTGGTTATATAAAGTTTCATTTTTTAATAAATAAAGGTTAAAGCATTACAGCTGAGTCGTTGTAAAAGTCCACTTTTGACGTCCATACTTCCGGATTCTGGAACCACGTTTTCTCCCAGGACGTTCTAGAACCTGCACCGGCTACATCAAGGAAATAATAAAAATAAAAAAAATAAAAAGATTTTTTTTCAATTTTTAGGTCATTCAGAGAGACATGTATATTATATTTGAGCCGTGCCATGACAAAACCAACATAGTGCGTTTGCGACCAGCATGGATCCAGACCAGCCTGCGCATCCGCGCAGTCTGATCAGGATCCATGCTGTTCGCTATCAGTTTCTCTACTTGAAATAGGGTTGGTAAGCGAACAGCATGGATCCTGATCAGACTGCGCGGATGCGAAGGCTGGTCTGGACCCATGCTGGTCGCAAACCCATTATGTTGGTTTTGTCGTGACGCGGCTCATATACCCTCAGTTGCAGCTAAAGTCGCATTTGTGAGTGTAAATCAAGTTTCCAACCGAACGTTTAATCAACAAGCATGTATCATAATATGTTCAAGAATCATATTTGCAAACAAATTGATTTTATTTTTGGCATTCTGGTTAAGGTGTCAGCCTTTTACATCAAGATCTGTTTGAACTTGCTATACCGGAGACTAACTATTAGTTACATTAAACAACCTTGTTTGACCAATGAAGTGCGAAAATGAAACACATAAGTTGAAAAAAGTTTAATAATCTTGCTTTTATTGTAGAAAATTATGATTATACAATGTGTTAAAATAAAATTTTCAGACAACATAACCAAATATTGAATTTAATTTTTATGAAACAATGAAAACAAGTATATCATACCTTTCTCAATGAAACATTTTGATCCAAATGTCCAAGCTGGAGAATTCGTTTCATTTAAAGGTTTGTTCCTCGGAGAATAATTTGTCGGTCCCGGTCCTTCCATGTCGATCCTTAGAGGTGGACGGGCATCATTCGCCTCATCCCATGTTATTACCTTCTTTGGCTTCGTCGGTTCCTCATAGTACAGACTTGGTCCCCGGGGCACCGGCTTCGTCCTGAAATTATCACAGAAATTTGATCAGCACGTCATTGCAGATTTTTAAGCATAAGTTTTCCTAGATAAACAATTCTGTCAGAATTATGCTGTCTATATGAGCGTTTTAAATGAAGCAACATGTGTGGGTAAAGAGGGTGAAAATACAAATGTTTTGGTTAAAAACGTATATTTGAATCACGAAATATCTCGACTATGTTGTTTCGTTTGATGAACAAAATGCGCACAGATTGAGTTAAACTCGATACGTTAGTTTACTTATGTATTATGCATGCCTGCATCGCAAGAGAAAAATACACAAATGTACAACGTAAAAACAGATAAAAATGGTCTTTTACCAATACTCAAACGTAGCGTGCTGCTCCACCCCAACTTTTGTTGCAGTAACAATGTATATATAAATAAAATGAAATTAGCTCTAAAGATTTGAAAAAAAAAAATGAAAAAAAATTCAGTCGAATTACAACGGATGTGACGTAAGACGTCACGGTTGTTGTTACTCCACGACGTCCCGCCTTTATGTGACGCACATATCAAAAATAATTTCGCCAAGTAGACTTAGAATGACAAAATATTTTTTCAACTTTTTTAATATATAATTGTTTTGCTTAACATAATTATGGTGATTTTTTTAATGATGTCGATTTTACCAAAGTCATGTTAAATTGTCTATGATCATTGTTGTTGTTTTTTTTGTGTTGATTTTTGTTGTTGTTTTCGTTGTTGTTGTTTATCAAAGTTGTTACGCATATGGGTTATGTTTTGGTTTTATTCGAGTTATCGCCAATGATATGAAATGACGCAAATCACCAGTTCTGTATTTTTCTCGTTGACCTTTAATTCGACTTATCCAGTTTCAATATTTGGAATATTCCGGAAATCAAGATAAACAATTTGAGGTTGGTCAGTTTACGGTTTAGAGCCTAGCCATACAGCTCGGACTTGCTCTATACTGCTGACAAAGGAAGGGGGGATTATTTGTTTGATTGGTTTTAACGCGCACTAACACAGTATAGGTCATATGCGCAGAAACAGGAAAGACCTCAGATGTTACAAATTTCAAACCAATTTCAGGGATCGAAACCACCCTACCTGCTGGAGTTCAGAGATGCATATACTCCACTTATTCAAACCAATTCTAACGATCACACAGGGATAAGATAAACGGTGGCTTCAATTCTTATGCCTCAACCATTTATTTAAAGTCATCGGCGCAAAGGCAAAGGATTACAACTTTGTAGTCTAGAACAGGGTAAAGGTTAAATATCCCCTATACAATGGGAATTATCTCATTGACAGAAATATGTATAAAATATTGGCTGTTTGTTCCAAACCCAAAAACTTTCAGCATCCTTAGTCGGATATTTAAATATTTAAAAAATTCTAAATGTCAGATATAAACATACAATTTCGCTGACTAAATCTAGAGATCAGTTTGTCTGTATGTCTGTCTGTTTTATTTAATCTGTAACCATAATATTAAGTAAATAAATCTGTTAACGCATACACAAAAAGTAATAGCGGGCATAATTGTTTGTACTTTAGAGTGGCCAAACACGGAAGCTAATGAAGGACATCTTGAAAAAAATCACCTGTGCTTATTAATTATATAAGAAACCATAATTAGATATTATATTTTACATATAACAATAAAATTCATGTTGACTATAATTATTTATGCCTAACATGAATATTAATATGTTTGAATACCTTTTTCAATAAACTGAAATACAAATGTAAACGTACGCTTCAGGATTCCAGCCGGCCATTTTTGGCTTATCAGCAGACCAAAATTGGCTTACACGTAGAAGTGAGGTGCTCTTGGTTACCTCGATAGCTTATAGCTTTTTTATATATCCTCATTTATATAAATCCCATCTTTTTATCCGTATAAATAGTTTGTTTTTTCCTATATTCTATTCAAAAATGAAAATGTGATAGCACAAAAAGAAACACCCTGTCTTCACACGTTTTGAGTTTTTTCTTTATTCCATTTTCCCAGCAGTACGAGCAAGCATTATTTAAGGATTTATGTTCGTAATATTTATTCTATATATAGATAACAACTTAATTAAAATGCTAACTGACGTTTCTGTCATTTATCGTCATATATTATAACAAAAAAACTATTTTAATAGCCTAGATTCTCCACTATCTCTATGCAAACACACTTTTTTGTTTATTTTTTCTCTCATAATTTCAATAGAGTTTTAAACAAAACATATATACATAAACATTTTATGCCGCTTGGTTAAGTTTTGTCATAAAATACAAAAAAGAACGATCAGTGCAGATATAACAGGACTTGTATGTACATGGTAAAAAAAAACAAAAAAAAGACAAAGGGATCAATAGAAATTATAGAAAATAAAAGAATAGCGTAAAAGGTTTGTTAATGCCCTTTACAACCATTGTCAATAATCTGTGTAAACACGCTTTGACGTATCATTGAATAATTTTCTATGCATAATCTGCCTACTCTTGTTCCGAAATAATGAAACCTGTAACGTCAAGTCGCATGATATTGTTAAATTATTTCATAAATTTACAAAGCCGATGTAAATTAAATTATATCTGTACACATATCTCGACTGAAGAAGCTTTTTATCCAATTTACAGAAAATACCCTTTTGTCTCCAAATTATTTTTCAATTCGCATGCATTTGTTACATGACAGACTACATTAATGATTATGCTTATACATACATAATGGCAACAATTTCGTCTACATTTTAAAAATTAGGATTGACATTTCAACTACTCTAGGTCATTTTTCTTTGGAGCAGTGTATTTCGAATAAGTTTAATATTTCATATAGCATATTATATTTTTATATGTGTTCGTAATATACACAAGCTCCCCTCCTAAATCTGTTGATAAATAACTAAGATAAAAGGTCGAACTTTTTAATTTTATTTTGATTTGACCTCGCATCTCGATACCATTTGCCTGACTAGTTCATCCAGACAAATGACCTCGACCTTCTAGACCTAGGTTAATTCAGTGGAAACAAAACATAGTAAACACATTTATAATGCATGTTCTTAGTAATAGAAAGGCGTAGCCCCCGAGTAAAAATCAGATTGTCGAGTGTTTTGATGTTCTTTCTCTTTTGTATCATAGACAAACATAAAAACACGTTCCGTGTTGTCACATTATGAAACCCCGGGAAAAAGTAACCAATAAACGAGCATCTGAATATGATATTTTTGTCGCTTTCCCTTTCTCTTCCATCACAATAAGTAAACCCCAGCAAAAATGAGCCAATCAATGGGCATGCTATGGAGTGCGGGTAACTAATACCTGCACTCCAGTTAACGCACTGTGCATGTATATGTATACGATTTAACTGTGACACATTTTCAACAGAAGGTCCCCAAACTTTGATACAATTCTTCCGGTTGTTGAATGTTTGGTTGAGTTGGAATAAATCGAACAAGCGTTTGATATTGGCTGTACCACTCGCTCGCTAATTAATTCATTAATGAATATTTTATGCATGTTGCTAAGCTTAAATTTCCAATTTAAAGTTCCAATTTAAAGGGACCCCACCGAGGTCCAAAGTCATTAAAACATAAAATTTGAATGTTGAAACAAGTTGAAAATCGTTATTTGTGCTATTCTTAGCAGATTATTTTGCAATTATGTTCATGTCATGTGTCATTTATGTATTATATGTTGTATTTGTATATGTAATATGGTGATGAGCTTTTTATGCTTAAACCAAGAAACAAAATTTCTGTTCTGTTCTGTTCTGCTATTCTTAGCGCGATTTGAGTGAAAAGCGTTGCAACGCTTTTCAATTTTGCGTCATGATTAATCTGGAAAAACAGAGAGAGTAAACAATCTGCAATTTTTCACTCAAGTTATTGATAATTATATATTTATACAAGGTATTATATAATTGTCTGTTTGAAAATGAAAATGACATAAGATTAGAAATCAATTAGCATGGAATAGCGATTTGGGTCTTTTTTTTTCTTTTTTTTTTGTAACAACAAATATCAGCTTATTATCTATCATTTACAAATCTGAAAATGAAATGAATCTTTATATGCTATTAAGAATACAAAATCAACTTTAACTAATCAATTTTTCTCTTTGTTAAAACTATTGTACGGATCGTCGCAAAGATGTAACGAACTTTACATGGTTATAGAAACAATGAACGCATGGACTGGTCCAAATTCATCAAGACTTTTGAGTCGTCATACAGAAGACAAGCTGAACATCTTATATCGAAGATCTTAAAGGCCCATTAATTAAGCCACAGAAAATATACCGGTATTACGTTTGCTTCTTAAACATTTTTTTTTGTTTCCTGTTACAGTTTCCAAAAAATTTCTCATTGGTAATACAGCTGAACATTTGCTTCTTTTGCATTTTGAAATTTAGTACAGTTATAGTGATTAAGTATTTGTATGGAAGTCAAAATACTTCTTGGGTTACATTTAGTCACTGTAATGACAAATTATTTCACATTTAGTGCTACTTTTTTCATATGAAAATCTTCAAACATGTTTTAAATCCATTATAAAAATAGCATAATCATCTGTTAGCCCTTTCTTAGGAAGGAAAAAAGTTCTCCTCTATGAGGATTAATGTGTCTTTAAACAAAAGTTTGATTATGATTATACCCGAGCTCTGTGTGTCACACGAAACATCTTAAACTTTGGGGTTTTGTTGCACATCGTTATTCTTATTTTTTATCTTTATTTTGATGTGGAACGTCGGCCGTATTATGAAGTTTGCCTCGGTGCTTCAAAGGTTTTACTATGACGAAATACATGTTCTGAATAAACGATAGATATTTCAGATACTGACCTCCCATTGTACGACCAAAATCTCGGTAAAACTGTTGGTTCCAGCGGAGGAAACATATAGTCACGTGATAGGTCACATGACAAATATTGTAACCCACTTGGACTCGGCTGATCAGATTCAGGTTCATCTAACTCTTCCGAAAGTTCAGACATTAGTTCGTTTTGGCATTTAAAGTCATGGGATGTGTTAAAAGTGACACAAAATATATGTTCTCCATATGCTAGCATCTGATTAAATTAATCGACACCCTCTTTAAAACTGAAACTCCTTAGTGACGATTTTAACATTTGATTACTCTTCATAACAAAAGATACAGTCCAATTTTTTTAAAAATACATTGTTTATATTTAGGTTAATCTTATTTAATCACAGGTTAACAACAAAAAGTGTAAATCCATGTCATTCTGCTAAGTGCTTCTTAGAGAGCATTAATCCACTTGGGGCTAATATACGAAAATAAATTAACAAAAGCACACTTTATTAAATGCCTTAAAATGAACCAAATAAACTGATAAAGGTATAAAATGACAGACAGATTAAGTGTTTCAGATCGCTTTATCTCCATGTTTTACTGCATTACAAGTGGCTAATCTCTGATTTAAGGTTATATTTACATCCATCACGTGTAACTCGTGCAAACCCGGTATTTTTCGTTATTTTCCGCTTCGTTTAGAAACAAAGTAAGGATGTACACAACTTTTATCAAACGCTTTCTACGTATATATTTAATCGCGGAAATATACAAAGCTTAAGGTAGCCGAACATTTACGCAGTTTTACTGGATGAATTACCTTAATTGAAATTGAAATTAAGTTTATCTCTTCATCATATCAATGATGATAATGATGATACTGTGATGATAATGATGATAACGTGATGATAATGATGATAACGTGATGATAATGATGATACCGGTATCCTAGTTTTTTCCGAAACGATTATAACATTTATCATCATCATAATCATCATAGTTATCATCAAGAAAAGCAATAGCAATTCTTATAATCTACTGCTTACACTGATGCTAGATCATAATAATCTAACACCGGTTGCCGGTACTGACCGGAATAACTAGTAACTATTTACGGCGGTAATGAGGCTCTAAGACAAATCGCTGAGCCTAAACAGTTACCCTCGAGCTAGATATTCCGGTCTCTACCGGCATCCGGTGCAACACCATCATCAATATAATCATGATCAATATAACAACAAACATCAACATTGTCAATGGTTTGATCATCAATGAATGTTTTATCATCAGCTTTTCTTGACTGTCTATTTAGTTTTTATTTACATTTTTGATATGAAAAAAAAACCCAAAAAAAACCAAAAAAACTATAATCTATGTGAGCTAAATATACCAATGTCTCACATTATTTCATAAAGAAGGTCATTTGTTACTTACTTTGGTGACATTGTCACTGTCGCAAGCCGCACTAATTTTGGTGGTCTCCGCATCCTATGCATTTGTGGCTGAAAGCGCATATCTTTCCCTGTTGTGTCAGCGGCAAACCCGTAGAACTGACCAAGCGAGGTAGCCAGATGTGTAAATCTGCTAGTAGATGGTGACTTGGAATAATAATCCGAATGTGATCGGGTCTGTGCAGTGTGGAGAGGTTTTCGTTCCACTTTCACTGAAAATGGAGTTTTCGTGTCTCGGTCCGTCTCGGATTTCATATCTTTCCGCTCTTTTTCCGTGTCATATGACATTTTTGTACCATCTCGTACACTTGTTTCGGTTAACGGACGAGAAAGAGGAAATTCTGAGAATTCCCCCAAGTCCGAAGATGCATTCTTTTGAGTTTCTTTCAGTTTTGATTGTTTCACAATGTCCACCACGTGTTCGGATCGATCTGTTACGTCATCTCCTCTCCCTGAATCTTTTTCAACTTTATCAGGCAATTTGAATTCTGTTACTTTTGGGTTACCTTTAGTAGGTTTTTGGTCAGTGGGTTCCATTTCTTTGCTATTATTATCCATCGGGACTGGCGTTGTATCTTTCTCTACACTTTTTGAGTCTAATTCTAATTTAAGGTCGTCTTTGATATGCACAGAATGTCGCTCTGTTTCCGACTTTTCCTGCGTTTTTTCCTCTACTTTTGTTTGCTTTTTTACAATAGTGTCTTCACCAGTGGTACGACCATCGGGACCTGTGCTCGAATCTTCGATTATGGTCCCCTGAACCTCTTGTAGATTAGGACCGGTCGGCGGAGCTGCGATTTCTACAGCGGACATCCCTGTAAAAATTATATAAATTAAATTATTTAGATATATACAGATATCTGTATTCGATATAGTATACATTGAATGGAAAATAATCAAGTCGCATTCAATATCTGCATGTATTTAGCGTCACAAAAGAAGTTTTTATTGTGAGAAACCATTTATAAAGAAGAAGCTAGAATGCTACATATCTTTATAATCATAGAACATTTGTTATGTCAACTATCATCAAGAACGAGTACCACTTTCAACGATGTTGCCCAAATTCACCCGTTCCATATCCCCCTCCCCCCAACACCACACACAACCTACATTCCTATCTCCATCTACAAAGCACCGTACCCCGAGTCCCTGACCCATCCCACATTCAAATTGTAGCTTATTTATGTAGATGTTTTCAGTCAGTTGGCTTTGGTTTTAAATACATTCAATAAAAAATGTCGCCACGTGGTATCCATTATCTCATGTCCACGCACTCCACATCACATCGTATGTTTACGGTTTTTTTTTAATTTCACACGTTATGAAATAAAATCATATTATTGATGTTCCAATGAAAATCATTATTTATCTAATCTTATTTCTTAAGTCTCGTTTTCATTTTCAGAGTCCAAAAATTCCATATCAAATCCGTATTGTACTTGAAGTAATTAAGTTCTGTCAAAATGTCACAAAATGGGAGTACAGCGAAATAAAGGGGTCATTTTACATTGTTTGCGAACAATAATACACTATTGGACTCGTACATAGCTGCAAAACCTATATCAAACTCGGCTAGCTATCACGTCATCAAAGCTGTGTACTCGTCCAATATAATTTAGTATTGGACTCAAACCTCGAATATATGTTGGGTTAAGAAAATTGCTGTATAAAAAAGGCTACTCGATTGATTCCTATATCGAAAAGCTGTAAAATAGTGGGTTTGTTGTTGTTTTTGTTGTTGTTTTTTTGTTGTTTTTTTAATTTTTTAAGAACGGTTTTGCTGTTTGAAACAATATTGTTTATAATGTAAGGGTTGACATACAGGCTAGCCATATAATTGCTATATTATATACTATTTTATATCAAATTTATGTTCAGACATTTAAAACTGTGTACGTCATGTTATTCTTTCTTTTATCAAATATAAAGTACATTAAACGCCCACAAATGTATGTCCTTTCATCGTGCCGAAAAAGGTAAATTTGTGTATTGTAAAGAAGGTAGGAATTAAAAGTCCATTATCCCCTGTCTGAAAGCTGAACTATTCTACGCCTTAAATTGTATGTATACATAAAAGATCTTTTAAATGTAAAAATATTAAGCTATAAATTATAAATTTAATTGAAGTATAGAACCGGTTCCCGTGTTCATTAATGTTTAAAATTTGTAACTTGAGAAAAACTAAAACGTCGTTTTTTCATACCGTAGTGGAATTTAATTTGTCTTGAAAGAGAGAATAAAAAAACTTATTCATTTGGACAGAATGGCGAAACTGCTTGCAGTTTGAAAGAAAAAAGCAAGTCGGGATTTGTCTCGTCTTATTTGTATTGACTCTTACACTTGTTGCCATTTTAAAAGTATCGGCATATATGATCTCACGTGTCGCCGACTCACGTGTCTCGGACTCGCTTGTCTCGGACTCCCGTGTCTCGGACTCCCGTGTCTCGGACTCACGTGTCTCGGACTCACGTGTTTCTGACTCACGTGTCGCCGACTCACGTGTTGCCGACGACTTACGTGTCTCGGACTCACGTGTTTCTGACTCACGTGTCGCCGACTCACGTGTTGCCGACGACTTACGTGTCTCGGACTCACGTGTCTCGGACTCACGTGTCTCGGACTCACGTGTCTCGGACTCACGTGTCTCGGACTCACGTGTCTCGGACTCACGTGTTTCTGACTCACGTGTCGCCGACTCACGTGTCTCGAACCCACGTGTTTCTGACTCACGTGTCGCCGACTCACGTGTCGCTGACTCACGTGTTTCGGACTCATGTGTTTCCGATTCTCGTAATAAAGGTCCTAGGATTGGTGAGAAAATCGGGACATTTATCATGTACGTATTTACGTTTTCTTCATGTGAACAAGACTGATGCGATGCCTAGCAGCAGCAAAGGTGTAAAATACATCATACTTATCTGGACATTATATTACTTTAAATAAAGTCAATGTCAATGTCAAAATGAAAATTATGAATGAAAGTTATTTCAAACAGAAATTAATTCTTTCATGTGTATTTTTACTCTATATTCGAGCCTGTAAATTAAAAAAAAGAAGATTTTGATTATAATATATTTATATCTTATAAACGTAACAATATGTAGATTCTAATCTTGAACAAAAACTAATTTCTTTTTTAAATCGTATTCACTGAATGGTGTAAAAGAAGTCGAAACTATGTCAGTTGAATTGACGTTTTATTTAATAAAAAGGTCATGCAGGATTATCGACTAATCTTGACGACAAATGTAAATGAAAACTGTGACCTTTTTTAACGCTTCTAGAATTACAAGTATTGTTTTATAATGTAACCTGATCTTATTGAAGTAGTGAACGAGATTTTTGTTTGTTTACATTTACGAGATATATGTTTCCCTTAGTTTAATTTACATGATCCTCAGATATATATGTAATTATCTGATGTCAGAACACATACTCTCTAAAATGATACAGTATAGACATATGACCTTAATGTACTCTTTATGAACAGAAGCTATATGACAAGGAAGGACCGCATCCTATCTCTGTGGCAGGAGTGATTGTGAACAAAGGTGAACGAAAAGAAGAAGACTGATGATGATCTTGAACATGATACACATAAAATAAAGAAAAAAGTACCCGGGAGTAAATTATAAAAGCTCTGTTTTAACCTATTAGTTAGATAATGAATAGGTTTCCAGGTATATCGTTTCCCAGGTTAAACATCCCACCGATGTACCATCCCAGAGATGTATCACTTCCAAGATGTATCAACCCCCAGGTATATCATCTCCCAGGTAAATCATCCCCCAGGTGTATCAATCCCCTGGTAAATCACCCCCAGTTGTATCACCCCCAGGTGTATCAACCCCCAGGTTTATCATCTCTCAGGTTTATCAACTCCCAGTTGTGTCAACCCCCAGGTGTATCAATCCCCAGGTTAATCATCCCCCAGGTAAATCATCCCCAGGTGTATCAACCCCAGGTGTATCAGTCCCCGGGTGTATCAACCCCAGGTGTATCAGTCCCCGGGTGTATCAACCCCCGGATGTCCCAGGTGTCAGTCCTATATATATCTATTTATGAAGTCTCTCTCCAACGTTCATTTTAAATACTATCACAGCATTGTCATGAAAACGTGACCGACTAATGCCATTGTCTTACGTGCATATCTTTTATTTACCAAAAACACAACCCTTTGTCAAAATATAGGGTGAAATCACACACACGACATGTTAATTATGAACACACAAATGTTTATGGTGTTGGTGCTATATTTAATCGACGAAATGCTGAAACAGAAAATAAACGACCTAGCTGGACATGCGTATATACATAATTTTGGCAGTCAAGTTTCACTTTGATTTTACCAAACTGTTGATCAGATGGAGTAATAAATATTTTAAAGAAAATTAACAGGTTAAAGGTCCACATCAAATATGATAATATTTGACGAATTTTAGTTGTTACATATCCGTTTTGTTTTGCTATCGCAACGGAATTTCTTTTTTTTTAAATCCTCATCTGAGATGAAAATTTGGAGCGACCTTAAGGTGCTGTTACTGTATGAATGTACAAACTGGGAAGGAGAGATAAATAAACACACGTGCATACAAATGCTCATGTTACCGTGACTTTTTGTTGAAAAACTTACATTTAAAAGTTCATTCCTGAAAAAGAAAGAATCATCAATATTATATGGTTGTTTGGTCTCTAAGCATTGTCAACAAAACAAAAATACACAAAAAAATCTGAAAAAGTGACTGATACAGTTTTACTTTTATTTTGTTTTAGCCGTTTGTAAATAAAGCATCGGGAATTATATGAAACTCCTTTTGACGAGTGGTCCGTTAACACAGGTTACCGTGTATGTACGTGATTGTTAGATAATTGTCAATATTTTGTTTCTACAAAACGGATGTACGAGCATTTGAAAAATGTTCTATGTGTTTGTTTTACAGTTTTTGTTTCGATTTCTTTCAAGAATTATTTTTCTAAAATAGATCGCAGGTATATTGTAAATATTGAATTCGGTTCCTTTTTTTAAACATTTTCATTTGATACTGCCTGTTACATTGGTATTTTAAACCTTTTCAAATACAAAAAAAAGCTTAGATTTGAATGGTGTTAAACAGGAGCCTATTTCAAACATTGTAATACTATTTAAACATATCTGAATCCTAATTATTTGGGTGTTAAAGGATTTCCCTTTTATCAAATACAATATTCAAACAAACTGTCGCGTGTTTAAATATGAACAAATGTATCATTCAAATAGTTGAATCTCTAGTGAGTATATGTAAATATGCCACTTTCGTTTGTATAGAAAGACAATCTGTTAATAACAAATAACCACTAATTTATTAATCGTGCAACTTCATTTAAAGTAATGAAAAGTTTCTTCTTATAAATCTTAAAGGTCGAGAGGCAATTAAAAAAAATCTACAAAAGCATTTATGACATTTTTAAAGCTTGTAAAATTTGGAAAGTATATGATTTGTGAATTGAACAAAAATAAATACTTTTTACATTGCTGATATTTTATATGATTTGTGTAAGTCTGAAATAAAGTTTTTGTTCTGTTCTGTATCATGGCGATATCAGGTGAGTATATAGAGCTATAAAACACTTATGTCGTGGACAAATAATTAAGTTAATATATACGTAGGCTGTCTCAATGAATCATGGACAGCAGCGTTAAATATACGAGGGCTGTCTCAGAAAGTCATGGACAGCAGCGTTTAATATACGAGGCTGTCTCAATGAGCCATTGACAACACCGTTTAATATATATACGAGGCTGTCTCAATAAATCATGGACAGCAGCGTTTAATATACGAGGGCTGTCTCAATGAGCCATTGACAACATCGTTTAATATATATACGAGGCTGTCTCAATAAATCATGGATAGCAGCGTTTAATATACGAGGGCTGTCGCAGAAAGTCATGGACAGCAGCGTTTAATATACGAGGCTGTCTCAATAAGTCAAGGACAGCAGCGTTTAATATACGAGGGTTGTCTCGATAAGTCATAGACAGCAGCGTTTAATATACGAGGCTGTCTCAGAAAGTCATGGACAACAGCGTTTAATATACGAGGGCTGTCTCGATTAGTCATAGACAGCAGCGTTTAATATACGAGGGTTGTCTCGATAAGTCATAGACAGCAGCGTTTAATATACGAGGCTGTCTCAGAAAGTCATGGACAACAACGTTTAATATACGGGGGCTGTCTCGATTAGTCATAGACAGCAGCGTTTAATATACGAGGGCTGTCTCAATAAGTCATGGACAGCAGCGTTTAATGTACGAGGCTGTCTCAATAAATCATGGACAGCAGCGTTTAATATACGAGGCTGTCTCAATAAGCCATGAACAGCAGCGTTTAATATACGAGGCTGTCTCAATAACTCATGGACAGCAGCGGGCTGTCTCAATAAGCCATGGACAGCAGCGTGTAATATACGAGGCTGTCTCAATAACTCATGGACAGCAGCGGGCTGTCTCAATAAGTCATGGACAGCAGCGTTTAATATACGAGGCTGTCTCAATAAGTGATGGACAGCAGCGTTTAATATACGAGGGCTGTCTCAATAAGCCATGAACAGCAGCGTTTAATATACTAGGCTGTCTCAATAACTCATGACAGCAGCGGGCTGTCTCAATAAGTCATGGACAGCAGCGTTTAATATACGAGGGCTGTCTCAATAAGCCATGAACAGCAGCGTTTAATATACGAGGCTGTCTCAATAAGTCATGGACAGCAGCGGGCTGTCTCAATAAGTCATGGACAGCAGCGTTTAATGTACGAGGGCTGTCCCACTTTTCATGATCGCTTGAATACGGTCATCCCAATTTTGCTACTTTTTGACACCTGCTACATATTTGTATGGCACATGTATGTCAACAATTGCAAAGCATTCAGATTTTAACTTTCTAACAAGACCGTAGGTGTCCTTCAGCACCAAAAGCAGAAATTGATAACAAACGGTATTGACCATTTACTCTGTGTTGAAGATGTGTTAAGTTTGTAAAATAACTATTCGACACACTAAAACTTAACAACAAACATATGTACGTAACTAATCCGCAAATACTTAATGCGGATCAGACTTTTTGGGATAAAACTGAAAATAAAATACATGAAACGGACAGAAAATTGAAAATCGAACTTTAATCTTACACGAGGTATTGGATAATTTAGAGTAGGTGCGAAGATTTATAGTGATATTTTAAATACCCGGGTTTTTAAACCAGAGATTAGATATACTTTATCATTCAACAAATGTTGACATTAAAATCAACCAATGTTATGCTGCCAAAAACTGAAATATAAATCAGGACTAGAATCTTGCAAAAGAACTTAACATGGCTTTAGATCAAGTGGTATTTTCTTTTCTTTTTTCATTTCGAAAGAATGCGCCACGTGTGAAATAGAATTTTAGCGACCACAAATGTAATTAAACAAAACAAGTGACGGTATCTGATGAACTTTCGATATTTGCAGTCTTTATTTTATGTCTTCTCCCAATTAGAACCACTCGTCCATGTGTATATTCGCAATTTTTCTAAGATTCTTAATTTCTACGAATAAAATCGATGCACTATGTTTTTTATGGCATAGATTTCCGTTTACATCGCGAATTCGTTATTTATCATTATGGTCAACTCACGTCCCTTAAACAAGTTTTGTCGCCATTGTTATATGAATATATATATTTTTAACAGAATGTAATAATATTGCTGGACGTTATCATATTAAATGAAGTACCGGGCATTTTCATTTACCATGGCAGACGCAGACCACTGGACAATTTTCAAAATTTATAAATATATACATTGTTGTTTTTCTTGTTGAAGTTCGAAAATTCGCGGCAATACGTCAGATTTTCTAGTTTGGCGGTGATATTCATGTTTAAATTCTTATCTTTATGTATTTCATATCATTAAATATTCTTATATATATATTTAACTTAGAATAACACCGGGAATATCCAGTCGCTTATGTCACAGTACACTTGTGTCGAGCAGAGCACGGTCTTTATCTTTCACTTAAAAAAAAAGACAGTAATTTATTAAAGTTTTATTTTTCATGTAAACAAGGTATAAAAATTGTTGTGTTTGATAATTAGGGAAAATATCACGTATCAACAACCTTGTGGGTAAAGAGATTTCTCATCAAAGATTTCGGCCTGATATAATGCTAAAATCAATCGCTAGATTTATTTGTACTTGCAAATATCTATAATTTAATGTAATTTATACATTGGTTGATCGTGTATTATATTGACAATACACCTGGGTATATAATATATTTAATATATAAAAGGATTTTATAGATTATATAGCACCATTTGTACAATATACAGGGTCACACAGAGGTGTGTACATGCGGTTATCAGATCTTCCGAAGATTTAATACAGATAACTTTAATGATTTGACAAATTTTCGTTTCAAAGTGTCGGAATACAATATTAGAAAAAAATGACTATCAAATAAAGGAAGTAACTCTGAAAAAAATGATACATGTATAAAATTTATTCTTATTAAATGAGTTGTCAACAAAAGATACGAATTTTTAGAAGACTTTACGATGCTATAAATGGACTGAATGAAACTCCAAATGGATTATAATTATATTGTCAAGTGACACTTTTAATCTCAAGAAACTGACTTTTTACCAGCCGTAAAACAAATTTTTGTCTTTTCTATTTTTTTCTATTATAAGAAGTTTCATTTTTGTTTAATATTGTCAAGTGACACTTTTAATCTCAAGAAACTGACTATTTACCAGCCGTAAAATAAATTTAAGTCTTTTTTTTCTCTAGTTTTATGTCATTACCTAAAGTTTCATTTTTGTGTAAGAATCCGAGTTGACAACGGGCACTCTGGAATTCTCGCGGTATCAACCTTCCGTCATGGTCCCGTATCATGTACCGATAGCTTCCTTATATGCACAAGAATGCACAGAATCAAGTTCCTTGTGTTTTGTTCAATACCTCATGTTAATCATTTTGGTTGTATGCCCATTAGTTATTCAATAAACATATCGTCAGTTAGCGTTAGAATGTCTATTTAGATGGTTAGGCTAGAAAAATGAGAATTGCTCTTATAACATGGAATAACATTTTAATATCTTCGGGGGTTTTGTAGTTGTTTTTAATGCATGTTCATACGTTCATGAGAGATCAGAATAAACTGCTTTAGTATAGTATAGAGAAAACTGTACACGGTGCCGTATATTCGCAGAAGATTAAGATTTTTCCTCAAGGCAGATATAGCTACCAGGGCCGTTTAACGTTTGGTGCGTTACGTACGGTTTACTGTATATTAATTACTATTCAGCACTATGCAATACTTAAAGACGTTGTTTTCTAAAATAAACTTAAAGTTGTGTTGTCTTAAATAAACTTAAAGCTGTGTTGTCTAAAATAAACTTAAAGTTGTGTTGTCTAACTTAAGCATGTTGTTGTAATGTTGTCCGTTATTGTTTGACTGTTTCGTCAACATAACCTTGTCTTAAATGTTCTTATAGTCACCTCACCCATCATTTCACTGGTTACTTGCCTAAATTATTTAATGGTTATGCATTCTAAAATCCTCTTTTAATAAAGAAACATTTTACCTTTAATTGGTTTGGTAAAGAACAGTTACATCTAGAGCTATTCGGTGTGAACTTTTATAAATGAAGCACCAACCTCTTTATATAACATGGTAAAATGATTAAAAATAAAAATTAAATAAAAAACACAAAAAACACTGGTAAATTTCTTATTATTATCTGCCTTATCATTCCCTGTTTTCAAATGCTTCGCTAGAAATGGAGAAACTTTTCAAAGACATTTAGAAGAAAACAACACCCCTCCCAGATCGAAGAAATAAACGTTTTATAACAAAACAAACAGAACATACGTTGATTTAAATGGTTAATACTGTTTTAGATCACAAGATACTTTTTTGTTATAACTGCAAGATTTATTAATATATCAAAACTTACTTGATTAGATAGTTCTATATTCCTTTTAAAAGATTCAAATCCATATCTGTAAAATGTTAAACAAACTGAGCACAAGTTATAATCGAAAACTATAAGTTACAATGTCAGGACCTCGTAATTTGACAAGATCTTTTCAATGATTTAAGAAACTCGACCAGTATTTAATACCGCCATATTGTATCCAATGAAGCTTTAAAGATTAACCAATCGTAGGTAATTAAATACCTCGTGTATTTAAACGTTCATGAATGAGAAAAACTATAACACAGTAATAGAGCGTGCGTTTTATTTTTTGTTAGGTTTAAATTTAGTAAGATCAATTATCTATCATGCCACTTTGCATTATACGCTAAAATTAAAGATATCTACACGGCTTTCTCGTTATTACAAACATATATACAGCTCGTTTAATTCAATAAGCATTGATTTTAGATCTAACCGAACTGTCGTTGTTTTTTGCAACCTAAATGTACATCTATGTTTCACTAGATACCGAAACTATCTTAAACAATTTTAATCCACATAGAAAAGGTAAATCCTATTAGCTATTATAAGCCACTGTTTACTGTAAGCTAGAAACAAAGCGAATATTTCCCTCCAATTATCAAGGTCTAAATATTTATTGAATTTAAAGGAAATTTCTTTTATTGACGCAATATAATTATAATTATGTACGGATTAATCTCGGTCGCCTTGATAAATCAGTGGTATAGCGTCGAGACCCTGCTGAGGAAGGTGGCGGGTTTGATACCATGCCGCGTTATACTAAAGGAGTAATTGATCAGTTCTACCTAGTCTCATACTTGGAGCAGCACACGGACATTTCCTCTAATTCCATCAAGGCGACATATTAGTTCTGAAGGAGCTGTAAAGAGTGACTGGTAAGCCCGAATGCTATTTATTTATTCATTCGAGATACTCGTGCCACGAGCCTAAATATCTCGCGACCATGTGAATAAATTAATGTTAATCAATGGGAACCTCAAACGCTGCAACAAATACATCCGGGAACTAAAGCACTGAAATAAAGCATGTGTAAGCGGGAGAATTGGCAGACGCTGTGACTTGCTGTCATCTTACATGAATACAACTGAACGCACAGAACTGGTCTAAGTTTATACAAATGTTTTCAGTATGAACAGAAACCAGATCATTGTGCTCATATTTTCATTTTGAAAACATTGAACGGAAGTGACGTCACTATTAATGAAATAAGCTATAGGACCAACAGTATATTTAATATTGATAAATACAGAAAAGGAATATGTGTTTTACTTTAAATGCGTTTAATAAAACAAAATTTGCTGAAAGAAAATAAAAAAAAACAGATTACAAAATGTTAATACATGTATATCTAAAACATGTGGTACGAGCATAACTATTTCAATAACTTGAACAAGACTACAATAAAAGTACATTATCTTATATCTATTGCTACATATTTATAATGAAATTCACATGTAATATTAACAAATAGCAAACATCATTCTTTGTAAATAAAACGCTAGCACCGAGCAAAATGTTGTTTTGAAACCTGAAAAATTGTTCTTACTTTTGGTTTAAATTTTTTGAAAAAGATTAACTAGTTAACAACAAACTTCTTGGTACAATGTGACTACTGGCATGCGTGCAGTTCCCGTATAGTAGCAGTATCCGTATATTTCGTTTAAATGCTTGATTTTACTTGCATTCTTTAAAAATTGATTTCAAATTAAGCAGATGCATAAACAAGACAAAATGTAAGTGTCAGTTAAATTTTTAAGTAACTAGGATTTTTGTAAGGGAACTGCACGCATGCCAGTACTGCACTGAAGTCTCGTCTGCTAAATCTATTTCAGTAACTTCCGGCAACGTGACAATAAAGTGTCGTCTGCTTGAAATTATTAAGAACACACGGTATATATTGATTTTACATGTATTTTAATTCATGGAATGTATACATCACAACCAAAGAAGCGTATTAAACAAACATAAGTAAAAAAAAAAAGTCATTAAAAACAATACTCATTACTAAGACAAATATTTTATTACTTATTAGAAGCTATATAAACACTGACTAATAACTTTGACCTTTAAAACGTTGAACCGAAAATGAAAAGCCTTTGCACATGGATGAAATCGGACTAGGGTTGACTGACCAAGGGCCAAATTTTCATCCCGATATCCTTATATAAGTGTATGGGCTGGTGGCCTAAAACATCTAAATAAAGCATTGAATTGAACTGACTAACCTTCCATGACAACAATAAATTCCCTTTTTTACAGAGGTTGTATTTTTGTTGCAAGTTTTTTTCTTAATTAAGAATGGTTTTAGTTACCATTTTGATAAAATCTTGTAATTTATTGCTATTTAAATTTTTTTCGAAACTGACTAATGCCAGAGGTTAATTATAACTGGGCTTCATTTCTGAAATTATTTCCACATTACTTATCTGGAGAGACAATACAATTATTCACTCTATCTGCAGAAAATTGTCAAAACAATTGATGAATTTGTATGTTGTATCAAATTTCAAGGCAATTCCCTATTCCAGTAGTAAACTTTAATAAAAGTCTATAATTTCAATAGCTTACACACCTTCCTTCATGATCAATAACCATTATATTTATCCAGTGGTCAAGAACAAATCTTATACCCTTCATTATCCTATGAGCAAATAAGCTAAAAAGAAAATGAGCCGCATCACGACAAAACCAACATAATGCGTTTGCGACCAGCATGGATCCAGACCAGCCTGTGCATCTGCGCAGTCTGATCAGGATCCATGCTGTTCGCTTACAAACCCTATAACAAGAAGAGAAACTGATAGCGAACAACATGGGTCCTCATCAGACTGCGCGGTGCGCAGGCTGGTCTGGATCCATGCTGGTCGCAAACCCATTATGTTGGTTTTGTCGTGATGCGGCTCAAATGACAAATCAAAGATAAAAAATAAAATATACAAATCAATTCAATTACAATTTCTCATAAAAAAAAAGTAATGAATAAAAACAAAATGAATGTATCAAAATGAAAGACAAGTATTCATGCAGTAAAAGTACATGTATTCAATTTCAGTTGCAATCTTTAAAATGAAAGCAACTATTTCTAAATATATTTTATTGTAACAATAATAAGGACAACATCTATGAATAAACTTACTTTTCGCAAGAACCAAATGGCCAAAGGGATAAAGCACTTTATTTTTTGATACTTCTTACATAAATTTAAACTTTACATGAGTTTTATAGTTTTAGAGCATGTACTGGTATATGATAAATGCCTGACGAAAATAGGCTTAATTGTGAAATCATTTTTTACAAAAGTAGCAAAATGTAAACAAAGAAGTATGTTTTGACTTCCATAAAAATAGTAAATCACTATGATTGTACTAATTCATGATTCAAGTATTTGACCAATGACTAACTTTTTGGAAACTATAAAGAACACCAAATTTATAAAGCTTTTGAAAAATAAAAAAAATTTACAGAGCAAATGCACTAATTAACAGACCTATGTAATAAAATTTATGATTTAAATGACTTAAAATAAATGAAATGAGATGACTAGTAAAATGTTTTTGTACATATTCCATAGAAATTGATAAAAAAAAACGAAACTAGTTTCAAGAACTGTTAAAAAATAGTTGAAAAATGTTTTATAGTGTACATAATATTTTTTCACATTGAAGTTTCTTTTTTTAACAAAGTATAAAACTGCACAAATACAATAAAATTCATATTCAAAAACTTTTTCCTCACAACTCTAACAATCACAACCATCTATGTCTTTTACAAACATGCTAATTGCATTTAACTTCAAGAATACATACATTAATAATAAACAGCAAAGGGGGATAGATATATTTCCATCTGAGCACTAATAATCAGCCATAAAACTTATTGCCATATATGCACTTTACACATTTCCATGGAATCACTTTGACTTATTTCCATCTATGCCATAAAGCAGCATGCCTCCAGATTTTCAGGAAACTTTTAAAAATGTATTTAAAAGTAAAATATTGTGGAGTGAACAAAGGAAAGTAATTCACACATTGCAAACAGCACTTACATGTAATCTACCAAAAACAGGTCAAAATATACAAATATAGTCCTTACTTCATTGGTTACCTAGTAACAAAGGCATGCAGATACAAAACTACACTAAAACTTTTTCCAAACATGCTAAAAAGGTATTTCCATTTATTTTCTTAAACTTATTTCCATATTAGCACTAAAGCTTATATCCATGAAAGCAATAAAATTAATTTCCATCTACAAGTATTCAATATAACATATTCTATTAAGTACCATAAATTTATTTTCATAAATGCATTAAGATTATTTCCATGTGAATACAAAATCATTTTCTTTACATGTTATAAAACTTATTTCCATACTTGCATAAATGTGTCAAAAATCACATTACATACATGAACCTGTAAAGCACTTTTCAGTGTTAGCTTATACGAATATCTCACCAACAAATATAGTCATAAGGCCACTTTCAGCTTCAATGATGTATTGTGCTTTTCATAAACATTTGTTTGAAAATATTTTTGTGATTGTTTTTTTTTATGTTTTGAAAAAAAAAATTATAACAAAATTATACAAACTTAGTTAAAAAGACATTATTTAGTCATATATAGTATTTAAAAAAGATTTAAAAAAATTTACATAATAAAAAAAAGCTGTTCTCAAATTTACTGTCTGTCCGACAATACTATATTACTTTCAATATTGTTAATTGTGATAAAACTAAAAAAATAAAATATACACTTACACAAATATTAAATACACTGGTATATATGGTACTCTTTATAGAACTGTGATATAATTAACTGCAACAGGATTTGGGCTTTCCCAAAACAGACAGACAGACAAACAGACAGACAGACAGACAAACATATTCAATTATAATCACACAAAAATCAATGAACATACAGTAAATGTTATTCCAATAATCTAAAACAAGTAAAACCGTCACCTGTCTACAACTATACAATATAAAACTTGAAGCAATTTAAATTTTTTCCACTAAAACATACATTTATTTTTAAAGACAAGTCACAAATACAAAATTAAACATAAATCACAAATACAAAATTTTGATCGTAAAATGATAGGGAAAAAAAATGATTATACAATTTCGTAATTTGGCAAGCACTTGCTAATTAACTACCTGTTATAACTATACCAACTGCACAATTGACAGATTATTGAAAAATTGAAGTAATATTATTTACATATATAAATATACAACATTACATAGCTTATAGCTTTATAACTTCAAATAAAAAAATTGAACTTCATAAAGAGCTTTTTCTAAATATTTAACAATAAGAAAATTACTTTTTAAGGTCGGAAACTGAATAATATGCGTAGAAGAAATGAATCTGAGTGAAACTACAAAGCATTGTGTTTCTTAAATAAATCTATATAAACTAGAACACATTGTGTTGCTGTAATAAATCTATACAATGAGGAAGAGTTGTGTAGCCTGAATAAATCTATACAATGAGGAAGCATTGTATCGTTGGAATGAATCTATACAAAACTAGAAAGCATTGTGTAGCTGGAATGATTCTATACAAAATAAAAAGCACTGTTATTTCCTAAATGAATCTACACAAACTATGAAGCTTTGTATTGTTGGAATGAATCTATACAATTAAGAACTCAGTGTAAAAAAAACTTCATGTACATTATTCACAAGTACATCTTAATGTGTCATCTTTCTGGAGAAATGCATTTAATTTAAAACAGGAGCTTTCAGTTGGACTGCACACCTTATTATCATAAAAGTGTCCTGTAGGAAGTTTACAAATAAGGGAAAGAATTTATTGAATTTAAATGACCTACAATTATGACAATAAAGAAATTTGTGAAGATTTAAAATAAAACCTCTAATACATAATGATTCACAGAGTAGCATGCAAGGTCTACATCAAGTGTAATAACATCATACAAAACTGTAGAAAAGCCCCAATATTTCTTCATTTTTCTTCCCATACCCCAGTGTAAGAAATTAGGATTTGAATCGACTAGGCTGGTCGGACTACCAGATTGGAATATTCACTCAAGACATTTCACTAGCACGATTCATTTGTTCAAAACAGTTGTTTATAATGCCTCTGAAAATACAGTAGCCTGGTCGGGCTTATTACTGTGAAAAGTTGGTAGCCCGAGGAGAAATTTAATAGTCATGGGCTATCGGACTACTGCTAATTTCGAACACTGATACCCTTACCAATTTCCTACCATGTAATTTGTATCCTGACAAGTCTGTTTGTCTGGTTTTTTATGCTTTAAAAGCATATTTGAGGTCATATCTAAACAGTCAATCAACCTGACCAGCTTTCCTGAATAACTAACCAGTAATTAACAATTTCTCGACTGATGACTTCTAATTGAAAATGATTTTTGAATAAGGAGTGGGACACAAATCACCATTAAACACAATGTGTGTAAATGATAGCAGAGAATTTTGTCTCATCCAAGGAATGATCCAGCAATCCCTTTTCTTAAAATCTGATAACATCCCATCTGAACTAAGCTTGGGACTTGTATACTGAAGAATTTATTACAAAAGTGATTTTAAAATAAAGTGTCACTTAAAAGCTATCAAACTTAACCTGCCTTTAAAATGAGCCTAAAAACAAGCTTCTTAGATAATATTTACAAATACAATCTAACATGCCTTATACAACAAATGTATAAACAGCCTGACAAATAAAGAATAAGATGTCTGACAAATATTAAAAACAAAATTAACCTCGAAAATAAACAAAAAATGTCTGAAAATTTGTTATATAATTGATTATTTACTTATCAATGTCTGTAGACTTCTTACATCACAATTTATCAACAGTGATACCTTCTAAGCTTGATAAATCACACGTAAATCTGACAAACTTATTAGATGCCCAACTAGCCAAAAATTGCTAAATTTCTAAACTTGTTTCCCACAACCAAATATTCATTCTACCATAAAAACTTTATTCCTGTTAACGCCATCAATCATCTTCTTTAAGCTGAGCGTATGGCGGAAGTTTATTTTTCCCTCTTGACTGTGATTCATAAAATCTCATATCGTCATGCTGACGTTCAAGTTCATCGTCGGGAACGGCACTGAAATTCACATCGTCATGATCTTCCTTGAATTCTATTGTCCAAAACGGCTTGTTTTTAGGGAAGTTGTGACTGCGTTTATACACAATAAACCCTACAATACCTGACAATAAAACTATAATGGCGATTACGATGGCAGCGATCATACCTGCAGCTGGCGTTTTCATGGCTTTATGTTCCTTAGCTGAAAATGATGCAAAAAAATAAGATAATTGTATGCATACTGAATTAACATAAAATAACAGACTCATTCCACTAAGGTCCCATAAGACTATGTTAAACACTTAAGCAACCATTGTATCTAACTAGACTATTTCAAGCAAATAGTGCCACCACATAAACAAGGGCCACACTTGACTCTTTCTTATTTCAAAAGGTTAACACATCAAAAGCATAAATTTGTAGTGATGTGTTTTTAAAACAAAACATGTTTATGTGTACAGAATTGATTTTAATGTATGGGTTTGGAAAAAGGCGCGGTTTTATCTAAGAATGAATCGAATGGATAATTTAATATTGACAAAAAGAAGGTTATTTAAAGACCAATACCATATTTGATTTATTCAACATGTTGTTTTTGTCAGTGGTGTTTTTTTGTTTGAGTATAAATATAATCAATAAATAAACAGCAAGGTCATCTCAGTTTAAGCAGAACTCAATAATTAAGCTTCAAAGTTTTGGTAAAAATCTAATCAGCTAGTCCTATAAGTACAAAAAAGCAGGAATTTTTCACTCGAAATAATAGATATTATCATTACTTATTAGTTTTATCATGTGGTATAAACAAACCTTACGATTTACTAGTATAATAGAATAGTTTATTTCATATAAATTTCAATCTAATTGCTTCAAAATTCACTTACTGCAAATAAAATACTCCTAATTTCACCATTCTATGACAATTAGTAACAATTCAAAATGAGATTTAATATTGAGTACAAACATTTTATATGCGAGAATATTATCTTACCAATAGGTACACAAGGAATTTTATTTAAAGGATCGCCCTGGAAACCATCCAAGCACCTGTTACATCTTTCTCCTGTTGTGTTGTAATGGCAGTTTAAACATTTCCCTATAAAATATAAACACTTTATGTCAATTCTGATATATTTACCGTTGACATATCACTGTAAATATTTCCCTTAACAATTATAAATTAGATAAAGTATAAAACTTTCTCAGTTCAAATATTTCCAATAATTATGTAAACACACACTCCATTAACATATACATGTATACACACATATCAGATTTTTTTCCCTTATAAGGGCTTACCTAACATTCATCTCGTAACAATTTAATTGAATGTCATTCATGTTTGGGGTCCATACTTGATAGTGTAATGCTACTTGTTATGCCTGTAAGAGCATATGGACCCTCATTTAACTTCATACATAGATCAGCCCCAGTGAGACAGCGTGGAAAAAACATGACATTTTATATATACTGAAAAATCATTTTTATTATGAGAAACTCAATTTCATAATTTTCATGGACAAGTCAATCCAAGTTTTTAAGATATAACGAAATTTAATTTCGTCTGCTGTAAGATTATTTTGCATCACATTATTTACATGTTACACTTTAGAAAAATAAACAATCCATGAATTTGAAAACTCAAGAAAATGTTCTTAGTGACAAAACTACAAAATTCATGCCCACGAAATTAGGTGAATTCATAGTAATACAATATATGGGAATCTACAAACCTGAAAAGGAATATATGGGAATCTACAAACCTGAAAAGGGATCACATATTAGTCCTGGTGTGATGTCATGACAACCATGACATTTGATACACTTGGTAGGAGAATTGATATGGTCTCTATAGTAACCGTTGGCACAGCGATGACACAGGTTGCCCGTGTAACCTTCTTTACAAGTGGTACAATGTAGATATCCCTCCACTGTAATATATTACAACAAGAGCTGTCCGTAAGACAGCGCGCTCGACTTTTTTATTGCTTGCCAATAAAAAAAGTTTTTGCAGTAAAAGGCAATACAAGAATCTCTGTATTTTTAAAGTGAACAATGGCCATGAGCATTAAGATATTTAGTGAAGAATTATTTTACTGAATTGTGTGATACCCTTGAACACTGCAGCAAAGTTTGAAATGTTTAAGTCAAAAGAGGGCTGGTAAGAAAGAAAAAAAATCAGTTAAGGGCCATAATTCAAATAAAATCTTTGACAGAATTACCTTCTCCTGGACATGTTTGGGAATCATGATTGTAAACAAGTATTCCAACTTTCAAATTAATATCTCAAACAGTTCAGTCAAAAAGTGGACTGGTACTAAAAACTTAACCAAGATTCTAAGTCGATAAAAGGCCTTAATTTTTAAAACAAATCCTTGACAGAGTTACCTTCTCTTGCGTACAGAATGGGGGTAATGATGTGAAATAGCATTAAAAGTTTCAAAGCAATATCTCAAAGGGTTAAGGCAATAAGTGGATTTTACCCATATTCAATGTATTTTCTCTAAGTCAAAAAGGGGCATAATTCTGTCAAAACCTTGACAGGAGTTATGTCCTCTTGTCTGTTGATGAAGGTCGTGATGGTAAACAAGTATGGTCAGTTTCAAAAGCAATACCTCCAATGGTTTTGAAATAAAGTGAGGTGGTACACAAAAACTTAACCAAGCTCAATACACTTTCTAAGTCAAAAAGGGCCATAATTCTGTCAAAAACCTTGACAGAGTTATGATACTCTTGTCTGTAGATGGAGGTTATGATGGTGAACAAGTATGGTAAGTTTCAAAGCCATACTTGTAATACTTCTGAAATAAAGTGGGGTGGTACGAAAAACTTAACCAAGGTGTGACGCAAACGCCGACGCCGGGGCGAGTAGGATAGCTCCCCTTTTCATAGAAAAGTCGAGCTAAAAACATTCACCTATAAGTATTACAGAGATATTTCATGATAACTTTCAGCTCTATCTTCTAAACTCTTTGATCAGATAACATAAAACTTTACAGTCAAAAATAAATAAAAACATAGTTACTACTACGATTATAACTGACCAGAACTTTCACATTTAAACATAAATAGAGGATATTGAATGAGTGTAGGTTTAATACTAAATTTACTGAACGAGTTAAATAAAATCATATTCTGCGAGCCTCTGGCGAGCATAATATTGTTCATTCAATGAGTTCAATAAATTTAGTATTGAATCTACACGAATATAATAATTCATTTATCACATATATATAATAAGAATGGTAAACTGTTAAAAAGAGTTATTTTTCATTGACACGCCTATACTGTAATGCTAACATTAGCGCGCTTTAACACTATGTTATATATAGCGCAAATGACGTTACTTCAAAGTGTTATTACACTAGTGTAATATCACTTTTATTACATGGCTTTATTACGCTCCTGCGCCACTGTTTATGTGACAATGTTTTATCTTTGGATATAAATAATTTAAACTGAAAACTAGTTATGTGTGTTGAATACACTTTTCTTGCATTCCAAAACATGTCTGACATCCTGTGTGTAAGACAAGTCACGTGCTTAAAATGATGTCATTCCCCCATGTCTTTTATGAATGGAGTTTGCTGTATGAATGAAGTTGTAAATTCATATGCTACTGTAAGAAAAAGTGCTAAATAAAAATCTGTAATTCTGTAATTTTTTTTCGAAAAACAATTGATATAAAATATACAAGCAAAAAGAATCAAACAGCCGCTGTCTTAACAGACATGAATATCTAGCTCTCAGAGAAACTGTGTAGTGGGAACACAGCAGAGCCTTACTGCCATAATTTAAAACATTACTATCGAGCTAGATATTCCAGTTTGTACTGGCAGCCGTTGTAAGATACTTGTATTTCCCCATAGTCAGTAATTTACATATATCAAATAATCAACTCATCACATTTATTAGTTCAACTGAATCCTAATGATTTACACAGACAAAACACATTGTAAGTTTTACTTACTAAAGTGACAAGATCCTGTGGAAAATGTTTTAGGACAGGGACAAGTATGGCACGGCAGACTTGGTGTCGTCCTGTAATATCCATGTCCACAAATCTCGCAAAAAAGTCCGGCATGACGGGGTTTACACTCGCACCATGGTACATGTGACAGAGATAGATTACATGTCTTGTAGCCATTTATTGTTCCGTATGGGTCGCAGTAACAGTTCGCTGAGACAAAAAAAGAAAAAAATAATAAAATGTAGTAGAAAAAAATTGAAAGCTTTTTCATTTTTTTCTTAAAGCAGCATGCCTCCAGATTCATGTTTATTTTTTCATGATTCTTTTTAAAAATGAATTAAAAAGTAAGAATTAGTCAAGTGGTTACATCTATTGTTATTCAAATAAAGTGTCAGGGTAGGGATCTATGAAAAAGGGACCACTTTTTTATTATAAAAGAATAGTACATAACCATATAACACATGTATATCTCTAGAATGATACATAACCATATAATACATGCATATCTCTAGAATGATACATAACCATATAACACCTGTATACCTCTAGATACATAACCATAAAATAAACACATATGTCTATAATATACATAACCATATAACTGCTGCATATTTCTTTATTAGAAAAGAATAAAAGAATAGTACATAACCATATAACACATGCATATCTCTAGAATAGTACACAACCATATAATACCTGTATATCTCTAGAGGCATAACCATATAAAGCTTATATGAAATTTAAATGAAAAAAATTAACCATTCTGTGATTGACAAAACTTAGCAACAGTCTAGATATAATACAGAAAAAAAAACTTACTAGCTTTGGAAGGATCCTGTGAAGTCTTTGCTGTGATATTTTTTGCTGATACAGTGGAATTGGTAAGATATACTGCACTAACAGTGATTATATATTCTGTAGAAGGTGACAAACCAGTTATATTCTGTTCCGTTATATTCCCAGGTACATTAATTTGCTTCACCAATTCTCCTTTAATCAAAAATGAAACAATTATTACTAAAAGAATATACAGGAATCTGAAGAAGACTGATCTATGATTGATAACGTCAAATGTATACTTTGCTTATGAAAAAATAGATGAAGATTTTTTCTAATACTCATCTGAAAGTTGCTAGCACAAGTGTGAGTAATATATGTACCTGACAAAGTGAGACAATTAAACAAGGTACTTTCAATAGGCAGTTATATGAGCATTATTACATCAAACCTTTGTACTCATTAAAACACTGATAAATCAGTAATATTTAATTTTTGTATTGTAGAACTTAAATCATTAAAAAAAGATTTAACTCAGAAAACTTTAATTTTATGAAAAAATTTAAATTTATTCTGGTAGATATCTTTAACTAGATTTTAGAAAATTGATAACATATCTTAAAGATTTCAAGTATAAAAACTGGTTACTTAAATGAAGATCCTATCTTAAAATAACTAGTTTTATAAATTAGCTAATACAGTTTCAAATATAAGACACACCTGAAGAAAGCATTATAACTATCAAATAATGGGTCAATCTTGCAAAATGAAAGGGAACTTTCTCCTTTTCTATATAGTCAGTTATGCTAAGATTTGTTCCAGCTATTTCTACTTCCTCCCCTGTGTTAGTAGCCACTGTTGGACTTGCTGTTGAACTATCCTCCCCCATTTTAGTGTCTGTACTTGTAGAATTTCCTCCTGATTCTGTTGTGTTAGTATTATTTGCAGTGGTATTTGATGGTGTGGACCCAGTCTCTGTTGAATTATCATTCGAGGAAACCGACCGTGATACACGTTTTGAACCTACAGGTATTAAAACCGGTGATGATCTGGCCCCTCCTGCTGAACCGACCAATGTTTCATTTGTCAGCAGTGGTGTATGAAGTTTATAATTTACAGGTGGGAACCAGTATAAATATAACCTGTTACTTCGTACATATGCCACTGTCACATTTCGTGGAGGGTGAAGATGTATCAACTTCTCTGAAAATAAAAATTGTAAAAATTAAAGCACAATTTAGCTCTTATTTTCTATTGGAAAAACAGAGCGTAAAGCATCAGTGATGATCGTTTCTAAAAGTAGATCGGGAAACAAATCATCTACTTAAATTTAAATATAGAGAGTGGACAAATACATTAAAGGTATCATGGGGTTTTCTTATTATGTATTTTTTCGTCAGAAAATTTAATTTTCCACCTTAATGCTTTTGATTTGACAATTATATGAAACGATTTTAAATTTTATATAAGAATATCATACATGTGTATTTAACCTTTAGAAAAGCTGAAGACAGCTTTATAGCTTATAAAGTTATACTTAGTTCTGTTTAAAGTGGTATAATGCCAATCCAGATTTAAATGGTTAGTGAACAGGTACAAATGAAAATAACGTGACATTTTGCCGTGTGTTAAATTTTATATTTTACTATGAAAAATGTAACCAATAATACCTATGACCATCAGTGACATGAGTGCTTAGAAGTTCACCCGCGTCACTCACTCTGTCAAAGCTGAAAGTTCAAAACATTATGACACTGTGCCAAAGTTTTATAAAATTGTAAATTTAGCCTCAATATGATTGTCCAAATCAAATGGAAACCCAAGGGTAAAAGTTCATAAATTGTTACCATTACACCAGACAGCCGAGATATTGCACAGACACTTGAGCTGTTGGGTTCCAAATACCTTAAAATCTAAATAAATTGTATATTTTATCAATCCAAGCTAATAGTCAAAATATATTGACGTGCCAAAGCTTGATTCTGAGATATATTCGTTCTGGGGCAGAATCTGGCTTGTAGAGGCAAGATATTGCCCAGACACAAAAATAGCACAATATCTCGTCGCGCAGTACAATTAGTTGGACGATCCAAGCTAATATACTTATCATAGAAATAAATCAAACAGTTTAAACTTAATTTAAGCACTAAAGCTCAACATTATTCTACAGTATACAAAAACAATATTTTTTTTTTCAAAACAGTATATATTTTATTGATATATATGATAAGTATATGTGCTGGGACTAACAAATATACAATTTATTTGGTTATTAAGGTATTTTGAGCCCCACATCCGAACTGTCTACAGGTGTGATATTGGTCAAAAATATGTAAAATTTTTGTATACTGAACCTTTGCAGTGTGAGTAGCATTCTTCTTCTGTTTTAAATCTATTCTTGTTGCCACCACATCCTAGATAAACAAATTCTTGGCATTCTTGTTTTGTTGCATTATAGAACCAAGCTATAAACATAGTTGAACACACACCACTCTGAGGTGGTTCACTACAAAAGTCTGAAATACAAAAAAATTATCGGGTAAGATATATTAAAATTCATGATATCAAAATAGTGTACTTTTCATACAACACATAATAAGCTTACCAGAAACATTGCTACCCTACCTTGACAAGTTGTGCTTATCAAACTTGACAGCTAATCAAAAACAGGTTGTGATTGTGATTAGCTGAAATATATAAGATGATGAGTTGTGCTTTTACTTTTAATCTGTTTCTTAACGCTTACCAACATTGAACAATGACTTAACTTCTTTCAAAGTCTCTCAATCTCCTGAAAATGCTCTTTTATTACCGGTTGGTTTTAACTTTCTCTCACCCCCATTTTGTAACATTTCTGACGAATGTTCCTACGCGTTACACACTAACACTCATGACATGGGATGGCAGTACCCAGATATAATTAGGTTAAGGGTCAATTTGGCCTTAAATAATTTCAGCATGGGTCAGCTTGGTCTACTATTAAAAAAGACTATCAAGATAAAGATTTTCTGTCTGTTGTAATTGCCTGTAATATATTATGATGGTCCTATATCACTCACTTTGAGTATAACGGCTGATATTGATAACTGGATGAATGCCGGACAAGCCATCTAGTTAAACAAATATCAAAGTTCAAATCTGGATCTGGACCTGCACATGAAGTAGAAAATTCATACACAAAGATCTAACTTCAAAAAGTAGGTTGCTAGGTCAAAGTTTGATGAGAGTTCTACCAAGACAGCTACTCTATCATTCCTCTATTGTACATTTTAGCCACATAAAGAAAAATAGCCACATAATTACAGATTAAATGACATCAAGGAGAAATTACAGTTACCTATTGTTTCTCTAGCAACATAAGCATCTGATGTAAGCTTGCATTGATGTACGATGGACAACAGAGTTGCACAGACATATTGAGATCACAAAAACTCACCTTGAGCATTTTCTTGTATTGATAAGATAATCTTTATTTATACATGTAGTCGGTTACATAAAACATATAAACATTAGCTATATATAAGCTATTTTCGGACATAACATGATGTGGCATGTTTGCCTTAAAACGGATAGAATCAGCTCTTGGGGATCCCAGAGATCTGTACATGATTTGAAAGTACTGGGCCCTAAGCCCACTAAGGTCTTAAAATGATAGGCCAGTTTGAACATAGTATGGGCCATAGGAAATTAATGAAACTTTGATCAAAACGATTGTATTCTGGTCTAAAGTATTCTGTATTTTCAAATTATCAGTGTGTGGTAATAATATAACCTAATGAAAGGTTTTGTTTTTGAGCCAATACAAGTCCGGCACAGAATAAAGACATGCGCATGGTTCTTTGCTGACTATTTTCTTTTGCTATTTTCATTTTTTAGACCCAATTCCCAAAATGTTTCCTAGGCACTACTTCTACCATATTTGCTCAAATTTAATTTGATTGATCTACTGTTTAATCAAGTTGATACACAAAAGAGAACTTTTAGAGTGAAATGTCTTGGTGTGTATAGTATCGGGAGAAACAGTTGAGCGTACATGTAAGCTCTTACTAGCTTTTATAACAATTCGATTACGAAAAAAGAAAATTATGCAGCCTGACTGGGACTCGTGTCACAGTGAACTGCTGCTCTACAAACTGAGCCATCAAACCCCTTACACATTTTCCAGACTAACAAGTGAACAGTTCAATACTACGACATAATATGATTATAATGTGTGTTCTTTGTTCATATTGTCTTAAAAGTTAAAGTTGTATTTTTGGTGAAACCATGTATAGTTAAAAAAAAGTGTAATGTTAATGCAATTCATAGTCCCTAGTCCCATGATAATACAAGAAAACGGAATACCAAAGGACCCTTAAATTATGTCACAGAGTGACATGACTGACTAAAGTTCTGGCTTCCAAAACTTTATAAGCCGCTATTTAACATTTTTGTTTTTCATCTGATGCCGAAATTTTTACCTGTCGGAAACTATTAGGTAGTTTATGTTCGTAATAAGATTTAATTTGTCCATCCTTGGCTTATCAACAGATTATATATAGTTTTATCAAGGTATGCTTCACTTTACTTCATGGCATGTCAGATTCCTGGCATGATTAATGGTGGACTTTCCCTACGGGGTTGTCTTCAGCGTTCACGTCATGTCATAGTATTTAAACTGGTACGCTGAAGACTTTAAGCTAGACTGACTACAACATTAGTGATATCTATCTTGATAGTGATGACGTAAATTAAGTCAAGTGATGACATAAGGTTATGGTTTCCCATCTGATTAAATCATGCAAGTTAAACTAATGAAATAAAAAGTAAAGAAACAAGCATTTTAATATGCATGCATACAAAATAATTAATACTGCGTATTTTTGATATCTCATTCATGAATCATGTCATCTTAAACGAGTCCATAATTATGGCATAAAATAATTTTATCATATGGATGGATAAATTACGATTTATTTTAAGTTACCTACCAAAATCAGTAGACAGCGCTAGCTGTACACATAACACTATGTTCAGTAAAATGATTAAATAGTGCATTTTGATTTAAAGTGTGAGATAAGATGACAAATTAAGAAAAAATTCTTTGTAGTTTCATTTTCCGGGTTTACAACGATAAAAACAAAGCATCCAGCATTCCGAATATATCTGTGCTACATGCCGTGCTTACCGTACAACAATAACAGGACAATTCCGTGCCCCACCGGTACGGAATAGACCCTTGAAAACAGTTCTTTAGAATCATTTTAAGTCACCCATAGTCAAATCTGGTTATATTTTGAGTTTATTGCTGTGTATAATTAAATTGTGTACACGAAGTGCCATTTCTTCTATGTACGCTAAAAGTTATTGAAATTGATACATGTGTGCATGTTGTTTTTTTTTATCTTGATTAAAATTATAGGAAATGTCCCACGGCTAATATGTTGTATGTTATGTCTTCACATAAGGTCTGTACGATAAGAAAAAAAATAGAGTAAAAAATATTGTTTCCCCGTGTCCATCTATCTAAGAATCTAAGAGGTGGTACCAGGATAACATGTTAATTTGGACCAACATTTTTTCCTGTGTTCTTCGCCCTTTCAAGACGTCAATGAAATCATTGAAGCCTGTGGTCCTGTTATGAAGAAATAATTAAGAAGAATATTCAACAATAAAAAACAACAACAGCCAAACGAATTGGCATTTAGTGGCTCAGTAAGGATTGTTGTAACTGTGGTTTGAGTATACGTACATGTAGCGAGTTTTGTAGAAAAATAAGATAAAAAATGCATGTTGGTTTGTACGTTAAGTATTAATGATAAATTAGTATATATATGGTCACTACTGTAGTGTACTGCTGTCAGTTATGATGGTGGTGATGGTGTTGGTAGTTTTCACTCCGGATCACGACAGTAAGCCACATTGAATTCACCAGAGCACAGTTCATTTTAACCACCGTATCGTTTCTGGACAGGCTGTCAAGCAGTTTACCAGTATTAATTACCTTCACTTTCGCAAGAAACTGAAACTTCTGTACATGCCAGAGCAGAGGTACAGGGCGAATGGCCGTAGAAAGGATTTCCTGATCAATCGCAACGAAATTGACCTGCGCCGTCCGGGAATCGAACCTGTTCGAGTCGCCCGATTCACAGTTCAACTCTCTATCTATTGAGCTGTATATATGATTTCAGATAAATGCCCATTTGGACAAGACGGATTGTGTGGAATAATAGCTAGGTGACGTCGGGTTTGACTGTCAGCCCGGAACAAGATGCGTCAAAGCAAAATGTTGTATCGGTAAGATGTTTATCACCACTGTCACAGCAATTGAGAAGTTCCAGGACAAAAATGCGCTCATTACAGAAACCTTACCGCACAGGTCATTTTCTTCTTAGATAAAGTGCTATTGTACATTATTCCGGATGTTTTGTAAATCATTTTAATTTGCATAATTATACTTACCATGTTCTAGAGATAAGAATATTATTAAATGTGCTGTGTTTTTTTGGAACATACAAAACAGTTCTGTTCTTTATTATTATAATTGTTACAGAAATACAAACAGTACATAAACTAGTAAGAAAAGGGATTAATATACATTGTAGTAATGTATATAACATGCATTTTTTCATGTCAAATTAAAAACAAAATGGTTCCTATTAATACCCGAGACTTAAGATACAGTAGTTTTATATTTCAAGTCCAAGATCAATTCTGAAAGTTGAACACACACTGGAATGAAACATTCGGGATGAATTTCAAAAGGACCTACGGAAAAGACAATTTCAAAATGAAAATTCTTTGATTTAATAATTCGTAAAAAATGACTTACTTAAATATTTTTTTCGATAAAGTTCTAAAGAGTGCAATTTATTGTTGAATATGTTTGTATTTCATTTCACAGTTCGTTATTACCATAGAGCGCGACACGAATGACCCTTTTGGTCAAAACTTAAACTACTTTTATAAATAGATTTTCGGACACTCACAATGTTAAGATAGGTCATTTATAGCTTTCGAATTCATGTGCATACATAATCCACTGTGTCCCACAGAATAATGTAGAAGATACAAAAATTTTTATGTAAGAAATAAATTACCGAACTTAAGTTTTTGTTTTGCCTTGGCGTTAAATTTGTTTCCGTTCTCATTCATTTATATGACATGCTGCGAAACACCGAAGGGGAAACCAATATATGACTTTACATAATAGAAATCGAAAGGAGTTCTTCAATCGCAACTACTCGGCCCTTTCCGTCAGTCTTCGGTTAATATTATAGATAATAGCCGAGGCAGTTCCGAATGGGAGTTCTTGCTTCCGAATTTATTTTTAGCTGTAAATCTAAGGGATCAGGTCCATGGACAAAAAAAAGTCAACACAAATAGCTGGTATTATCATATTATTATACGGTCTCAAATAAAGTCAATAATTAGTCAAAACGCTTCACCCGAGCTATGACTTCTTAAGAGATGTTGCACTGTCAGTAATATACCATGAACATGCTTGATAAAACTGAGTCTGCAATATAATAACTTAATTATCGTTATTTGTTGGCTTTTTTTCTCAGTCGATCTCGTTTTTCCAAATTTTTATTTATGTCTGACGAGGATTAATTAATATTTCTTTGGCCTCAAATATTTTATCAGTCAATTAGTGAACATGACAATTCAATATGAGCTCTGTGAATACTCGTTCATGAAGACAACAAAACAATATTTTGAAAAAGAGACTTTAATTACCTTTATATGTTCTAAATTTTATACACAAAAATGTAATCATTATTTTAAGACTTTTGTACTATTGTTACATTTTCTACAAACACTTTTGTTAAAGCTACTGCAAATTTCAATTTATTAATTTGAAATATATGAAACTGATTAATATTCGAATTTTCAATATTGATGTAAGCATTTAACTTTTTTTTCAGATACGTGCCCAAACGGCCAAAATGGCACGTGTAATATTTTCGATGGACCATCATGTGCCGAAAGTACAAAGTGTTACTTTGGAGACACCCCGATGCTGTAGGAAAATGCATTGTTAAAATGACTAAACCATATTTACATTACTGAAAAAAAAATCAAAATAATTAAACTTTGGAGTTTTCATTCTAAAACTACGCGCTTCTTGACCACTATGCAAGATTTTTAAAAATCAGATATCGTATTTTGTTTAATTTCCAATACGTTACATATGCCAAGATCAAAATATCTCATAATTCTATCACCTACATGAAAACTGATTAATAATTTATAGGTTCTGTTCATGATATAATAGATCACGCCGCCTACAGCACTGCATTGGTCAAATACTTTGAAACACCACTAAAACCGTAATATTTCGTTTTAAGGAAGGTGTCCACCACTCTCTGGTTTAGCTGGAATATGTGTGTTTGACCCAAGCAGAAATTGTCTGTCCGATAGAGAGTGCAGAAGGGGACAACTTTGTTGCTCAGAAGGTTGCGGAAGAGTCTGTAAAAATGCAATGTATGGTCCAGATCATGTACAATATTAATTGTATCTCCATGCCATCATATCCATATTATTTATTCTGTCAATTCAACTGATTAAAATATAATGTGCAATATCTTTCAACTGTTATTACCAAGAAAGATGCAATTCGTCGTTGAGTTGTTAAGTATGAGCTATAAGTATAATACTGCTATCTCGACTACTTGTTGAATGTAATAAATTTGAAAGCCAAGCATCCGTGCTAAACATGTAAACAAAACAAATGTTGTTTCATTTGATATTAGTTTTTGTCATACGAAAATGTACACGAAAGTAGATAGATCTCATATATAATAGAAGTGCAGTGCAAAAGAACCAGTTTAATAATTTTGGAGTAATTGCCTTTCGTTCATTTTTACACTTTGAACTTTGTTCGGGACATAACTCTATTGAGATATTAACATGAAACTTTGTAGGTAGAAGGATCTCATTAGGTAGAATTCCAGCGCAAAAGTACGTAACTCATGCCTAATTGTTGGAGTTATTGTCCTTTGGTTTTTTTTATACATTTTTGGACATTACTCTAAAACTGTAAGATTTATCAACACGAAACTATGTAGGCAGATTGATCTCATTAGGTAGAAGTACAGTGCAAAAGAAAGCCCAACTGTGCCTTGCCGGCTTTTAGAAGTACTGCCCTTTGTTCATTTTACACTTTTTATTTTGTCAGGGACATAACTCGGAAACTGTAAGGGCTATCAACAAGAAACTGTCTAGTTAAATAGATCTAAATAGATAGAAATGCAGTGCACAAAGCCGTAACTCTGGCTTGCCTGATTGAGTTTGAGTTATTGCCCTTTGTTTATTTTTACAATTTGAACTTTATCCGGGACATAATTCTTAAACTGTATGAGATATGAACATGTATCTTTGTAAGTAGATAAATTTCATTGAGAAGAAGGGCAGTGCAAAAGAACTGTAACTATGCCTTGGCTGGAATGAATGCCCTTTGTTCATTTTTACACTTTGATCTTTGTCCGGGACATAACTCTAAAACTGTAAGAGATATCAACATGAAACTTTGTAGGAAGATTGATCTCATAGGTAGAAGTGCAGGGCAAACAACATAACTATATCTTGCCTTGTTTTGAAGTTACTGCCCTTTTTTGCATTTTTTACAACTTTTAACTTTGTCCGGGACATAAATGTGCCACTGTTTATCAAGTTAGATATATCCCCATTGGGTAAAAGTGCTGTGCGAAAGAACCGTAACTCGTGCTAACCTAGTTTTGGAGTAACTACCCTGGAGTAAATAAAAGTGCATTGCAAAACAACCCTAACTCTGCTATGCCTAATTTTGGAGTTATTGCCCTTTGTTCATTGTTACACTATGAACATTGTCCAGGACAAAGCTATGAAAGTGTTGTGGATTTGAACAAGACACTTTGTAGGTAGATATATCTCATTGGATAGATGTGCATTGAAAAAAATCATAACCTTGCCTTGCCTAATTTTGGAGTTATTTCCCTTTGTTGATTTTTACAATTTGAACATTGTCCGGGACATAACTTTGACACTATTAAAGATATAATAAGGAAACTTTGTAGGTGGATTAATCTCACTGAGTAGATGAGCAGTGAAAAAGAACCGTGACTTTGCTTTGCTCAATTTTGGTATTATTGCTCTTTGACTTTTGTCCGGGACATA